GGAGGCCCAGGACGCATGAAGCGCTTTGCCGATGCTAAGAGGGCAACCTGGCCCGACCTGAAGACCCGGGGACAGTGTCTGGCTCTTACAGCGGAATCTCAAGACTCTCCAACCTTCCCAGAAACTTGATCACCGTAAGATTGGCCCCTTCACAATCACGGAGAAGATCAACTCGGTCACATATCGCCTCAAGCTTCCCCCATCCTACAAAATTCACAACGTCTTCCATGTCTCCCTTCTTGAACCACGTTTCACCATTCCGGAGCGAACTGAGCCAGAACCCACCCCACCAGAAGAAGTCAAAGGACAGGAGGAATGGATTGTGGAAGACATTCTTGACTCCCATATTCGACGCACGCACCTTCAGTACCTCATCAAGTGGCAGGGTTGGCCAAGCTCGGAGAACACATGGGAGCCAGTGGAACACCTTGCCCGATGTCAAGAGCTTGTTGCCCAGTTCCACCAAAAGTACCCCGACAAACCCCGACCAAAGCCTGCCAACATCAAAACAACATCTGGACGCCGTGGCTAAAGGAGGGGGTGATGTTATGGACGACGCGTCCATACCATGCGCTTACCTCATGACAGCATCCCAACAGTCAGTCAATGTCAATTCCCTGTCAAAACCTGACATCTGCCAAACCTCGCAGCCGCACGCAGCCGCGCTACCCCACACCTGCCACTGCCTTCATTTCTCCACGCAGCCGCACGTAGCCACACCTCCCAACACTCGGCGCTTACAAACCCTTCTCCATACTTCCCCACGTACCCGCCCACAGCCTCAGCGTAGCCACCCCATCCCCAGTCTTCTGTTTCTATGCTTCCCCACCCTTGGCGCTTCTCTGGGCTTCCCTCTCATTCCGTACCCTTCTGCTTCCCCACGCTTCCCCAGCCTTCCCAGAAAAACATAAATAGCCGCCTCCCCTGAGCTCCCCACTTCCTGATCCCCCAGCAGATCAACACCAGTTCTTCCTAGTCTTGTTCTAGTTCTTGTTTCGGTCTGAATACCATTACCTGTCAACAGCCTGCACCACAAGTCGCCTCTATTTCCACCGGCTCCGCCCATTCATAACACTCCAGGCGTTTCCGAAGAACGTAGTCCCGAATGCTGTGCCTATGGGCATCCGCTTCCCGACGCGAACCGGGGGTCGTAACGTCCGGCACCCCACCACCACCGGCGGCCGTAAACGCATCGGGGTCCCGCTCGCCCCACTCTGGATACCCATCGTCCATCAGCCAGTTGTGCAGCATGCAGCACGCCCGGATCCACGCATTCGCGTAACGGGCGGAGTCCGCGTCCTTCACGACGACGCGGAGTACGCGGAGGCTCTGAAAACGACGCTTGAGGCGCCCAATTGTGTGCTTGTTCACGATGCGCAACTGCGCGATGTAAGTGTTGAACACCTTGTTAACGGGGACGTCCGCGGGCGGTCGCTTCATGCTGGCAAGGACGGTAAGGGTGTTGGTGTACCCGCTGTCCCCGATGAGATATTCGTTCTCTCCGAAGTACAGGTCTGGCTGCAGCGCCATAGCCGAATGGCTGAACACGCGGGCATCGTGGGCGCTCCCGCACATTCCCGTGTGAACGTAGGTAATCCGTCCCGTTTCATCGTTGACCACCATCACGTTGAGACTGTACATCCTCTTCCGGTTGAAGAAGTCCTCCCCATCGACGCCGAGCTTCTGGAAAAACACGACGTGTGTCCCGTCCACGAAGCTGATGCAGTTCTTGAAGAACGACTTGCGGTAGATGCGCTCCTTGATGGGCTCCTTCCCTTGGGCCGTGTGCCAGTTGAGCCAGCCGCAGCGGCTACCGACCTCCTCAATGGCCGCGAGGACCCGGCGGGTGTAGTTACCAACGCACCCCTCGGATACCTCCCACATGCGAGCGATGCGGCCCACGCGGGCCCCATTGCCATACTGCCCCAACCGAGATAGAGCGACAAACAGCTGGAAAGATACGGGCTCCTGCGGCTTGATGGCGGAATTTCGGGACTGGGAGACCGGGTGATCCTTGACAAGGTCGAGCAGTTGTCCATATGCTGTGCGGCTCATGCGCACCTCGTTCAGCCACCGGTCGTTGTCCAGCGTGTGCAGGAGCCCCCGAAACGACCGTTTGGGGACGGGGTCCCGCGAAGCCAGGTACCTCTTGCTCATCAGCGCCACCAGGATGTCGAACTCGAGCTCGGCTTCCGATTCCGACAACGACCCGGCCCACGAGTCTTTGTTGCTAGTCCCGCCGTTGAAGTATCCCACCACCTCCCGGAGGACAATGCGCTTGGCGAGCTCCGCGATCACCCGCTGACGGTCAGATGTCCCAGGCATGTTGGGCTGGTTGAGGGCAGTCTGTTGCTCGGCGTCCTCAGACTCCTGGGACCCATGGGGTGAGGGGCACGTGGGGTCAGGGTCCAGGGCTGCGCCGCACGGACCCTGCGCCGCAGGGAGAAAATCGGGGGGTGTGCAGATAATTGGATTATGTGGGGCAGAAAAAACACCCCAAACGCAGCTTTTTCTGCACACCCCAGATCAGCGAAACCGCCGATTTTTGTTGATTTTCTGGGGTGTGATGGGGGGTGCGCCGGGCCCCGGATGACGTGTCTTGGGGGGCCGATCGGGGAGCGCGTAGCAACCGCGTTCCTGTGCGCGCTGGAATAATCGGCAGATAATCGCGAAATAATCCGAGCAAAAGTCCGATTATGTGGGCTAGTGAAACGCCCTACTGAATGAAGGACCCATCAGGGTTGACATGCGCGACAGCGACGGCTATGTCAATGCCACAAAATGCTACCTCCCAGCTTCAAGTACCAAACATTTTGAACTATCCTGTTCTATAAACTTTCATAATGCAAATGCGGGACGGCCGACAGCCTACATACAAAGGGGGTAGCAAATTGCAATGCAACAGCTGAGATGGGAGCTACACGTAAGCATTCTCCCCTCCAACAAGCATTGCCCTCCTCTCGACCCTCCGCCTGATTTCATACTCCTAGAACCACTTCGAAGTTTTCTTTCTACCCTGCTCTACTTCCGTCCGTCCTCCGTCTTGCCTCTAGACCAAAATATCAAATTAGTCCTCCACCTCCCCTCCCAGAACACCCCAAAGACTATCCCCTTACTCTCATTCCCCAAACTCACCCCAAATCCGTCGCAACATTCAACAACAGACTCTCCGAATCAATAAACACCCTATTATTCGACTGCGCGATCGTGTGTGCAATCTCACGGGCCGTGTCGAGTTTCCTCAGTTCCAAGAAACCCGGCGCGTTCTTGACGGCGTCTCCGATCAGCGTCGCGGACTTGGCCTCTCCCTCCGCTTTCACGATGATGGATTGTTTCTCTTGCTTTGCGCGGTCGACGATGAAGGTTGCTCGTTGGGCCTCTTGTTGGGCTACGATTGCGATGGATGAGAGGGATTAGCATGGGCACCCAGCACATTTGAACTGATTTCTGATTCTCTCCGCTCCCATACCAATCTGCTTGGCTTCAACAGCCCTCGTAAACTCCGGACTGAACGCAATATGCGTCAACGACACATCATTCAACGAGATGTTGAAATGCGACGCCCGGAGGTGCAACTGCTCCCTAATCAACTTCGACACCTTCTCACGCTGCGTGATCAGCTGCGAAGCGTTGAACTGGGCACACACGCTCTTCAGCACTTCGTTGACGATGGAGGGTAGCACGCGTTCGTCGTAGTCCTGCCCGAGGGTCTGGAAGATGTGTGGCAGCTTGTTCTCCATGGGGCGAGACAGGACTCGGACGGTGATGTTGACCATTTGGAGATCCTTGGTGCCGGTTAGGGAGGCGATGTTGCGTGGTTTTGCTGCGAGACGGGGAATATCGATCGTCAGCCTCTGCTTCGTAGCTAAGCTGTCAAGTCCACCTCCACAGCCTACCTCGGACGTCGTACACGATCGGCGTTTCGAGCCATGGGACGACAAAATGAGTCCCCTCATTATACACCTGGTCCTGCACACCCCCAATCCTCGAGAACTTGATCGCCCTGTGACCTCCTTCCACTACACAACAAAAAAGTCAGTACCGAAAATGTCCCGTTGTGAGGCGTAGATCATCCGCCACTGGTGATATTCCACTTACCGTTGAAGAGACTCTGGTTAATCCCAACGCCGAGCAGGGTGATGCCGAGGAGGGCTCCCGTTGAGCCGAGGAATCCCTTGCCTGGCTTCCCGCCCTTTGGCATGAAGCCCTGCATGAGGTTCTTCATTGCTTGTTGAGACATGGCTTGGGGGGGGGGGGGGGGGGGGGGGGGGGTGGGTGTTGTTGTGTTGTGGGTGGATGTTGCTGGTTTTGCAGGGCGTGTCAAATGGGAGCCCTCGCCTGATGGGGAAATGCAACAACTTCCGAGGGGGGGGAATTGAATTGCGCAGTCACGTGAGCAGGCGCATTCAATTCCTTCCGACGTCTTTCGTGGCATCTCGTCCTTCGCTCGCTCGCTGCTTTCTCTCACTTGCCAGAACCCTTCCGACTAAATGCTGTTATCCCGACCGCCTGCAAGACGACTACCAGCAGCTGCAAGACAACTACTCAGACCCCTTCACACTATCACAACATCTTGTGAAAACAGAGCGTTGGATAATATTAGGGAGAGTATTGAGGAGCTTAGGTATCATCGGAAAGCAGGGTTTAGAAGTCCTTAGGGCTTTGGATGGGCGCTTTGAGCGACTTGATGGGTTGCGAATTGGAGCATAGTAACTGGGAGGTGAACGGCGTAAGAAGCGAAATGCGAGGTGACGTTTCGGACGGTCGTCACGGGGATCTATACGTGGAGATGCAAGAACCCCTTTTAGTCTGTCTCATGCGTTCAGTCTTCCACTTGGATATCTACGACTGTTGAGTCGTCATAGAGCAGATTGAGCCGTGGCATCAAATGCCATCAGGGCCGGGGGAGGAGGGACTCCGGTCGACGACACAAGTCACAACTCCCAATATCCATATATGATATCAAAACCAGAGCGTGAACCTATATACACAATGTACAGTGTGATCCAAATGCTAGGTTATCGTGGGGAGCCTAATATGTCCAGAAAGCTCTACATCAGTTCACCTGCTCCTTCGTCCAGATTATATGCCGGTGGGAGGGACACTCGCGGGTGGTGTGCTCTTCCAAACGCTTTTGAAATAGAGAAAATCCTTCGTTCCTGTAACCCCGGTCCCCGTCCTTTGGTCCGTCTTTGGCAGGATTAATCACTCCGATCAAGTACGCCAAGGGGAGCTCCCTCCGCAATTCTAACATGTGGGAACATACCTGCTCAGTGACACCCCCAAGGACCGACGGGAGCGCGAACAATAATTGACAGCTTTCATTACGTGAGCAACTCCGTCCAAGGTATTCGACCAGTGGCACACACAAAGAATAAGCTTAAACCTCTTTTCCAGCATATTTTGATTTGATACGCAGCTTGCACACCCTTACTCGCCACCCAACGGGGCGCCGATTCGTAAAATCGATTGTTACGTAACTCGACCGGCAACGCACGGCGGAAAACCGTTTTTTTTTACGGTTCGAGGTCCCCGTTCTTTCCCTCTGCAACTTTCCCGGTGGGTCTTGGTTTTCGTTTTGACATCGGTACGGCTGGAATACCCGACGTAATATTGTGGTATGAAAAAGGTCCAAATGGTTGCGGGGGATGAGGTTGGATGTGGACGCGTTGCTAAATGCTTTGAGATTTACTGTTTAGAGCTGGGATTTGGGAGCTTTCATTTGTGTCTCACGGATTACGTTCAGACGGAAGCTTTTTAAGGGCGGACCAGAAACGGGTACCTTATGGGAAGCAAAGTCTTACTTTGCATAATCATCCACAGCACCGAACGGCGATACATTCGAAAAGGGAAGCCCCATTACAACAGGCTACATAACACCCGCCTATCATGAACATAACACCCTTCCGGTGGAAATCCGACCGCCCGCAGGAAGTGCAAGCCGCCGTTCGGCAGTCCCTAGCCGAAGCCCGGCGCGGCGCGCAAAATCTCTGGCGACGGCCTCTGCCCACCCCTCCCTCGGGAACGGAAACCACCACCGCGGCACGCCAGTCCCAAAACGACGCAAACACAGGAGCACAGAGCCCGTATGACCGCGCCCGCACCCTCGAGCTCAATTTCGCGCCTGGTGGGGATGACGCCGCCGTTGAGCCAGCAGCAGGGGCTGCAACCGGTCAGGCCAAACGACTCCGTGAGCGCTCCGGCTTCCCCATGGCGCGGAGCTACGAGAACATCCATGAGCTGATTTCCGGAAAAAAGAAAAGAGGACGCAAGGCGTTGCCTGCCACCCCTGGGCGACAGGCGAGCGACGCGGATATGGAGGCTGGGCAGGCGGATGAGAAGACTAGCGATGAAGGGGAGGAAGGGGGCGGGAATGAGGCGCGACCATCACCACAACGGCAACGCCCGACGCCGTTGCAGAGGAATAGATCGGATATGAGTATGCATAACCAAGCACCGGCGGTTCCGCCGAAGAAACCGGGCTTGCATCGAAGTACGAGTATCAAGATTGATACGCCGGCGCGGGACAGGGTTCCGATGGGGCCGGCGGTTCCACCGACGGGGCCGCCCGCGCAACGACTGGCGATCGAAACCAACATGGGCGCGCCAACTACCACCGCCTCGCCCAACAGCGGTCGCCGGCTCCAACGTCGTCGGTCGGTGATGGTTCGCCCCAACCGCGCTCCGGGCGGAGGTGTCCCCGGCGAGGAAGCGGTGGCAGGTGGGCGCACGCCGAAAATGACCTCGGTGCTCAAAACCCAAGCGACGGACATGGACGTCTGGGGCAAGTTCACGCGCCTCGCCACCTGCTGCATCCCGGCGGGTCTGCTCTCCCGGTTCGGCGATATGCATGAACCGGCCGTGCAGCAGGCGTGGCGGGAGAAGATGACGCTGGTGATGATCATCGCATGCATGTGCGGCGCGCTCGGGTTCCTCACCTACGGGTTCGTCACGACCGTGTGCAAGCCCGCCAACCGGATGTCCTTCGACACGTTCAATGCCTCGACGCACGATACCATGCCCAACACCTTCGGCGTGCACGGCGTCGTATACAGTCTCGCGAAATTACAGGACATCCACGCAAACTATCCCGGATTCATGGCGGGGACCTACCAGGTCGGCGCCGTGCCCGGCCAGGTGAGCCCGTTAACCGACACCGGGGTGGACATCACGCCCTATTTCTGGCCCGGGAGCATCGCCGCCCTGCCCCCGGCGTGCATGGAGATGTATCTGGGCACCACGACGCCCGCGTGTGGGATCGCGCGCTACCCCGCCGCGCTGGACCACTGCCACGACCCGGCGGTATTGGAAGCGTATGTTGCAGCCAACCCGGGTGTGCGCGGGCAGCCGATCGAGTACCGCTGGGACACGGTCAACTCGCCCAACTCGACGCTGATGGTGTATCGCGGCGAGGTGCTGGATATGAGCCGGTACATTGCGACGTCGGCGAACTTCACCCTGCCGATCTTTGGCAACCTGACCAACGAGATCATCTCGCTGCATCTGGGCAAAGACGCGTCAAAGGCGTTCGCGGGCTCCCCCGCCAGGCTGCAGATGGGAGAGTGTCTTACGGCCATGTACACGGTCGGCGAGATCGAGGGCAAGACGTTCGGGTGCATCACGTCCGACATCGTTCTGTACGTGTCGCTGATCATGATTCTCGGCGTCGTGCTGCTGCGGTTCAGCATGGCGGTGATGTTCGACTGGCTGGTGGCGTGGAAATTGGGACGGTTGCAGCAGGACCACGCCGCACTGACGCAGGCGGCGGCGTTGAGGAGGATGACGCTTGATCAGGGGATCGTGCCTTTTCCGATGCGGGGGAAGCTGGATATGGGCACGGGAGGGGTGAGTCGGCGGGCGTCGACGGTGATGGTCGATGTGGCGCGGTCGAATGAGGATATCAGTAAGAGTAACGTTATTGGGCAGCCGACGGTCGTGAGGGCGGATGGGGCTGCCGGCTCACCGCGTGGTGGGGGCTCGCCGTTGGATAAAGCGAAGGATCTCGTCCGCAGCGTGCTTGGCCGCCCGCCTGCACCGACGGTAGTCCACCCGCTGCCCGTGGGCCCCACCTCCACGCCGTCGCTCAACGAAGACCAGGTGGATGTGCTCCGCTGCCAATCCCCGTACGGCCTCGAGGTCTACACGATCATGATGGTCGCCGCGTACTCCGAAGGCGCAGAGGGGATTCGCAACACCATGGACTCGCTGGCGGAAACGACCTACTCGGACGACCACAAGCTCATCTTCATCGTCGCGGACGGGCTCATCAAAGGCGCGGGCAACACGCAATCCACGCCGGAGATCATCATCGACATGCTGGAGATGGACGCCAACTGGCCGATGCCGCCGGCGCCCATGTCGTACGTCGCCATCTCGGAGGGCGAGAAGCGGCACAACATGGCGCAGGTGTACGTAGCGTGGTACCGTCGCGGCGAGCGGTGCATCCCGACCATCCTGGTCGTCAAATGCGGCAAGCCCGAGGAATCCACCACGCCCAAACCAGGCAACCGAGGCAAACGCGACTCGCAGATCGTGCTCATGTCCTTCCTGCAGAAAGTCACCTTCGACGACCCCATGACGCCCCTCGACTACGACCTGTTCCAGAAGATCCATTACCTGATGGGCGTCACCCCCGACGTGTTCGAGATCGTCCTCATGGTCGACGCCGACACCAAAGTCGCCCCGGACTCCCTCCCCCGCATGGTCGCCGCGATGGTCTCGGACCCCGAGGTGATGGGCCTCTGCGGCGAGACGCGCATCGCCAACAAATCCGAAACCTGGGTCTCGCGCATCCAGGTGTTCGAATACTACCTCTCGCACCACCTCGCCAAGGCCTTCGAGTCCGTGTTCGGGGGCGTCACGTGTCTCCCCGGGTGCTTCTGCATGTACAGGATCAAGGCGCCCAAGGGCAACGGCGTGTGGGTGCCGATCCTCTGCAACCCGGACATCGTCGACACGTACTCGGAGAACCGCGTCGACACGCTGCATAAGAAGAACCTGCTGCTGCTGGGCGAGGACCGGTTCCTGACGACGTTGATGCTCGGCACGTTCCCGCACCGCAAGCAGATCTTTGTGCCGCGCGCGTACTGCAAGACGGTCGTCCCCGCCGAGTTCAAGGTGCTGCTGTCGCAGCGCAGACGCTGGATCAACTCCACCATCCATAATCTGATGGAGCTGGTGCTGGTCAGGGAACTCTGTGGCGTGTTCTGCTTCTCGATGCAGTTTGTCATCCTGCTGGAACTCGTCGGCACCGTCGTGTTGCCTGCCGCTATCATCTTCACTTTGTAAGTGCGCTGGCCCCTCCCCCTTCTAGCTGTGTATTCCTCTAACCAACAACCGCCCCCCTATCATTTTCCCACCCCCACAGCCTCCTAATCATAATGACCTTCGTCGGCCCGGAAATCCCCGTGATCCCCCTGATCCTCCTCGGGGCGATCCTGGGGCTGCCCGCGATCCTCATCCTGCTGACGACGCGGCGCCGCATGTACATCTACTGGATGCTGATCTACCTGCTTGCGTTGCCCGTGTGGAATCTGGTGCTGCCCTCGTATGCGTTTTGGCATTTCGGTGAGTTGAAAAAGTCAAAAACACCTCAGAGGGTTTGCAAACCGATAAGCTGCGGTCCGACGCCTGCAAAGGGGGCATGCTAATTCATCCACACCGAAATTCATCCACTATCTCCCCCCCACAGACGACTTCTCCTGGGGCCAAACGCGCAAAGTGGCCGGCGAGGCCAAGGGCGGCGACAAGACGGGGCACGGGGGCAACGCGGCCGAAACCGACGGGGCGACGGAGGTTCCGCGGCGGCGGTGGGTGGACTGGGAGACGGAGCGGCGGCGGGCGATGGTTGCAGAGTACGAGCTTGATCGGCGGGATCGGGCGCTTGGTGGGGGCAGGGATGTGGAGGTGGCGAGCAATGTCAGTGGGAGTAGTACGGCTGTGAATGCTAGAGACGGTGAGGGCGGGAAGGGGGGGAGGTAGCACGCACGTCGGAGCCCTGACATTACGGTTATGCAGCACAACCCGTTGGATGGGGAATTGGGGGACTGTTTTATACATATATGGTTCTTTCGACCTCTTTTTTTTCGCTCATGTTTTCGTAAGATGGAATTCATCTAGTTTGTTTGCTTTTGACGTGAGCTGTCGATAGGGGACATTCGTGCTGTCGAATTCCTCAAAGTAGTATGCGGGTATCTATCTACTACAACTAGACCCACTACGCCTATGTCAAGCTCCCCATCAAAGATACGCCAGCGGACACGACTCCGCCCATCTCCCCAAGCTCCCTCTCCTCTTCTCACTCCTCCGCTTTACCGCCCCGCCCTATCAACCCTAATCTCTACATGTCCCCTCCCATCCCCCTCCCCACCCCTCGCCATCTCCCTCGACCCCCTCTCCGCGATCGACGCCCTCGGCTGCGCTTCCACCGTCGACCGCCGCGACGACATCGACGGTCGCGGCTGCGCCTCCGTCGACCGCACGTCGGTCAATGACAACCGCGGCATCGACACGATTTCACCCCTATGTATGTCACTGCCGTGGTGATGGTGGTGTGCGGAGGGAGGCCGTAACCCGCCGTCCTCCCGATCGTGTCGCTCCCCCATCTCCACATCCCCACCCTCCCGCCCACTCCCACCCTCCCATGCATCCGGCGCAACATCCCCCCGCCGCCCCCTCCCCGTCGCAGCCATCATCAGCCGTTTCCGACCCTCTTTGTCCTCCAGCACCTCGTGGCCGTTGTTATCGAACCACCTGATAAGCCGCCCCCACCATCTTTTGTTGCCAATGTCGTCGATCTCGACGGCGAGGTGGAAGAGCCACCAGAGGAGGAAGGTGAAGACGAAGGAGGCGAGAACGTCTATTGTGTAGTGGTAGCCTTAAAAAAAAAGTCGCGATAGTGGGTAAGCTTGGGGCAGTAACCAAACAAAAACGGTATATGGGATGTACGAAGAGCGAGGTTACCCTACCCGAGAAAACCAGCGAAACAGCGCCAAAAAGATCAAACAGCACGACCGGCACGACCATCCACCAGTACCGACAATGATACCAATACAGCATGCTCGTCGACGTGAACACGATCGTGTGGCCCGAGTAAAACGTGTCTCCGCAGTCTACGCGCTGGCCTGTGAACAGTTTCCAGGAGTCGGCGCCGAAGTTGGGGTCGATCGGGGTGAAGCAGTAGATCCAGGGGGAGGGGAGGACTGTTAACCTACGGGAAGATTGGGTATTAGTTGCTGGGTTTGGGTGGGTGAAAGGTGGATGTGATAGGTGAGATGTAAGAGAGTGGGGAGACGTACATCATGTAGGGGACTCGGCCGAGGTAGAGGGCGCCGACGATGAGGAGGCCGCGGCGGACGATGGTGACGGCGGCGGGGCCGCGGGTGAGTGCGAATGCAAAGAGCTGTGGTATGGACATCGATCAGGTGACGTTCACAATGAAAGCAAGAGATGGGTATTCGCGACCCACCAATGCAGCGGAAATCGCGACCAACGTGTCCGCCAGATGTTGTGGGAGCCCCGACCCATAGAACCAGGGCGTTGTCGCGGCCAACAATGGGTCCGGCGCGACGTACCGTTCGCCTGGTGGTTTGTTCTCGTTTGTGTTCTACGGGGCAAAGAGGAGGGACATGTGAGACCTCTGCCAACCATCAACCACGCATGAACGGACAATACCCTGCTCGCTCCGCTGGCGACGAGGATGTTGGCTTCGAGTCAGAAAGCATTCTTGCGCCTCGGGCGCAATTGGGGCTCGCTGGCGCTCGCCGGGTCCTCCCTACCGCTCGGCTCTCAAGCATTCTCCGCGCTATCGCTCGGAAATCCCACCCCTTCCCCAATATTCCACCCCCCCGCGTAACTCCTAATACACACCTTCCTATCAGCATAAGCGTTCGCCAGCGCAACCATATAGATGCAGAAGACAAACCAAACCGCCGCGAGTAACAACAATCCGACGTCTCGTTTCCAAGGCTGCTTCCATAGCGTTAGGCGCGGGCGTACGTGGTTTGCCCACAACTTTGTGAGGAATGCTGGCATCTTCGCGGGGGTGTGGTGGATACAGGACGAGAGGCGGGCCGCCTAGGGTGAAGGCGAGCGCTGAGTGCTGGCTTGCGATATACTGTACAGTATGTCCGTGCAGCGGGAGTTGCCTTCTTGTCTACGTCCGACGGGCTGTTTCTGCCCTCTTTTGAACGAACGCGATGGACGCGTGCGGGTTGGTTGCATATGATGGAGTGGTCACATGGTCTCACTCGCTCGCGATCGATGCTGTTTAAATGGAGTCTTTGTCTGCAGCTGATGTCATCCATCCATCCATCCCACCCTCCGAGCCATTCCGTGTGGTATGACGTAAGGAGTCTATCTTGAAGACATTCCGAGACGGCTGGCTCCCTTGCCAACCACCCACCCAACACTGACTGAGGCGTTCTTGCTTGAATACTAATGAGAGACCCCCGTCATCATCATCAGCCATCATCAGCCATTTCCTAATAAGCCAACTGTACAGTATTTTAGTAGTGGTTGCGCCATCTAGCCATCTAATCACACGCTGTTAAACCCACACACACAAGCGGCACAAGAACGCACGCATCATCAGCCCTGCATCAGCCCGCCCGCTATCTTCAATTCAGTACAAAAGGACCCGCAAACCCCCCTCCCTCCCTCCTTCTGTTCCTGTTCGCCCCGCCCCCCCATAACACATACCTTTTACACTTCCCTCCACAGTATCAAGAGGTAAGCACTCTCGCTCCCAACTTGAAGACGCTATCGCTCGTACAAACGTCACTCATCCGCGTTCGTCATCTCCACACTAGAACACAGCGCAAAATGTCTTCCGACACATTCTACCCAACACCGCTTTCGTCCTCCACCGAGGACTTTCCTACTCCCCTTGAGGCTGCTGAGAAAGGCCTGAACCCCAACCCTGAGGTGTGTACCACTACTGTACTTTTATGTTCAGAAGGCAGAGATGGGGACGAGACGCGACAAAACGATGATCGAGGGCGTGTGGACGATGGAGTGCGGCAAGGGATAAACTTGCTGCCGGCGATAGTGAGCATTGGGTGGTTTTGGACGCCGAGAGCGCTGCCTCCATCATTTTATGGCCTTGTCGCTTTGCATTCTGGGAAAATTCAGGACTGCTGCAAAGTGCTTTACTTATTCTTTTTCTTTTTTTTGCGTGCCTGTCACGGTTAGCCCCTCGAAACCGGCCTCTCAGACATGCCCGAGCTCCCAGAGCTGACGCACCACGACGAAGTCATCGCAGAACTGGAAAACAACAAACACGAGACGTTCGCCGACAAGGCCAAAAAGGCCGCTGCCGCCTCCTCCGCACCTGCCACCAACGGTGGACGGTCCAAGAGCCCCGGCAAGGGTAAAAAGGGCGCCAAAAACGACTCCTCCTCCGCCGCCTCCTCAGCCTCCATCGTCGTCCCCGCTTCTGTCACCGACAGCACCCCAGCAGCGGCCCCTACCACCACGACCACCACCGCAAAGTCGTCGTCGGTAGGCGAAAAAGGCCCCACCTATTCCGACAAAGCCGCCTCGGCCGCCAAATCCGTCAACGGGCAAATCGACGCCACGGCTGCAAAAGTCAAACGCTCTGTCAAATCCGCCGCCGAGGCCACCTCCGCCAAAAAGAACGAGTTGGAAAAGGAGCTGAAGCGCGAGACGTCAAAGACCGGAAGGAACTGGCCGGGAAGCCTGAGGGAGGCGTGGGACGAGTACTGGCTTGTCGGGAGCATTGTCGGTGTCGCGGCGGTTGCGGTCGGGGTCACCGTTGCGGTGAGGCAGCGGAGGGGTGCGGATGTGTGGGCTTTCTTCAGAAAATAGGGATTTTGAGAGCTGTCAGTAACGCTTGGGGGCTTTGCATTACGGGATTCTTGCAGGGCCCGCCCGGCGTCGCTAGCGTTTGGCTTGATGGGAATTATTTGTGTGGGGGCTCCCTGATACCTTCTGTCTGTTCACAACCAAGTTGTCCGTTTCACTTTTTCTTTACGTAGGGTACCTTTGCCGTTTTTCTGAGAATTTTGGGTATTTTGTTCCCCCCCATGAAAGAATAAAGAACTTCATATCATAACACTCTTGGTTTCGTTGTGTTTCCTGCGTGCATTGGTTTATCCAAAACCTCGAATCTCCATGTCTTTCGAGGGGCCAACGAACGATGGCAACCAATGCGTATGCTGTGCGGTACATGTACTGTACATGTTCGTAGATGAAGGTGAGAAGCACGGTGGTCAACGGAGGATCCCGTTGTACTCGCCCGCCAAGTCATCCACCACATCAACGCGCAGTCCCTCGTGAGAGACTGTTTACTCGCTCGCTCAGAGATTGCTCGCGTCTTCACAAACAAGGCAGCATCGGGACATGTGCACTCGTTCCTGCTGGGCAAATAGGTTCAAAGATACGCCGGCTGCGGGTGTTGGGTTGGATTCCCGGGAAATGGTATGTACAAGAGGCTTGCTTCTAAGCCACGCACCGTCGCTCACGGATCTACTTTGCATCACAAACAAGCGGCATCCTCCCCCTCCATTCCGCCCACACCCCGTCGCGAGCAACCAACTCGCCCACAAAATGCGCAACATTCGCCCTCGTCGTCGTCCAGCCCGTCGTCGCGTCCCCATGCACGCCGCCCGCAAACAACCCCCGCCTCTCACCCACCACGTACGCGCCGACCCGCCCGTCCCTCCCCACGCCCGTGCGCACAACAACCCACTCCACAAACGGGTCTTTCGCGCCGACCTCCTCCACCAGGTAGCGCGCGGCGGTGGCGGTGTCCATCCACGGCGGGAAGCACGCCTTGAGCGCCGTCACGACCCCGCGTTCCACGCGCGCGAGCACACTCGCCGCGTCGGCCTCCGGGTATACATCATCATCCACCCAGCCGAGCATCACATACTTGACGGGCACGTCGGGCCCCACGCGCGCCACGGCCTCACACACGCGTCGCGCAACCCCCGTGCACAGGTCCCGCCCGCCCATCCCGATCCCTGCGCGCGGCACGCCCCGCCAGGCTGTCTCGTGCGCCAGCGCGGACACCACCGCGGCACACCCGGCGACGTGGGCGGCCAGCTGCGCGGCGGGCATGTCGGGGATGGCGGCGGGGAGGAGGGTCAGGTTGGGGTGCGTCGCGAGGGTGATGGGGAGCGAGCCCGGGGAGCGGACGAGGGCGGCGCGCACGGGGAGGTCGGCAGGCCCGAGGAGGTGGGTGAGGATGGCGAGGCCGAGCGCGTCGGGGATGGCGAGGACGAGGACGGCGGGTGGGGATGGATGGAGGGGCAGGGTCTTGAGCGAGGAGGATGGGGAGGATGAGGGTGGGATTGACTGCGGGGGGATACGCGAGCGGGGCCAGCAGAGGATGGAATCTGAGGAGGTGCGCTGTGCGGATGCCATATTTTTCCTGCCGGTGGGTTATGTAGAGTATGATGGCGGTGGGGGATGGGACTTGGGTCTGTTGGGACCCCCCTCTGTGGGTTTTATGTTGTGCCTTGCAAACGCATCCTGGACGGTGGGGAGTGCTACTTTGAAGCTGGTGAAGGTCGTTTGTGCGTCGGTCGCCCCTGTTTTCCCCCCTAGTAAGTCCGATAAGTCCGAGGGGAATGTACATAGGAAGGGAGGGGGGAGTGTCGACATCGGAGGTAGAATCGCGCTTCTCACGTGACCGGTGAATGCGTCCAATAATAAATGTCCTCAAGGAATCAGCAAGCCCCCCCCTCGCATGTCAACTCGCTCTCTCGGAAAAGGTCACTCGGCTTGCTGGTGCTGACTTTTTTGTTGACGTGCACACCACTGGGCAGACAGTCACTGGACGCTGCATACCACCACTGCAAATACACCCACCTGCCCTCCCACTACTCCTTCTACTCAGCAGCACCCTCCACTACGCCTACGTGCGTTTCTTTCGAATACATGATATATAACGCCTCGGAACTTGCATTCACCTCGTCTGCCCATTCCGTTTCTCGCGCACTTCTACCAACTATACTGAACGAATAGCGAAACTTCTGAACCCCACCAACACCATATCCCACCTTCTGACGCATAGCGAAGAAGAAAGGATGACCTCCACAGAAAAACCTCGTCCTTCCTTCGCTACCGTCGCCGCAAAAGCCGTGGACGCTTCTGCTCCCACTGAAAATGGGAAGCAGGCTACGACAGCCCAGGACTCCCCATTCTACAAAGCCGACTCGGCCAACTGTTTAGGGGCCGACTACGGCCGGGACTCGGGGTACGGCGGAGAGCATTCCCAGGCGGTGTTTGCGCAAAAGCGAGCTCGCCTCTCGTCATTGCTGGACGGGACACAGGCTTTACTGCGGTCGCTCGACGGTACGAATGGAACGGCGGGGCTCACTCTGCGGTACCCGGCGTCGGCTTTGCAGCGCGCGTTGGCGCCAAAGCACACGCTGTCGCGGTCAAATATCTTTGAGGATTCGCAAAAGGAGAATGGGAGGGATGGCTCGAGGGATCACACTCCCCGAGTTCCGACGCCATTATCGTCAACCACCGACCTGTTCGACCTACATCCACTACGCATCCTGTCTTTGGACCTGGCATCTCAGCGCTTCAAAGGCACGACGACAGACGCGACGCACAACTCGGATTCCCTCGTCACAACATTATTGCAGAACAAAATTGCAGAATGCACTGCGCACCTCGACCGTCTCCGCGGGCGTATCATGGATATCCGCTCCAAAGTCCTCGTTACCGGCGACCTCAACGCCGGCAAAAGCACCTTCGTCAACGCCGTCCTGCGCCGTGAAGTCGTCCCCGACGACCAACAGCCCTGCACCGCCCTCTTTGCGGAGGTCGTAGACGCCCTGCAGAACGAAGGCGTGGAAGAAGTGCATGGGATACGCATCCCGGAGGAGTACGACCGGACAAAACCGGACACCTTTTCCCGGTTTGATTTCAGACACTTGCGCACGGTGGTGGAGGAGAATGAGGAGGATTATGAGCTGCTGAAGATTTATTGCAAGGATAATCGGAGTCGGGAGAGCAGTCTGCTGCATAATGGGGTTGTGGATATTAGCTTGATTGACTCGCCCGGGCTGAATATCGATTCGATCAAGACGACGGCGTTGTTTTCGCAGCAGGAGGAGATCGATGTTATTGTGTTTGTTGTGAATGCGGAGAACCATTTCACCTTGTCGGTGAGTCATTCGAGGCGTCCGAACGTGCTTTGAGCCGTGTGCCATCAGAATCCGTCGCTGATGATTCTACACGCAGGGCCGAGAATTCTTGACAACAGCCGGTAAAGAGAAAGCGTACATCTTCATCGTCGTCAACCGCTTCGATCAAATCAAACGCAAAGACCGCTGTCGCCGCGAAATCCTCGCCCAAATCCAGCAAATATCCCCCGCTACCTACGAAGACGCGGACACCCTCGTCCACTTTGTCAGCGCCCAGCAAACCCTCCTCCACAATCCAGACGAGCCCCTCAAGCCTGACTCACTCGTCCCGCAATTCGTCAAACTCGAAGAATCCCTACGCTCCTTCATCCTCGAAAAACGCTCCCGCTCCAAACTCGCTCCCGCCAAAATCTACCTCTCCAACCTCCTCACCGACGTCTGCACACTCGCCCAATACAACTCGGACCTCTCTGACCAAACCGCCACCAAAATCGCAACGGAGATTGAAGACGCCACGCCCGCCTACGACCGCATGCTGCAGATCAAGAAACAGGTCCTGGACGATATCGACCGCACCATCGACGACACCGCCATCGAGATCCAGGAGTACACCAACCAGCAGCTCGCACACCTCATGGACCACCTCGAAGCCTACGCCGATAGTGTGCGGTACCACGGCCCATTTTACATCTGGCAATACGCCCGCGATGTCCGGAGACGGATCAGGACGATGGCGTCACACCGTGTACGCAAGTCGGAGGAGAACGCGACACAACGGTCCCGGGAATGTTTAGTCGAGATTGCGAACCTCGCCCAAACGTGTATGACCGTGCCCCCCCAAATCGACATCCACGCCGTCGACGCCGCCTTCCCCCCCTCCTCAACGTCGAAAGACGGGTTCCATGTCGCCGTGCCGTGGGATGAAGGCGACCTGTTGACTTCCGCCGATCGGTTGGAGCTTGTGAGGGACTATGCCCCGAGTGTGGCTGTGGTCGTTGCGGGGCTGGTGGGGTACTCGAGGGGTGTTGCGATGGGCGTTGTGAGACGCGGGACGGCGAGGTTGGCGTTTGCGGGGATCACGATTGCTGGTACGTCCCTCAATATGTCATCATATTTCCAAATCTGATAATTTCCCCACGCACTAACCCCCCCGCGTTTTCAACCAGGCGTCGGCTACTTCCTCTACACCCTCTCCTCCCTCTCCCACACCATCCAAACAAAACTCCTCCGCCACTTCCGCACCCTCTTCACAACCGACAACCACCTCATCGAAGACAACGTCACGCGGATATCAAAGACGACGAAACGCTCGTTGCACACGGCCATGAGCGGGTTCCAGACGCAGTTCATGGGCATCCTCAGCGAGAACGAACGCAGGAGACGGCAGTGGGAGATCGAGGCCGGACGCGCGAAGGGCGCGAGGGAGTTCTATGAGGGCGTCAGGAGGAGGGCGAGCGGGTTGGGGAGGGAGGTGGATGCGATTGATGTTTGAGGGATTGGCATTCGGGAGCAAGCGGATCTTGCAAATGAGGATTGGGACACCCCCGAGTGCCGTGCGCTTGAGCGGGATGGACACTCCGGGTTTTGGTGAACACCCCCCACCCCCCACGCCACACCCCACCCATTTCCGGCCTTGTTCCCCTCATATTCTCTCACGCTCAAGTTCCTGGTTTTTGCATCTTTTTTCCTCTCTTCTTTTGTTTATTGTTCTGGCCGAATTTTTTTTGTATCATTTCATTTTGAGCACTCGGAAATTTCATATGCATACATCCTGTTCTTTTTTTTTGGGTTGTTGAGACCTGTGGCCCCGCGGATCCCCAAACAATAAGACTGCCCGCAGAGACATTCGCGTTTTCGTGAACGCTGTTTGAGTGTGAGGCACGATGAAGGTCGCGGGTGCCGCACACGATACGGGGTGGAATCATGTATGTATAAGCAGCGGAAGAAAAATGGAGAGGGCGGTTTCCGACCGCTGTATCCAAGCGACGACACTGGCCGGGCCCCCATCTCTCTCGCCAAACACAGGGGCGTCTCTGCTGCTTTCGGCGTCGAATGTCATCACTCGCACAGCACCTCGGTCCTCATCACGAACTTCGGAAGAGCGGGTCGGAACGGCACCTCGATCCGGCAAGACTGTGCATTGGGGGCTGCGGATGGATGTTCGTTTCAGTAGCATGCCCTTGGTGGTGGGGGATGCGCCTGCGACAGGCGGGTCATATGATACTGGGCCCCTCAGATGCAGGGAGGGTTGACGGAGCGAGTGAGGCTGGGACACTGGTTTGGCTCCACGCTGAGTAACAACCCTTCGTTGGGGTGACTCCCGACATTGCGGGGCGGGGTTGGGCATTAATCGATGCTTGACTGACTGTCTTCACTGCATGATTCACGGACACCACCGGCACCACCAACCCCGCCTCCCCTCCGCATGAACCCCCACACGGCCCTCATCAAGACGGACAAGTTTCGCGCACAGGGGAACGACCTGAAGGACACACTCCACGCCCATCGCACCCCTCCCGCCAGCTCAGCCAACTCGATCGACGAGAGCGCCGCCGCTCCTTCCGCGCCCTAGACCAACAAGGGCATCACCAGCACCGCCACCCACATCGTCGCTGGACAGCTGCTGCACCATGCAGCCGGAGAGTGCGTTTGGAACCGCACCCGTCGCGCAAACCATCTTCTTGTGCCCTTGCGTGTCTGTTGGGGTGGCCCGTTGTTCTTCTGACGTTGTTTGAATTGTGTTCTGCCCATGTGCATCTCGACTTTGCTCTGCGGTTGTCCAGGCACAGACCTTTGTGTGCTGGCGATCGCAATCGCACGGGCATGTCCGATTTGCCACACGCGCGGTGACCATTTACGGTCCTGGCCCAAACCTCTCCATGAATCAGTTGGGGCGAGTTCGATGAAAACCGAGCACCGGATGCCGCGTATGTCGGCCCCAACCCTAACCCGGTGATAACCCTAATCCCCAACCCTAATTCCATGACAGGGTAGGTCCAAACCCGAAACCTTGGGGCATCGACGGCTGTGTCAAATGATGGAAAGAACCGGTGCCCCTTTCGTATAAAGCACGGTCCGTGGATTTTGACATTGCTTGATGCATACGTAATGTTTTGACAGGCGCGTCGGACCATTGAATTATGACGGGGTTGTCCCCTATGCCCTAAGCACACCCCCTCACGATAACCCTCGCCAACCACTCTGCCACAGCACGGCCCCGTCTAGGTGTTGGGCCGGCTCTGTCAAGGAAGTTGGAACGCACCTCGCCGACCGTTCTTGCAAGTATTCAAGAGCCGTTCAGTTCTTCGTTCTCGCTCAACCTATCTCTCACCCTTTCCCGCGGCGTATTTCTCCATATCTCGCTCGCTGAACGCTGTCCTGGTATCGCTTTCGTCGTCGTCGGGGTTTTACCATCGCTTGCTCATCTCCTACTTGCCACTTCCGAACCAGAGTGTCACGGTCTCGCTCAATCTCCTTCCCGCTCATCGTCGTTCGCACTCCACGTGGAAGAAAAGGCAAGCCCGTATCACCCATCCCGGCACTCCTGCCAGCACTCTTTGTTAGTGCTTTTCCCCCGAGCCTTCCAGCCCCAGATGGATGCGATCCTTCCTCATCCATGCCGCGTCTACAACCTGTCTGCCCATCCCAAGTCATGCCCGGTTCTCGCAAAGGCTATCGGTTCTCAAGCTTCGAGTCACGGCCTGGTCGTTCGCATTGGCCGTCGGCGCTTCGAGGACTCCTTCAGACCGGATTCCGTTGGGGATATGTAGGCGGTACTTTTCCTGTGTTCGGTCTTTGTCAAACTCGACCATCCCAGTCTTCGCAGTCTTTGCCTGTTCACCGTATTTGTCCTTCAACCCACGTTTGGTTCTGTTCGGATCGTCTGTTTCGCTCTCGCTTTGCATCACAGTCTCCGTCATTTGTCCAGTTCCCGACAGCCTCCCGACTTCCATTCGACATCTGGCCTTCCGGTCCAAGATTCAGAATCCTCACGGAACAGCAAACAAGGATACTTACCAGGGCTCTTCGATATCAACGTCAACAAACCCTTTCGCGATAATTTCCCCAAATCTTCTTTCATCTCTGCTGTTGGCAGGAAACCCTCCTCTCGGTCGCCAGAATCCAAAGCATCCTTGGGGAAGATGATGGGGGGTGATATCAACACAACAGGTCTCACCTCCGTCGGGGTATTAGCGGCCCACCAATCCTGCACCTTCTGCTGGACCTTGCGCAGTTCGTCCGGCGTCAAGGCTCTGTCCTTGTCTTTGTAGTACGTGGTCATTAGCAGGTTTTCGGTGCAGGATGGGTGTAAAGTTGAGGAGTTGGGGACGGGCGTCCGCGTTATTTATATACGTATGCTTGAGCGCTACGCGTGATAATGGGGGGGCGGGGGGGGGGGATGGCTACGCATGGCGATTGGGGGGGAGATGGGGGAGATGGTCGTTTTTTTTGGCGCTCGTCACTCTTGTCCCACCCACTATGACGGATTCGTAATCCTCCTACTACAGAAGGCACAGCGGAAGGCGCAGGTAGGGGAAGAAGGGATTCGTCATCCTACAGAAGGCACGGACTTATCCCTTGGCGCACAGCAGAGGGATCCGTGCCGAGCTATCTTCTTGTGCTATTGAGAGACCGGCAGCTTATTTTCCCGACACCCGACCGTACCCCCTCAATTCGACAGACCCTCGCTTCTGCCGCCCACCACCACATTTACTGGCCGCACGGATCCCTTCTGCTGTGCGCGAAGGGATAAGTACGTTTATAATATATATACCGCTTGTCAACTTGAGATCAGACGGGGGGGGAAATCACATGAAATCCTCGTATCGTTCCCCCCCCCCCCCCCCCGGATCCATCATATGAGAATGATGGTGAATGCTGCCAAGTGCACCTGATTCATATGATTCAAGGCTCTATCCTCGTCTTCGTACTAAACAGTAAGTGGTCATTATCAGAGGGTGCATTATCTTCTCTTATGCTTGTGCGCGACGCGTGGCGATGGGGGAGGATGGGGAAGATGGCCTTTTTTTTTGGCGCTCATCACTCTTGTCCCACGACAACGGAAGAAGGGATTCCCCCCATCTGCCCCTTCTGATGTGCCTTCTGTACGTAGGATGACGAATCCCTTCTTCCACCGCCTGCGCCTTCCGCTGTGCCTTCTGTAGGATGACGAATCCCTTCCCTCCCACCTGCGCCTTCTGCTCCGTGATGGGATATGTGGGATATGTGGGATATACGTAGGATGACGAATCCCTTCTTCCCCCATCTGCGCCTTCCGCTGTGCCTTCTGCTCCGTGATGGGATACGTGGGATATGTGGGACATGTGGGATATGTGGGATATTCGCCAAGAAAGAACTCTTCCATGCCCTTCTGAAACCTCTCAAACCTCTCATCGTTCGGCACAGCATTATAGCTGATCTCAGCGTATATAAAGGGCCTTCTTGCTGCGGAGGAATCGACCTCGCATCACTCTACCACTCTACTACCGCTCTCGCATCACTCTACTACGTAATACGGTCTCGCATCACTCCACTCGTTGCAAACATCGTTGCCGGAAGCAAGCACCAGCAGCTCCTTTTTGTCGCAAACGTCGTCGCCGGAAGCAAGCAGCAGCAGCAGCAGAAGCAGCATCCACCACGCCAATCATGCCTAGTTCCGACTGGTCCCCCTCCCCGCCTCCTCGGCGGTCCCTTTCCCCACAGTGCAATGATGGCGTGGCGGATGCTACTTCTGCTGCTGCTGCTGCTTGCTTCTCCCCTCCACAAACACCTCGCCTCCTCACCCTTCATCCGTCCCCTCCCACATCGTCCGGTCTACAATCCAGAGAGCCCTTCTCTCAGCTCCCGGTCCCTCCCGCCCAGCCACCCCCCCCCCCCCCCCCCCCGCGGACATCTCCCCCGTTGCGGACTCCCTGTCCTCCCCAACATTTCGGCCCCTCGCCTCACTGTTCCTCGCCGCTGGCCCGCCCACCCGAAGGGTCCTGGACTTTTCGAACTACCGCTCCGTTCCTGGCCTCCCATCGACAGTGACAAGGGCCGACGTGTTGTCCAACGATGTGCACACGGAGAACCTGCCTCTCAGGGGACCTCTCCCCAGGACGGTCCTGGATGAAGGAGACGAAGACCCATTATGGTTCCGTGTGGTGGGTCCTCGCATCACTCTACTACTCCTCTCGCCGTACTTCTGCGGATCCTTCTCGTCGCAAACGTCGTCGCCGGAAGCAAGCAGCAACTAGGTTCATCGAGCACTGAAAGTTCAGCCCTTGCCCTGCATATGCCAACCAGACTTGAACTGAATTTCCGGCTCCTGACCAGGCGGAGAGAGGCAAGGCGAGACACCTTCTTGGCCTGGGGAATGGACTGGCGATTGGAAGACTCGATGCCTACGACGCCGGTACGTGGGTGCGGGTATGCCACATTACCAACCAGCCTCTAAATTACCCACCGAACGTCTACTTCGTCGACGCCCATTCCGCCACAGCCCTCAAGTTCCTCACGTTCACCACATCGTTCGAGAACTAGGACGGACCTGAGTCCCCCCCCCCCTCCCCCCCCACCGCTTCGGTGGTGGATAGGTAGGCAGCTCCCATCTGGGTGTGCGGTCTTTCGCCATCCAAGACGCCAATGCGTCAATCCACCACGGGACTGATCCGCCGAATTCGACATCGAGAAGTACGGAGACCTGATTCCACACCGTTGACTCGGGGGAGATGGGTAGGCAGCATCCGTCGGGGTGTCCGGTCCTCGCCACATCGCCAGCTCGCCATTCGATAGCTTTGCTTTCGCCATTAGCACTCGCCTTGGACACTCGACCCTCGCCATCGGTTCGCCTTCCGCCTCGACATCTTGCCACCCTCCCCCAGCCCTTACGCCAGCTTGACTCCTCGCCAGTCCGCCGATTCCCTTCCATTCGCCTCGGAATCTCATGATCACGTTTCTCTCCCGATTCTTCTCAAGACTTGGATAAGCAGGTACGTTTGTTCACATCCAGGTTATTGCCTACTGCAGATCGACAATCTTTGGATAGAAGGTACGTCGCTGCCTAACATGGCCGAACTCATGCTGACCCATTTCTCTCGTTGCTCTATCCATAAGCCGGCGGGCCCCGGACAAGGGACGCGTCACATGTTTGAAAGGTCCCGTGAGAGAAGTACTGTAGGTCCCCTTCGGCTTCTGGCTGCTGCTCTCCCTCCGTCCTCAGAGCCTCCAGTCCGGAAAGTCAGGATACGTCCTAGGGCCTCGTCGCCAAGTCTTTTCTCTCCCTCCCTCCCGGTCTTACCTTCCTCCCGCATAACGAGATGGTAGGACTCGGACACAGGTACGCTCTCCCTTATCTCGATTGGGGCGATCACTGACACTGGCTATGGCTTGTTCCCACGTCTCAAAACGCTTGCTAAGGTATGTCACTTTCCCATCCGTATTCCGTCCGCTTGCCTTACCCAGAACGACTGCAACCTTAGCGAGAGGCACATCTCTTCTGTTTGCACCGCCACGCACACTCCTCATTTAACTCCTCTTCTTTCCTGGCGTATGTCTCCGTATATTCTTTTTTTCTGGCTGTACTGGGATCGGTAACCTCCTGGTACCGACAGCCGGGAGGCCCCTCTGACAGGGGCCCGGCACAAATTGACAGGGGTCGCAGCGGAGAACGCGCTTGTCAGTCAGTGTCACCAGTCAAAAATAGGCTTCTCCCGGTTTCCCTATCCTCTCTTGGGAAAAGACTCCCCCGCTCCCCGAAAAATTATCAGGGTATCATGTTCCGTTTGGAACCGAGCGGGTTGCGCTGAAATGCTGTCCATTTGCTTGTCGTGCTTCTGCGCCGCAACCTTCCGGCATACCGTGTAACTATTTTTAGGAGAAAGGTTCTATCTTCTATCTGCAATTTGCAGGGATACGATCTTTCAGGGACCTCACATCGTCGTTGACAGCTCGGGAAAGTGAGGGACTCGGGTCTTCCCGCCGCCGTTAACCGATCGGGAAATTGAGTGATGGCGGGCCTTCCTGCAGAATCTTTGGACGCGGGTGCCAGAGCCTTACTCTCAACGTTGAAACATTCAGAGGCCGCGACGAGACGGCACTAGCGCCGTGATGCCTGTTCTATCTCCTTTGGGGGATCGCGAGGGGGTCCATCTCCATCGCAGGCTTGTCCTCGTCTATAAGAACGGGGTGGGGTGGACTTCTCCTCCCTTCCACCTCACCACTCAACAACACAACGCAGCAACAGCTCCCAGCTCTCAGCTCCAGCTACTCCTCAACACAACCAGTTCGATCAAGTCTCAACCTTCCCCAGAATGAAGTTCATCGCCCCCATCTTCCTCGCATTGGCCGCTACCCCCGCCTTCGCCGCCCCCGTTGAAGGGGACACCCCAACAAACCTCGCCCACCTTGAAACCCGCGCCGCCAAATGCAACTGGTGGAAGGGCTTGATCTGCACTGGAGTCGTTGGAGAAACGACTGCATGTTTTGCATCTCTTCCTGTCACGGCCAAGGTGGTTACGGCACTGGCTGTCGTTCAGGGTCTGGCCTGCGTTTCTGCTGCACGCCAGATCTCCGAGAACTGCAAGCCTTGCGTAGAGCAATCACTCAAAAGAATGTCCTCAAGCTACAAGTTGGAGAAATGCATCAACAAGCTTGTTCCAGCGATTACCTACGCCAACGCTAAGAAGATTTGCACCAGCAATGGGTCTCCCCGCTAAGTAGCAAGTCTTAAGGCGTGGTGAACACAATAGAAGCGTAAGGCCATAGGCAGATAGATTTTAGAAGCATAGCTGATAGGCTAGATTTCAGCAACCGCGCATACATTCCCCGACAATTCCAAATGTTTTAGAAATAGATTGATTTAGTATCAGATTGAATAAAACTCTTCTCTCAAAAATGTTAGCCCTCAAGTTGTCCTCGTCGTCTGTTAGGACACCTCGTGGTTGAGGAAGTTCAGAAAATGACAATCGGCTTAGTGCAGTCGCCTCCTCCGCGTGTTGGTTGAAAAAAAACACACACACACACCGTTGGCAGTTGGCACCAACCGATGGGACGCTGCTTCCGGGCTTGACAGGCGGACGTCGGCCAAACCAGGTTGTGGAAGTTGTGGAGTGATTGGTGCAAGTACGATGAGAGTGAGCGCCGGGACAAAATGAAGCCCCGGTGCACGATGAAGTTTGCACTGCAAGAGGTTAGGCTCAGGGGCCAACGTCCAGAGCAGGTTTATATAGGATCACCTGCGGTATCACATCCACTTGCGGCCGCCATGAGTTTGTAAATGTACAACCGTCGTACCACCCGGCACGAGGCCTACTCAAGGATTTCAGCTAAACCGCTTTACCACTCTCGCCATGCCGGAACGTTTTTGCTGGCCCCTCCGCGGGACTAACGACGTCCGTAGTATTTACTTTACATTGATCGAGTGCCCGAGACTGAAGCTTCTTACGTTTTGGGGACGGCATATGGTTCGAATACCCGATGTCTTCATTTATCGATTTTGTCATGCCCGTCGGCTTCGGAGCTGTGGATGTTGTTGTCGAAGAGTTCATGGGAGACGAACGCCCACATGCGGAGGAGCTAACGCAGGAAGTGATCGACAGCAATGCCAATGTGGCAAGACGTTTTCAGACATGATCTCGACGAGGATGCGACGGTGCAAGGCTTCAAAACTCCAGGGGCTCGGCCATTATTTTCATTACGAGGACGACCTTCTACGGACTTGAGGCATACATTCGCCATTGCCTCTGATTGAAATGGATATTTAAGATTCTATTATCGTCCGACGCGATGCGTAGTAGTATTCTGAAATCTACAGGATACTATACGCATCTAGAAGTTGAAGACATCTATCAGTCTGGGCGACGGAAGGTCTATAGAAACGATACGATCGTCGCTCACAGAACGAAGGGTATGAACCTTTTCCAGTTCCTCGGCACCTCATCTGCAAATTTAGCCTTGTACCATCTCCACGACTGGTCTGCCTCGATTCCTAGGCTAATCACGACATAGCCGAACACCAGAGCGGAAGTCAGGTTCTCAAAACCTGTCAGTACGCAGAATGACAGATATATCACCATCTCAAAGAAGTAGTGAGGTGAAGAGACGTGCTTGAACCACCGTGCTTTGGGCTGGGCGTAGACGTTCCTGGTCGATATTGTTGTTGATGTCGCCGTGCCCTTCTTCTTTCCCGGGATTCGCAAATCAGCCAAAGCTACATGTGCCAGGTGCTGTTCATACCAGCCGTAGGCAAACAGGGCAATGCCACAAACATGTCGAAAACGCAGGTCTGTCCATCCAAGACTCCGCTCGGCCCGTCGCCAGCCCTCAATGCCAACAGCAATCGGCGTCAGAAAGTAATATGCCAATCCATGCACATAATGCGCTACATGCATAGTTGCCTCGCTCGGCACATGCACGTAAAAGTTTTCATACAGCCGTCGTCCCGTCTGTGCAACCATCATCGCAAGCGCCAGCACCGTTTCAATGGGCGGCTGCACATATCCCGCTCCAACCTGCCCCCTCCCACTTCCACTCCTGTCAAAAGCCTCCCTTGTGACGAATCCGCTCTCTGGCTTCAGATACAAAAACAGCAAGGTGCAGGTCCAGGGCAGTCCCAGGGCGTAGAAGTGCCAGAACCAAGATTTGCGAACCGTGATTTGCTCGAGGCTGAAATGCTTTGGTGGGGAGCGGTCAGCTGTGGCTTTTCCGTAGGCGAGGAGGGTTCGGCGAAGGTATGGCACGGTGACGAGGACGACGATGAAGAAGGTGGCGAACACGTAGTAGGCACGAACAACGCCTATGATGGCCTCAAGGGGGAGAATGGGGCCCATCGCTGAATACCGTGCCGGCGCCTTGTCCCGATGCCGCTGGAGGAAGAAACTTCCGATTCTCCCTGGCCGTGAGGGAAGTCTTTCCCGAGCTCACTCTGCCATACAAGCAGGTCAGCAAGCAGGTCAACATAAACGACGTTGCGCGTCCTCGCCCTTTTGGACTTTGTGGGAAGGATTGACGCTCGACTTCCCCGCTCCGACCTTCGACACTCAAACCCTTTTAATTTCACAACACAGACCCATTCGGATTCCCCCTCCACTCCATCCCAATACCCACCCACACCACCCACCCGGCAGCATGACAACCACAGTCGAACCCGCAATCGCTCCCGCCGCGCCCGCCCCAATCGATGACGACGACGCAGAAGAAGGCGAATGGGACGGGGAGGACGACATACCTACTTCTGAGAACACAGCACCACCTGAGCCCACAAATGGCATTGAGGCCACACGCGCAGATGTCGAGGGGAGTGCCTATAGCGAGGAAGTGAGCAGTGGGGGATGGAAGAAGGGGAAGAACGGGGGGAATGGAAATAGGAATGGGGCGAAAGGAGTGAAGAAGGCTTTTTCCAGAGAGGTACGCCGAATGCGACTCGGAAGGGAGTGGGAGGGCGTGAGTGGGGCTGATTTCTTGTATTTTTGCTTGGGGGGGTAGGATCTCCACGCAGAGCAATGGGACGATGCGGCGCTGATTGATGCGTGGGATGCTGCTGTGCGGGAGTTTCAGATGTTTCATAGTGATAAACCGCCGACGGGGGGGTTGAGGAAGAATCGTCGGTGAGCTTTCTATCATTCGTTGCATCATGCGGGAATGGAAGACACGGCGCTAATTCTTTCTGTCGGCGATAGAACGGTACATAAGCCCGCTACTCCACCGGCGGTAAAAGGTGACCCGGTACCGATGGGGAGGAAGAATCCAAAGAACAGCGGGTGTGCGGGGATCCAATTGTTGCGGGTGGAGGAGCCCGGGACGGCATCACAGTCACCCGACAGCGCCCCACCACCACAGCCGCACGCTGATACCGCATACAACGCACCCAACGGACAGAATCAATATACCGAGCACATTCACACCCCAGGCCCTACACACGCGACACATGCCGGGCATCAATGCCCCTCCTGCGGGGATGCCACACCCGCATCTATGTCATCAACAGCAGCAACAACAGCTGCAACAACAGCAGCGATGGGTAAGTTTCCGTGCATTTCCATCTCCAGTGACACTACTTGAACAAACTAACTCACGTTGTGCTCACTTTTGTATAGCACCACCACTCCCATCAGACCCCGACCTCGCGAACGTCGTGCTGGCCTGGTACTACGCGGGGTACTATAGCGGGGTATATGCTGCAAAGGGTAAGTTTTCCTAATTCTCTTAGTTTTCGTAGTTTTCGTGCACTCCACATCTCTCCAATGTGATTTGAGATGGTTGTTAATTGATTAATTGTTGGCTTTTCAGAGACGAAACAATGACGGGGCCAAATATGAGGCGAAAGAAATCGCTTTGTAACTCCATGTGGCAGCAACGGATATCACACGGCACGCACACCCAGCGTCCCCACCGAAATTAAAAAAAAACCCGTATGGAGTTGCGCATGAATCGTGCATAGGCGTTTACGTAAGACGCGTGGTCAGCGGTCAGGGCAGGGAAGGGCTTTGGCGTAGTGGGAAGAAGGGGAGGGGACTGTTTCGGATAGATTGAATCGGCTGTTTGGTAGTGCCTTAGGCGGCATCCCGCCCAGCATCCCGCCGGGGCGATTGTCTTGCAGGTGTATATACAGCGTACTTATAGTAGTGGTTAGGGTCCGCAATTCTCTTGAAAGGTCTGAAGGTGTTGGAAAGAGATCGGTGCCACTCACAAACCACAACACCTGGTGCTTTTAGCGGAAGGACTGAAGGCACAGCTGTTGTGTGCTAACTGTATCTGCAGTGGGACGGCGATCTACCAACCAGAATCCTGCCGATGCGAAAGCCCCCTCTTTCCGCATGCATGACTGGGCGGTGAGACGCATGACTGCATGACAAGCGGGACCTTTGAGACCGGTCCTCGTGATGTGGATAATGGCACGGAGAGATGGCGCTCTTGCGTGGCACCGAGCACCGAGTTACGATATTGGTATACGCTGGCATCGCCCTGGTCGTCGCGGGATTTCTCGTATTCTCGGACGCTGGTCCGTGCGTAGCGGCTGGTTGCCGACGAGCCGGATAGATCAACTCACTCCTTTGGGATTCCGCGTAAGGAAGATGGATGCATTATGCGGATAGGCGACACCTGAGGGCTGCTGACGACGAGAATCTGCTCACAACTTGAGGGCCATTCTGATGATTTATGTGGAAGGTATGTGTATTACTACAATGTACTACCGTATGCCGTCGTTCGACTTTCAATTACATGAGGAGGGACGGACGGGAGGGGCAGGGATATAACCGGACAGCGAAGCCGAACACCGAAATGAGGGTAGAGTATCTCCTTTTGACTATGCACCCTCCCGCCATCTATCTGCAAACTAACATCTACTCGAGAATGTCCTTCAAGGGCAAAATGTAACCCTGTAATTCGCGTTCAAGCACTGGAACGTACTGTTCAAGTCGTCAAACTGCCACGAGTACGCATCAGGGCATTGATTCTTGAAGACCTGATCATAGCGTGCAGGGAAGGCGCTCCCGGCTCCGGGCCTGTGGCTAACGGGCCACTGCTCAACCCTGCATTTGCCTCCCCTCTCGTTGGGGTCGTTGTTATACGGCGAGCAGCAGTGCTTGGAGCGAGGGTCGGTGCAGCCGCATTTGGGACCGCAATCGCAAGAGCAGGAGACGAGCGAGAGAGTGTCGGGGTTGTTGAAGATGGCCTGGAGTTCGGGGAAGGCCGACTTGAGCGCGTTATCTCTGGCGGCAGCCGAGATAGCCAGACACACCAAGCGACCGTTCGCCGTCTTGCGGGTCAGCTCCGGCGGACACTTGCTCATATCCATCGCACATGAGGGGTTCCCGCAGTTGAACTTGCCGAGACCAGGGTTGTTGACGGTGGTCCCGAACGACTCGATCTTGACGCCGATGTTGTGCCCATCGACGTTGGAGATGTCGTAAAAGTCGGTCTTGCCGCCGCTTTGTAGGGTGAACTCGGCGAGGGTTGCGGGCGGTTGGCCGCCGATCCCCTTGCATGCGACGCCGAAGCCGTTGGCGAACGCGCCGCAGTCACCGGATTCGCAGACGAGATGTCCGCCTTGGTCTTTGCAGCCTGTGCGTGCCCAGATGCGGCCGGCGGTCCAGGTTGCAGGGACCGCGATGTTGTCTGAACCGCCGCGAGGGAGGAAGAAGCCGCCGTCGCGGGGAAGTGGGTCTCCTTGGATTCCGATCCAGATGTCTTCCTGGCACTTGTTGGCCACGGTGATTGTATGGCCGCCGGGATTGGCAGGAGGCGGGCTGCCGGTGGGCGGGGTGGTCGGAGGGGTGGTCGGCGGCGTGTTCGGAGGGTTGGTTGGCGGCTTTGCCGGTCCGGGGCCTTGCTTCAACACATCGTTCTCACAGTGGTAGAGACCTTCGGATGCCCGGAAGCAATCCCTGCCGCAAGGTGTCAATCTGAAATGAGAGGAACGAGACAATTGAGTAATGGATCAAATCGGACGCCGCAACCGACTCATCAAATTGCTTACCCAGCACCGCAAGCAGTCGCACGACGGTCCAAAGGACCAGCGCTAGCCGAAGAGATCAGACCCAAGAAGGCGGGCGCAAAGGTGAAGAGAAGGGCGGAGGCTCGCATCGTGATTGGGGGTATCGAGATCGTTGAAGAATGTGGTCTGTTAATGAGCGGGAAGTTCTTGGACAGCTTGCCGTCCTCTTTATATACCCCGCATTTTTTCAATGCATCTCATATGCCCGTTAGAAGCGTTGTCGTAGCTGTCGTTCCTCCTACGCTACTGCAGTATCCTCGCGTCCTCATCCCACTGCCCGCAACACATCATGACGCTGTCGTATCCATTTGCACGCAGGTGGGGTACATGCCGTACGACCATCACGGCCGAGCAAGCGTTCATTTCCCAGATTTTTCCAGAACCGCTGACCGAAAAACGAGCCGTTGTGAGAGGGTAGTGACAGCAACAGGATTGGACCCTGGCCGACATGGGGCGACACGAAAAAGTTTGTGGTCTTAGCGAGAAACTCTGAAACTTACGCGTTGAACCAATGCCAGACATCCAAGTCTCGCGGCGGACATCTCGGACATCGGAAAGCATTGAAAGCAAGCCAAGATCTCCGTACGGGAGATGCGATCGTGGAAATTTGGAACTTTCGGTCGCGACCGCATTAGTGTTAGGATGGGGGGATCCCGCGCCGTTCATTCTAGATAAAGATCGTGCGGTAAGCCGCAGTTCGACTTCCGCTGCCGCTGCATAGGGCCAATGACGATTCGGGTAGGCACCAAATGGCTATAATACCGCACGGACACGGACCACGCCCGGTCGTTGACATGAGGTTGTGGTATCCCTCGACTTTCCAGTCGCAAATGCGACGCAAGTGAATGACATGTATGTACGCGTCCAAAAAAGCTATCCACATACCAATAGGGTACATAGTCTCCGCCACCAACATATTCATTGTCGCTGGTTTCATAGGACTAAAATAAGGGTGCAGACTCTCAATGTAGCCTCAACTGCGGTGTTGTTGTTGTGAGCGATCTGCATCCACGCCTCCTGCTTTGCCGACCGTGGTTTGCCGTAACGGAAGATCGCGATGGCCTCTTTCAAGAGAGCAATGTCGTGAACAGGACGAATGGTTGGACGCTGGCGTCGCTTTGCTGAGGCAGCTGGCGTGGGCGGCAGGCTTTCCGCATTGCTGTCTGTGTCGTTACCGCCAAGCATTTCAAGATTGGGGTTGGGATTGGGGGCGGAGGTGGGAATGAGATTGCGAGATGGGCTGCGATGGTAGAGGTGAGTGTGCTTTACTACTCGTTGCAAGCTGAGACGGGTTGTATAAACGTTGCAACGAGAACGAGTACCAAAATTCCGTGGCTACTCGTTTTAGCGGCGAACTCGTTGTCGTTGCGGGCTGTATAAACGGTCTGGTAATAAGCATCAGGGAACAGGGGAACGCACAACCGAGATCCACGTGATCCGGCTTGTATGTTTATTCTGCGCCACGCGCCTGATTTTTTATAACATTCCTTCCTCGTTGTTTTTCCTCTCCTATAGCAAGCATTACCAACGAAGTCATGGTTACCTCCCAGCCCGTCGAACTTACTTTCCAAGCCTACCGGCAAAGCCTTCCGACTACCATCTCCGAGGCGGATGCGTACCAAGGCTATCTTATAGATAAGAAACGGATAAACGGGGAGGCCGTGTTGGCAAAGGCCGAGCAGCTTGAAAAAGAGAAGCAGAAGACTGTGCGTATGCAACAAGGACTTCCAGCCAGTACGTACCTAGCGACTTCGAGCAAATTTACGTCAGAAATGCAACCCCTCTTACAATGACATTGAGGTAGGCAAATCCGCAAGATATACTGCTGTGGGCATTACCCTGATCTTTCCGACACTGATTTTGATTGCTTGCATGTCCGCAGGATGGGGAAAGGAAATGAAATGGTGGTCACCAGAATTCTCGTCGCTTTTTCTCACCCCGCTCTCGACCGCCCTTGGTATATTCACGGGCCTCACCGTCATACGCGTCGCCCACGACAATCCTCAGCGGTATGTTACGCTTCTTTGGGGATATCAGAAATGCTTTGGCAAGATGCGCGCGGTATGGGTGTTGCGGAGGGTATGGAGATGGAGATGGAGGATGATTAGCGCAGGCCTGAAGTATATCAAGGAAATGTCACATAAAAATCTCGAATTACACTTCCGACCCCTAGTTTATGAGGTTTGTTTATAGGAGGTACTACATAACCTTCCCGAGCACAAACTTCCGTGGCTTAAAGCGTCTCTCGTATGGTTCAGCAGGGAGGCGTTGTCGGCGAGGGCGGCTGCGTAGAATTCGCCGATATGGGCGAGGGCGGCGCCGACTCCTCAACGCTTGAAACGCTCGAAGCCCGGCTAGCCCCGGAGAAATCCCCGTCGACGTTGACTCTTGCGGAAACGTGAGGAGAAAAATGCGCTGAGTATCCACTTACGCTGCAGAAAACCGAGGCAGGAGGCACAGCTGCTCTAAACGGAGATCTGTCTCAAACAGTGACTGTTGTGCCTCGCCTTCGGAAGGTCATCGTAAGGCGAACAAAGTGAATCCCGCCTTTCGGCAGCACGTTGGAGAAGGCGGGATCGCGCGTCGGAGCGTCGGAGCCCTGAAAGGTTTCATACACCAGCGTACACCAGCGTACAGCTGTCGACGGTGTTCACGTCTGCCCGGCCGTCCAGCATCTCCGGCTCCCAGTTAGTGTGTCGGTGTCCTTTTGCCACGATCAGCCAGTTATCGTGCCCTTTGTTCTCCGGCATTACTGAAGGTAGGTGCGCAACAAAGTAGAAGCTATCAAATGTATTCAAAATTTCGTTTGTTGTATCATACATGTTACGTGGTTCACGAAAACACGTCCAAAATTCAAAAAGTCCTAGCGAATATATATCCAACTCGAAAATATGTCCTTCCTCATCGCAATGGCAGTCGGAGGTCTCTCAACGAATACGGGGAGCCTCCTCGATATGGTTTGACTGGTTTAGCTGTCCTCGCTGGCGGCGGAGGGACCCTGCACTTCGCCCGAAGGACCGGCGGATCCCAAGCCGACGGCGCTCTTGAGCTTGTTGCCGACCTTCTTGACGATGCCGTCGGGTGCGCCGGGGGGTTTGACGTTGACCTGGAATTGCCCATATTCGCCTGAAAGGGAGAGAGGTTGAGTTAGAGGAGGTGCGTGATTGGGTTACGGCTGTGTTGAGAGTGAAAGGAGAGTGGTGCGCACGCTTACCTAGGCGGACGGGGAACTCCTTGAGGAATCCGGTCTTCTTGTGGAACTTCGCCAGGTTGGCCGCGACTCGCCATTCTGCAGGGAGAAAATGAATTGAATGAGTGCCAGGCGAATGGGAAGCTGAACGGCACGCTCAAACTCCTACTCCTACTCACCAACGACAGCAAGCTCCCTTCGAAGAATAGAGTCCAGCTGATGGTGAGTGATGTGTTCGAGCGGTAGGGAACCTTTCAACGAAGCGGTAGCATCATCCAAGAGAGCCAAGAACGCAGAGGTGGCGGATTCACGAACGAAAGTGTTGTGCGCCGCCGGAGTGTTAAAGAGCGAGTAGGCGAGGTTCTGTTGGCAAGTGGGGCAAAGAGGCGTGTGGGGCACGGGAAGGACGGATGGAGGGTGAGTGGAGTGCTGGTCGTGGAGACGGCGGGATGGGATGAGGCTCTGCGTTTGGGAAGGAGAGGGTGTGATGATGAGAATGCGAATTGCTCATGCGGTTGAATGCAATGATTGTAATGCACAACTTACGTCCAAGATGTAGACCAGATCCTCTCGGTAACTGATCAACTCTCCGACTTTGACCTCAGGAGCCTTTCCGAGCAGCTTGAAGGGACGGGCCTTTCCGAGCCATCCGCTCTTCTTCAAGATCTCAGCTTTCGCTTCCATACGAGAGACGGTCGCACGACTCTCGGTCGAGTCGCTGCGGATAGTTCCAAACTTGGGGTCGACGATGATGGGGATGCGGTCAGGCCTGTTTGCAATGGCGACCTTGTTGGACTTGCGACCAGCGGAAGCACCGACGTGAGGAGGCAGAGTGGCACGAGACTCATCCCTAACAGGGCTCCTTGGCGAAGTGTGCGGGAGGTCCTCGGGCGAGATGCTAACGTCTTCGGCAGCGTTATCGCTCTTGTTGCCAAAGAGAGGGATGGAAGAGATGGCGTTGAGCGGGTTGAGCGTGTGCTTGACCTGGCTGAAGGTAGACTGCTCGTGCTCGTGTTGATCGTCGGCACGGTCCTCACGTTGCTCGTCGAGGGCGGCCCAGATACAAGTGCACGGTGCGGAGATAGAGGGCCTTGGGAGAATTGCTGCCGTTTGGACCATGATGATTAATTGTTTCTGGTTGCGAAAATAAAGTTTCGGAGCGTTTGAAGAAAGGACGAGGATGTTGTTTTTTTAGCGGAACTTGGAGGTGTGCGATTGCTTTCCGGAAGTCAGAAGGGCTCCGTGGGGGGACGTCCCGCCTTTTTATGTCCTTTGAGAGTTCCTTTAGAGTTGCGCGGGAGGCAGCGATTGCTGTAGCATACACCTTTTCCGGCCTAATGACAATGCTATGTGATTACGTCGACGTATTTGGGTCCCTTGTTGGAATTGGAGATCGGGAGATCGACGATGGTGCTGTCAGTCCCGTAATTAAGGGTTCCCCGCCTTTTCTCTGATGCACGCGTGATGTCATAGCCCGCATGAGTAAAGAAAACGCGTGAAACGATCTGCAGTGTTTGCACCCCAGAGGGATTGCATATGCAGCCAGCCACGTCCGAGGACTCATTATCATCAGCGTCAACCAACGAGTAGCAACGGGTCCCCTGGAAAAGGTCCAACTCATTACGTCGTTCTTTATAGGATGAAAAGTCCATTGTCTTAGCCTCTTAGGTGGTGGTTTCTCCGCAAACCGCAGAAAGGTGCGTGAGGCTGTATTTGAAGGTAGGCCATCAAAAAATAGTGTTGGCACAAATAACCGATGGGCGACTTTGCCCGAAGACAGGACTCAGCAACGTTGCGATGGGCTTCGTTACCAGCTTCAGCGACGAAAACGCTATCGGAGGATTTTAGCAGTACCAGCGACAATGACTACCGTACAAACGAGAGCCCGAACATTCAACAACCAGAACCAAATATAGTGATAACGCCTGCGCCGTTAGCAAAACCGATGTCTCAAATCCAGATCTCATGCAAGCCTTTGCAAAAGTCGCAGTCCAAGCTCCGGCGGTCCGACGAGGCACACGTGAGGTTCTCGACATACTTCCCTCCGATTCAAATTCGATTTTGATTTCCAGCGCATGTCTTATCAGCTCGGAAAGGAGATTTCGGACGGATAGCCTCGATATTTGGTTGGGAACGCCTGCCGGATGGCGGCGGCACAGCTTCGGCAACGACGGACTTACACAAGGTGGCGTGGTCCACAAGCAAATGAGCAGGACCAGCCTCTCGCTGGGGGAGATTTACGGTGGTCGTAAGGCTGGTAGATGGTGCCGTTCGTCTTTAGTTCCAACTAATGCTCGCCATGATGGAAGGAAACGACCTCCATTTCAAATGGCTTCATCCGATGCCCTTTGGCCGCGGAGGGATTCTACTCATGCATTTGATGTGCCTGTCATCTCCTAACTATAAAATGTGCTTTGAAGAATTATTAGGACGAAGTAGGTATAGATATGACCTGCCCAACATGATGCGGAAGTGGTGAACCGCGATCAAATCGTTATAGGGTCATGCCACACCGCATAAGCCGCAACGTTCAAGATTCCGTCATCGGCCACTGGCGAAATATCGATCAGTCCGAACTCCAAATCAGGGTCGAAGTACTGAATGAGAACGTGAGGGAAGGCGGTGCAGCAAAATGCGACTAGCCAGCGGAAAAAGTTGTCTGGTGTCCACCCAATATGCGGTGTGTACCTTGTACGAGGCGAGAGGGTTTCGGGTTTTGGAGCATTGTGAGGGACCCTGACCCCAAGTTCATGCATCAGGTCTACAATAGCAGGCCAGCGCCGGTGATCATGACCCGCATCCCTCGCCGAACACTTTGTGTCTATGAGCGTGATTCTAGTGGCTGGTTTTTCGTCCACCGCAGGGACGTCGGCGACTATGCACATGTGATTCTCGAGAAGGATTGGGCCAGGTCCATCCCTCCAGAAGTAGGACATTTCAAAAGAGATGCGTGTTGGCGAAAGCTGGGTCGCATCTCCTGAGCAGCTTGCGCAAGACATGTCAAACACAACCTTCACTTGGTCAAAGGTGGCACACGCCGTGACCAACCCCGACGTGGAGAGGCCGTCAACGACGGTGATGTTGCTGGTTTGTATCCAAGCGTCGTAGCCGGGCAGCGCGGTTTGCATCCGGTTCAGGTCTAAGGCGGGTTGTGCCACTTCGTCACTTGGCTTCGTATCCTTGGCGAACGCTGACGCCAGGGAAAGTGTTCCGTACGTTTCTGGCTTTCCTTCAATACTTAGAGGCCAACTGTTACGAGCCCGCCACTGCATTTTGCGGATAGTGCTGATAAGCGAATCCAGCAGATGCGTCGATATTGACAGATTGTAATGAGCGCGACCGAACAGCGTTCTTTCCAAATCATTCCAAATACGATCGATTTCGGCTGTACACAGATCATTCTCAGTATCGCCCCAATTCAAACTAGGTTTCACATAGTTTCCATCGGTGCTGTGATTTGACGTTCGAATGTTAAGCTGAGAGCGCCAGTTTCGGATTTCCCGACGCCTCTCCTCGTCATCGAAAATGCTGATTGTGTGCATCCCACCATCAGTATTCGGCCATAACCCTGCAAGCAGGATTGCATCGCGATGAACGAATGGCAACAGTAGTGGCCACCAGAGGCGGAAGAGGTGGTCTACAGAAATATCCAGAGGGATGCTCAGCGACCCAAAGATAAATTCGCAAGCCCGCTTGAACAGGTCTAAGCGCATAGTTCCGGAACGGCGCTCCGCATTTTCTCCTGCATCCCATGTTTCTCTCCTTAACTTCGAGCACCTCAAATGCCGTGTCGGGTTCCTCCGCGAAAGCAACGTAGAGACGCAGATCCGTGAGTGAAATCGCCCGGCGTGAGAGCGCAAGCTTCCAGGTATATCAGGGTGCATTCCCCAACAGCACTGCCTGCATCAGACGCTTTCGACGCCATCGACGCCTTCGGGATGGATACGACGGAGTGCAGAACATGATGGACGGCATCGGGGGGCAGAGCGTACTGATCGTTTGACACCGCCAGTCGACGCGAGAGCAATACTTTGGCACCAGTAGAGCCGATTTCCGGAGACACCATGTTCGCAGACAGTATGTCCTTGCAAGTCTCCAACCGATCAGCAAAGTCCTGGAGCCGGGACAGGTATATCTTCAGAAGGTATTCCTCTGCGGAAAGTGGCGGTTCTATTCCATCGGGACTCTCCGCGACGTGGTCAAAGTTTCGGTTCACCGGCTCCCATGATGCCGCTCTCGCTGCGATTTCTGACGGCGACGGTATGCAAAGGTAATCGTCAAAGAACGTTCGGAAACGGCGATGCAATCGAGCGATTGGGAACTCGGAAGCTGGAAAGATGCGCGCGAGCTTGCGAAGCACGTCCAAATCGCAGAACCTGGAGAGGTCGCCGATGAAACCTGGATACAACGGGCTCTCGGGGACAGGCATCGTTGTGCTCTTCGTCCCACGTCGTTACTCTGTAGCTCCTTGTTGGCGGCAGGAAAGCTTGAAGAGTTCCGTGGGAAACTGACTGAGCAAGGTTTGGCAGCAAACAGAAGTTTGGTATCGATCACGGTCACCGAGTGTATGTACAGATAGGCGTTATGCGTTTATCCTTTGAAACGTGCCATTTCTCTCTCAAGGATGAGACGACACGATGGCCATCTGTACCTGTACTGTCTATAAAGCGTCTTGATGGTGAGTGAACTTGACGGGATTGGAGGGACTGGGTGGGAACCTGGGTGGGACGCGTGAAGACTGCCCCCTCAAAACGTCCATCAAACAACCTTCCATCACAAAAAAAAATGAGCATCGAGAAGAAATATATATGTAAAAAGCAATCTTACTACCTTGCTTCTGGGCTGAGGGATGCAAGAATATTGCCCGTATGGCAAGGCGGCGGATCAGCGGGTTAGTGAAGTCAATGAGGGGGAGCTAGGGAACAAAGGGTTGGGCGATGGTGAAGAGGCACGACTAGATAAAACGACTAGATAAAAAGAGACGCGCAGCTATTCGATCCGCACGAGGTTGAATGGGAGGTGTTTGGGATGATCACCGTGGATGTTGCTTGTTCAGACACCATATCGTTCCGTAAGCGTGTCCTTGATGGCTTGGGGGATGCTGGACCATGTGACCACCCACTGCTCTCCGAAGGCATTCTTGAATCCGACGAGAATCTAGCAAATCAAAGAGGGCAATAATGGTAAGCAAAGCAGGCATATGTGACGGGATGCATTTGACGCAGTAAGAGCACATACCGATTCAAAGCTCTGCGCGAGCTCCGGCGATACTTGGTTCCATCGAGCAACGGCGTCACCTGCAGAAAAGAGAGTATACTTTGTTAAGCACGACGGGTCAAAAAGGGAATATAATCCAAAGTACTATGAACTTACAAAAATACACAAAGCTCTTGACAACACCCGTAGGGTTCAACTCGATCATGCGGCAGAGACCCAAGAATGCGCTCTGCTTCTCGAGGTTGTCGCGGACGTTCCGGAGAGCTTCACACCTGGGACATTGGGGAGACACGTCAGTACTTTCCAGCAGCACTTCACGACGACAAAAGATTGCTACGCACCATGGTTCAATGAAGATCGACAAATGTGGCGCGACGAGCTGAGGACACACGAGACCCAGCCTACCGATAGTGATGGCCGCATTCTCGGTGATGGCTTGTGGTGTGTGGTCACGCTTGGCATCGCGCAGGAGAGGGAGCAACCGCTCGAGGAGAGGGTTCACCCATGGCTCGATTTCCGCTTCTACATAAGGTAGAATGAGGTCACTTAATCATAAGTACACCGCGCAATCACAACCTATGACAAGACGTACTTTGTTTCAGCGCAATCTCGCCAGCCGCCCACACAGCATTGTTGATAACCGAAACCCTGTCGGAGAGGTTTACGCCTTGCAGCTGGTTGATCAGTTCGGGAAGGATCTGGTTGACGTGGGGCTTAATCAGCGGGAATGCAGAGATGCAGAGATCTCCGAGAAGAGCGAATGCGGATTGTCGGACGGAGGGTGTGAGGTCCTAGAACGACAAGGTGAAGGGTGAGTATCCGGAATCCCTGTGAAAGCAAAACGTCGAGCAGTAGATCTACGAACCTGCATGCAGACGGGTAGCAGTGAAAGGACTGGAGGTTGTATGGATGTTGCCAACACTTCCACTTGCGGTCCCAGACCCTGTGCGACGCCTGATAGCAAGTCAAGGGACACGACAATGAAGTCCTTATCGGGTGCATCGTAGTCTTCGTGGCTTAGGGGCGCAGCGTGCTATGAAAGGGTATTGATATGAGACCATGCGCGACGTGGAGAATCGCCAACCTGGCGTATACCTGGTAGTACTCCAGGGTGGTCTGCACGATCCTTAGGCATCGTTGCCACACCTCCGCAGCGAAAGGCTGGAAATTTGGTCCCAGGGCCGTTGCGACCGATGACATGCACTGTAAAATTGTTTCGAGATTAGCACGCTGAGATCAAAGCCGTCTAGACCACTCGTCCATCCTACGAACCTCAAACAGGGGGAAAATCCCTCTGTCTGAATCCTCGATACTCGCCCACTTTTGGTGCAGAGGTTGCATCAAAAGGTTGATATACCTCTCGTTCCTGAGGAGGGCACCCACAGAGTCGGCGAGCGTGCCGATGGCATCATATAGAATGAGCAAGTTCTTGCTCTGGTACTTTCCAAACGCCATCGCCATGGTGGTGACAATTTGTTCGAGGTATGGTGCGAGCAACGTTGTGGCTTCCTCTTCTACCGTTGCCAAGGCACTGCATGCGGCTTCTTGCACGCGCTTGTTGTTATCGAGCACGACTTGAAGGAGCGTAATCACCAGGGGCTTGAAGTACATCTCGCGATGCTGATTCAGTAGCTCTGGCGTAGGGCAATGCTGATGAATCCAGTCCCGTGGAGGGTTGACAGCCCATCCAGCGTATCGCCCAAGGGTCCAACACGTGATGGCGCGCACAAGCGGCTGAGCATCCGTCAGACCGGAAACAAGGTGAGGTACCAGCTGTGGTAAATGGGGCATCATGCCGGACAAGCATCCCTCCGCGATCGCACCCAGTGCCAAGATACCGCATTCCCTGTGCACCCATTCTGAGTGGGCGAGTTCCTCCTTCAACGGCGGCAGCAAGTACTCCAAAAGCTGGTTCTCGTACACGGTCGCAAAGACATCAAGAGCGGCGGCAGAGCATTTGCGGAGGTTCCATTCGGTGTAGACGTCGTCTTCGTCTTCGTCGTCATCGAAATCGCTCTCATCATCATCGTCCTCGTTTCCAGTGGGATGGGAAGGCTGTGTCGGAATACCCGCACCATCCCGCTCCAGTTTGTGCGCAGCTGCTTTGTGGTGACGAGGTTTGATGTCTTGCTCGCCATCGGGGACAGCGGCGTCATCGTCTGCCTCGCTGGTCAAGATTACCAGGTCATCTTCCGAGTACACCATCCCCTTCAGCAGGATAGGAACAATGCTAACATTTGTTTTGTTAGTACGAGTCAGTTTTCGCATTTGAAGGCGGTTACGTGCGACATACTTTGGGAGGTAGTTTTCGAGATGATCCCTCAGCTCGTCTTGTTCCGCGAATGAAAGCCAGAACTCACAAGCCTCCAGAGCGACCTCATCCTCATCACTCTGCTCCGTGCAGTACAACATGAACTTGACAACATTGTCAAGTTGAGGGATCAACTGGTCGGGATACGCTTCGAGCAACATGACGAGTGCCTGGCACACATTTTTCCTGACGGTAGAATCTGCGTCGCCTGTTCGCTCGTAGAGCCCTTGGACAAACGCTGTCACGTTGGCCTCCAAGCCAGGGGACCGAGGAATGATGAACTGGTTACAGGAGTCGATGGCGGCAGCCCTGATTTTCGCGTTGGGGTTGCCGAAGAAGTGAATGAACTTCTGAATCATGAAATTGACAGCTTCCGGATCCAGCCGGGTTGCCGAATCCTCACAAATCTTCTGCAAGGCTCCGAAAGCACCCTGTGTTCATTGCAAAGGTGAGTCCGGGTTGTCATCAGCACCGAAAAGTGGACAAGCCTGCGAAATCTGGTGTGCGACCTCATTCAGCAGAGAAAACATACCTCCACCGTGTGCTGTTCCGGAGAATCAATCATATTGACAAGCAACCCAAGAACTTCCGGCCATATGTGGAGTCCAACAGAGAGAATCGTTGTGATGATTGAACCTGCAGCTTGACGGACGGGCTCCTGAGGATCCGCAACGGATTGGACGACGACCTTTTTGATGAATTCCAAGTTCTGCGGCTGAGCTTGCAGAGTCTCCATGCGAGCACGGACGAAATTCTTTAGCGTCAGCCCAGCAATTGTTCTGGACGGAGCCTCGACCTCCGGCATTGCCATGACGCATGCCAAGTAGTTGGGGTATTCCGGGGTTGTTGTAAACTCGTCGAGGCGCTGCGATTGGATAACATTCCTACGTCAGCATCTGACAGTCTGATGCGAACACGGAAAGAACGCCTTGACCGAAAGTCGGGCAAAGCAATAAAGCCCAGTCCTTACCTGTCTGACATTCTGCTGAACGGCGTTGTCCGGAGAGATAGAGTCGTTCAACAGCTGGATCAGCAGCTGCAGATCTTCGGGCCGCGGTTGCCAGGTCATATTCGCGTCGAAATCCTCTGAAGGAAAGCTGTGGTGCGGTGAACTAAGATTTCGGACCTACATATCAGGAGGATGAACGAAGGATAAGACAAACAGGTCGGGCAACATCTTTGGTTTCTACTCTTGACCAAGGCGGTGGAACCGCAAATGTCAAATGGTGCGCAACTGCTTGAAATGGGACTTACCAAACTCGGCAGCGTTTGTTCAGGATCCTACGAGCGACGACCTGCAACAAATAGGCAGTTCCTGGAGCCGGGAGGACGACGCCGCGCAGATAGATATAGGGTCCGCTTGTCGGGAAGGGATTGGGGCTGCTGGCGAAGAGCGTGGGAAAATGGGCAGAAACAAGAGCTGCGAGCCTCAGGTTCTCGCCGCCGAATGAAGCTCTAAGCTGAGAAGCGCGCATGGGAGCCCCCAATGTTTAGCGCCCGTATAGACGCCCTAATGTAAACGGGAAATGGCCGCGGCAAAAAAGCTTAACTTGAAGTCACGTGGCTATGCGATGGATAAAAGATTGTGTTGTGGAACTTGTGGTGCTCTTTCATCAGCTTTCATCTCCCTCGCATCCTTTCCGACCGATCGCATTTGCTTCCGTCTCCTGAACGCAACTGGGCGCCCTTTAGCCATCGAGGCCGAGCGGGCCGACGATCTTTATCTTTCCCCTTTCTAGCACGTCAAAGATGTAAACGACAACGAGGTTCTCGCACCGCGGGATCGGGAGAATCGGGGTGGACGGTGTGCATGCTCTGAGACTTATCGTAATACGTTGAGCAGCGTGCAAACCTCCACGTCTCGAGACTATGAGGAAGGAGAAAGCCAAAGGACGGGATGTGTGATGTCCGTGGGACGCTGTGAAGCGGCGGCGGTGTGGGGTGCTTGCCGGACACCTGGGTCTGATGGTGTCGCAGTCACGCTCCAGTTGTCTCCCGACCATCCCTTGTCATCGCTGCAAAATCAGCTACGCTGTACGAAAGATCACCCGAGATTGTTGGCGTTTGGACCTTGATGGATCCACGGGTCAACGGTCTTATTTGTATGTACATTGGGTATGTGAAAATGCGAATATGATGCTTCAGTAGGGCAGCTATGTACAGTACGTGCGAGCGAGGAGTCAGACTCGGCGTCCCTCCTGCGTGAAAGATCGCGGCACTCTCGCGGTCTCGTCCTTCGTCCAACGCCATTCACTTCCCGCGATTACCGCGAAAGGAAACTTTTGCAGGCAACTTATCTGCCTCTCTCCGCCTGAACCCACTAGAAAAGCTTTTTCTTCTTCTTCGCCCTCGCCGCCTGATACCTCGCCACCTCCTCCTCCCTCTCCTTCCGTCTCCGATCCTCACTCTCCTTCTCCAACTCCATCTTGGCCTTTGCATCCAACACCGCATTCCCTGTGCTTGCCTGCACCGGTGCCTGCTGCTGCTGGGGCTGGTGCTGCTGCTGCGAGTCGAGCGAGGCAAACATGTGCGCGTCGGTGGAGAGGGGCAGGGTGGGGAGGTTAGTACCGAGGGTTGGCGCGGGAAGGGTCGTCGGGGATGTGGCGTCGGGTGGTGGCTCGGGGGCGGTGAGAGCTTCCAGGGCTAGTTTGTAGAGATGGGATGAAGATGAGGGTTGCGATGACGGGGCGAAGAAGGAGGTTACGAGATTCGTTGGACTTGGCCGGGATTTTTGGCTGGAGCGGAAGTCCTGAGAAGTAGGGCGTGAGTATGTGGGCAGGTGGAAAAAGGCGAGCAACGATCCTTCGTCCATATGCATTTACATACCTCATCGGCTGCATTTGTGAATGCTTCTTGAGAGAAGGGCTGCGATCGTTCTGCAGCGGCGAGAGACACGTAGCAATCAGCATCCACGTCATAGCATGCGATGCATACTTTCCGCTGGCACATGCTTCCTCAACTGCTCAACAGGTCCCAGGCACTCACTCGGAGCATATCTGACATTATGAAATGCCAAAGATTCGTGACACTCCTGCAGCTCCCGCTCCTTCTTCTCAATCACCGCCTGCAAGAGCTTCAAGCGGCGCTCCTGTTCGGCGGCAACGATGATCGTGGGCACCGTCAGGTGCGTAAAGAGCACATCTCCGGGGGTAAAAGCGGGTGCCACAGCGTCGCTGTGAAGTTGGGAGAGCTCAAAGACCCAGCGGAAGGAGACGCTGCCGACTTGGCCTGTAGCGTGAATTCTGAGCTGTGATGGTTGAGCTATTGTCCTCGCTTCGCTCGTTACCGCTCGAGCTCCCTTTCGCATTTCAAACTCACCTGCCCAGCTTCATCCGGCTCAAAGACGCTCATATATTTGACCGACTCCTTTTGCTCCTTGACATAACCCTCAATGAAAGGCACCATCTTCTCGACAGGCGTGCCACCGAAACTCTTTGCATACGTCTGAGAAAGGAAGTAGCAGAGAGAGAGATCGTAGCGTCAGACGTGATGTTCGAAGTGGAGAATGTCCTCGATATCGGTCTCGCGCCGCAAACTGGGGGCGGAGTGTTCAGCTCGCAAAATATATCCGTGCTTGCTATCGCTCGCCACGACGATTTTGCGCTTTACAATCTCCTCAAGCATTCCGACCAGGGCGTTTCTCGCCCCATAGCCTTACTAATGACTCAATACAATCAGCGCAAGCCGCTTTCCTCGGCTTCGGTCATAGGAACAGGTCCTCCAGCTCGCCAGCATCCCAATTCGCTATCGCTCGCTCACACACCACTGGACCACCGGCCCTCCATTCGCTTCCGGCAGCCCGCTGTCTCCTTTCTCCACCTTCCTACCTTGATCTTCCGGGCTATCTCCGCCTCGTTAGCTGTCTCCATCCAGCATCGCTTAAAGTCGGAAACGAGGATGGTGTAAGAGTGAGATGTGAAGTGTGCTTTTATGAAGAGGGAGAGGGTTGTTCCGTCAGCGGTGGGGAGAAGGAAAGGTGTCCATAGGGGCGACTCTATCGCCAATTCAGCGAGAGAAGCTGCTGCTGGGTCTGTCATCGCCGGCAGTTTGCGGGGCATGTGAGCGTCAGAGAATTCGGCATGGGGAGGAAGGGGAAAGGCTGAACGCGTCCGAATGACTCGCGAGAAAGTTGTCCGGATGCATCGACGCGATTTGCTATGATGCACCTCTCAATTTCTTAAAAGGGTCGTGCCGGCTAAAGGAAATCCGTTAGCAATGTTTAGTCGACGGCCACGAGGTGCTACGGGGTATTTACGAGGTGTTCCCACTATTCTAGTCGTTCCGTCATATATCACCTATAATGTTGAAAACGAGGTAGCTATTGGTAGTGGAGTTCTCGCCCCCTAAAAGCTCTTCCAACCATACGACAATCGCGAAACTAAATCAATGGCCATGAATTGTCTTGGCCTTGCAAATAGTCCCCTCGGCAAGCCTCGGGGCCGATTTTTAAAGGCCTCGACGCGTCCCTCGGAGACATCCACTAAATGGTCGGTCATTCGACGCATAAGGCTAAACTGCGTTTTCATGGATAAGATCTTGAACGGAGGTTGCCGTAAGTCCTGTGTGCAGCCACTGGATGGTGATGCCATCAACGGGAACTTCGCAGAGTCCATGCCTCTTGCAGCCGGTGTCCTTCCGGGACGGCTTCAAGAGATTTCAAACACTTTTCGCAGATGGACGCGACACTTGGCGTGACGTGCCCGGCGTGACGGGCACGTCACTCAGAGCGGCGAGAATTTCACTCAGATTGTCCCAAGTCAGCGAAAATTCCCGGAGTGCAGCCTTCTCTTGCTTGTCTGCAATACTAATAACGATTCTCCTGATTGTTCATCGTTTTCTCCAACTTGTCTGCGAGAGTGGGGACAACTTTCTGCTTGGTGTCGTTCGCATTCTCCAACTTGTCTGCGAGGGCCGTGATAGCTTCCGCTTGCTTGTTGTCTGCGAGAGCAACGAGCGCAGTCTCCAGCTTCTCCGTGCGGGACGCAGCGACGGCCAGCTGATTCTCGAAGATAGCCGACAGCCTGAATTCCGTCTCAGGAACGCTGCCGGTCCTCTTGATGAGCTCCCGTTGATGCCTGATCCATTGTCATCTCGAATGATATGTTGCGTAGGTCTTCAATGCGGTGGGAAGAGTAGAGGATCTTTTTCTGGAATATGTTCTAGAAACAATTCTTCAAGAAAACGCGGTTGTGCTTCTGGTTTTTCAGAGGGTTTTGTCCGAAGTGAGCGCGGTTTCAGAGAAGCACAGTTCGACTGAATAGTGTGTTAGCGTAGAGGAAGATATCCAACTGGAAGCTCGTAAGTTTCGTCAGCACGACGGACATATCGACGGAGCGGTAGTCCGTTGTTTCCTAGCTGCTCAGTTACTCCTCGAACCCACTTAGAAATTGTGGGGTCACTGAAGAGCGAAGAAATCCGGAAGAGTTGCTGTTGACAGTTGTCTACTCAGAAAATTCGACAGCGCGTCCAGGACAGAAATAGATGACGTTGCGACAAACTAACTGTAATAACAGCGGCGGCGGCATGACTTTATCTCATGGGCAGTCGGCATAGGGCGGCCCTCACGGATACACATGATACAGGTCCATTTACTTTTGTCCTAGCCGAAGCCGCGAGCAAACCAATCAAACCAAATCCTGGGAGCATGGAATCAACCAGGTGGGAAAAAGGCTACACAGGCGGAACAGAGCGGATTCCGTGTGATTGCAAGGCACTACGGGAACGTCGGGAAGGAGGACCTGATGGCCGCAGTCCACGGCGGGAGTTTCCGAAACTTGGCGGGTAGAGGTCGGCGGGAACGGGGCATGGCGGTTGAGAGAGCTTTCCGGTGGCTATGGGATGGCTGAAACTGGTCGGATAGACAGAGAAAAATGCGTAAGAGCGATTTTAAAGCATAGATGTAGCGCAATGGCACCATACGTAATAATACCTGCTGTGAGTATGTTTATGAAGTTTTTATTCGTAGCAGACTACAGTAGGCTGCCAGATATCAGGTTACGACGGGTTGTTGAGCCTCCCTGTGCAACCCAGAAGTCACCGGCCAGCTGTCAGTCCTGCCCTGGGCTAGCGGTCGTGCTGAAAGGATTTGCATGAGGGTCGGCAACTTGAGCCGGTGGCTATGCTCGGGATGATGTGTCCTTGGGGCGTCGTAACCTGATATCTGGCAGCCTACTGTATGTACGTTCTAGCCGTCTTGGGTGCGTCTCGTCTCAGTTGGAGTCGTCGGCGCGTCTCGAATGACGGACACAGAAGAGCAAATGAAGTGATTTCCTAACCTGGCCTCCGCAATTGCCCCAAACCCGACACAATTCTACATAAACCTAGCTGTACGCCATAGCTGCCCCAACTGATACAAACACCAACAGCACAATGACTCGCTCCTGGAAGGCCTTGTCGGCCTTTGTTCTGGTTTGCGCCCTCTTGGGGCTGGTCAGCGCATCAGAGTCATCTCACGTCCTGGATCTTACCGCGGACAACTTTGACAAGGTACATAATCTAGGGTTGAAGGAATCTACTAGGGCAGAACGCAAGCTAACACCCCGTTACTCTCAAATAGCATATCGATGGCAGTAAACCAGCGCTCGTCGAATTCTTTGCACCGTGGTGCGGTCACTGTACGTAACCATATTCGGCATGATCTAGCGCAGACCATTGTGACATCCCTGCTAACGAATTACCCTCCCCACCACATAGGCAAGTCCCTCGCCCCAACCTATGAAGAGCTCGGCGCCGCCTACGCGCACGCCAAAGGCGACGTCATCATTGCCAAAGTCGACGCGGACAAGCACAAAGATCTCGGCCAACGGTTCGGCGTCTCTGGTTTCCCCACCCTCAAATGGTTCCCCAAGGGCAAGAAGGACGCGCCGGAGGACTACAACGCTGGTCGCGAGCTGAAGGATTTCATCGGCTTTATTGATGGCAAGGCGGGGGTCCGTGCACGCGTGAAGAAGGTTGAGACTGCGGTTACGGTGTTGACTAGCTCGAACTTTGATGAGATCGTGAAGAATAAGAAGAACAACGTGTTGGTGGAGTTTTATGCGCCTTGGTGTGGTCACTGCGTAAGTCAATCAGTAGCAGTGGCTCTGATGGCGAAGAGAAGCCCTGGATCTGATGACAAAATGACTCCCTCCAGAAAAACCTCGCCCCGATCTACGAAAAGGTCGCGCAAGACTTCTCCCGCGAGCCGCACGTCATCGTCGCCAACCTCGACGCCACAGTCGCCTCCGACGTTGCCCAAAAGTACGGGATCGAGGGATACCCGACCATCAAGTTTTTCCCTGCCGGCGGCGACCCCGAGAAGCCCGTGCATTACAACGGCGGCCGCACCGAGCAGGACTTTGTCGACTTTTTGAACGAGAAGGCAAAGACTTACAGGACTGTTGGGGGCACGTTGAGCGCTGAGGTTGGTCCTTGCATCTTCTGGCGTTTTCATCTTTGCGGAGAAAGAAGACTGATTCTTTACTTGTGTGATATCAGGCCGGAAGAATCGCCTCCCTCGACGCCATCGCCTCCGACTTCATCGCCGCCGCCTCCGACGCCCGCACCGGCCTCCTCACCAAAGCCAAAAAAGCCCTGGAGGTCATCACCACCAACCCCGTCCCTGATTTCAGCCACAAACTCGCCTCCTACTACCTCAAAGTCATGACGAAAATCAGCACGGGCAAGCCTAACTTTGCCACCACCGAACTGGCCCGCCTTGAACGTATCATCAAGAGCGGGGCTACCGACCCGGCGAAAGTGGACAGTTTTGTTATTAGGAGGAATATCCTCCGCGCCTTCTTGGGGAAGAAGAAGGCGGACGCTGCGGAGAAGGCGGTTGAGGACGTGGAGGTTGAGGAGGCTAGGGAGGAGTTGTGATGGAGTTTTTGTAGGTAGACGTAGATGTTGTTCTTTCAAGCAGTGATACAACTGGACTTCCGGAATACCATCCTCCCTCGTTTTGCCCAGCATCGTATTTACCGAGCCAACGGCGTAAGACTTGGACGGCTTCAAATCCGCTTCACTACATCACAACGGGTTCACATCGAACGGTGGGAATTGCGGTTACATGCATATACAACACGAAGCTCGTACATTCGCGCCCCGCGTGCATTCTAGGATGTACCCCTCGGTTCTCACACACGCCTCCTTGTCAACCAATGACGCCAAGCTACCTAAATACACCGCGCCAGAACAAACCCGCGCTCCATCCCCCTATCCAGCTTTCATTTCCAGCTAACTACCTAATTCTACCGTATCCACAACCCCCCGCCTCACCATGGACATGTGGTATATATACCCGCTACTCGAGCATCGCCTCCCCACCCTCCACCTTCCGCCTCTTACTCTCCTTCCCACTCTGTACCCCATTCCCATTTGGGTGGTCCATCATGACGAGATCGTCGTCCTCCAACACGTCCAGGATTTCGATGGGGGCGTTGTCGTCTGTGGCGGAGCGTTTGAGTGGGTTGGTTGCTGTGTCCGGTGCGGGGGGTGGCACGTCGGCGGCGCGTGGGCGTGGGGTGAGGGTCCGGGTTGGGGGGTCGAGGGTTGGGGTTGTTGTCGACGGGCTATTATGTTCATGATACAAGGCCATTAGGGCACGCAATCCCCAACGCCACACAACGTGTTTCGGAACAACGAGACACGTTACCTATGCTGAACAAACAAATTGATCGAGTAGTTCCTGCTCCCGTCCGGGTAGTCATCGTCCTCGTTCGTGACGACGATCTTGGAGCCGTGCTTGACGCCAAGGGCGGAGAGGGTCATGGAGCGGTTGTCGTCAAAGTCGGGGTCGTAGAGGACTCTGAATGATGCGATATATGCAAAGCGGGAAGTATAAGGACCCGTGTCGTTTGCGCTGAGAAAATATCAAGCATAACCGATAAACTTACCTAGAATTCTCCATAACAGTTACATCCCCGGTAACACCCAAACCGACCGCCGCTAAGTCATCCCCCTCCTGCATCGCATCCCGTTCAATAACCTCATCCACGACTTCACCCAATGTCGCGGTGTCAACGTCGATGCTGAGCACGAAAGAGTGGGTGGAGCAGGCGCCGCATTGCGGATTCGGTTTGTGCAGACGTTCCGGGTTGATTGCTGATTGTTGGGAGACCCAGGCCTGGTGAGGCGAGAGGAGAGAGTATTATGTATGGTATGGAGGAGTGTCAGTGCGAGAACAAGAGGCTTACGTTTTTGCAGGCGTCGGCTTTGCCGCTGAGGACTTTGATGGCGGTCATGACGATCAGGCCGGCAATGATGGCGTTGGTGGTTGCGACGGCGGGGATGATGTTACCCGCCATTTCTGGACGTCAAATGGGATCAGCGCGTCACAATTCGCCTCGCGCTTATGCGGATTCCAGAATCTCCTCACCTTTAACCTCAAACCGGCTCTTCTTCTCCAACCCATACACCTCCGCCCTCAAATTCGCAGTAGCAGTCACAAAGTTGAGTGAGTCCTCATCATCCTTATCAAATGCCAACGTATGGTCGGGATCATTGCGTCGTTCCTCCAACAACGTCGCCGTGAGTTTCTGTAAACTGTCGAGAAACACTGAGGTGTTCTCTTGCACCGTCCAGATCTTGCGGTCCCATTCTAACGCGTTTGGGGTGTCGCCATTTGACGGGGTCGAAGTCTTGGAGGCTACTTGGTCGTACTCGAGTGGTGTGGGCGGCTTCCGGCTCTTCCACAGATCTTCCATGACCAGTAAACCCTTCACGTCATCTGTGAACACCTTTTGGAAGACGATTTTGCCATACTCTGCCGTGCCTGCAGACTCCCGAAGCCTGTTAAGCGCCTCCTTTTCCTTCCGCAGATGTGCCATCTCCTTTGCATTATCCGACGCATCATCCTCATCAATCGTCGCATCCTCCTCCTCCGGCTTCCCAAAGAGCTGACTATACAGAAAACTCTTTGCCCAGACGATACAATGAATAGGCTGACTCGGCGTGCTGCGGATGGTGCATACGGGGTATGTCTTTTTGCTCGGTTTGCCGTCGCACTCGTAGCAGCTCGTCAGTGGGTGGGTGTGCAGAATGACCTGGCCATTGAATCCTTCGGTTCCGGATTCGATGAGAGGCACGCCGGCGGCGAGACACATTCCGTTGACGTGTTTTCGAGCGGCGACGTTGTCGAGAGCGTTAAGAACGAGATCGAAGGATTTGAACCAGGCGATGTCGAACCTGGATTCAAAGATGCTGGCGAGGTGGGAGGTGATGTTGGCTTTTGGGTTGAATTGGAGTGCTGATTCGCGTGCCACCTATGTGGTGGGTGAATTCGTCAATTCAAGCCATCAACAACCATCAACAACCATGAACCCAGGAACAATCATCAACCCGTCAACCCATCAACCCGTCATCCGTCATCCATTAACAAATCATCAACCATTTCCAACTATCGTGTTAGGAGAGTATTGCGCCTTTGGGCGCAATGTAGCTCGCTCCCCTCGCACTCGCTCGCTATCGCTCGGGCTCCCATCGCAAACCAGAAGGCTTTCGCTCTAGTCGACCTGACGGTCTCCCAAACCGAATCAACCCTGCACCTGCTGTCGCGCGTTGCAGTTCAACACCCACGCTGGCTTCGCTCGCGGCTCGCATGGCTGACGTCTGGCTCGCTATCGCCTCGCACTCTCCTCGCTATCGCTCGGAACCCTCAAGGAATAGGAATCTCCTCGATCATACTCCTCGTCCCATAGGTTTCCCCGTCGGGCGCGGCTCCATCCCCTCTTTCCCTCGCAAAGCACCCCCCAAAGTCCCCCTCTCGCGAATCAGCCAATGAAAACCACACATACATGAGCCTTTGCCTTCCCAATATGTTTATGTTGAAACAAGAACTGCCTGTTGAGGTTGGACAAGTCGATAGTATCCAGATCAACCTACGATAAAATCGCACAAAGTCGTCAGTCCGATTGACCACAAGCGCTCATAACATAACATCATAAGAGACTCTCAAACCCGTACTCACCACCTCGACCTCGCCGATCCCCATCATAACCAAGTTCTTGAGCAGTTCGCAGCCGATGCCTCCGGCGCCGACCATGAGGACGCGGGCGGTTGTGACGTTCTTGAAGGCAGCGGGACCGACAGCTGCCTGAGCCCGATGGAAGCGGGGCGGTGAGGATGCCATTTGGGTGTTGGTGTGTGTGAGAGTCCTCGGTCAGTGTTTATTGCTGTGCCGTTCGTGAGCGAGTGGGAACCTGCTTTCTCTCTCTCTCGCGGAAGACGCGTTGGACTTCGCTCTCCTCGCTCTTCTCCTCGTTCTGCGACCCTCCCTTTTTTCTCGCAGGCGTCGGGCGAGCGAGCGACACTCCAAGGCGGCTGTCGACTACATAGATATCATCATGCCTTTCACTACCTTCTTCACAACCCTGCTCCCAGACCCGCCACCGCCCTCAAGTCGCCCCTCCTCCGCGCAGAAAAGACGCCGCACAAGCAGGTTCTCCTCAGACGACGACCACGACGACAACGGCATACCCTCATCTTCAAACCCAACCTACCGCATCCGCACTCAATGGAACGACGACCTCACCTCCACCACAGACCTCACTGCATCCTCCACCGTCGTATGCAATCTGGGCGTCACGGACGGCATCACAGTCTGGACCCGCGCCATCACTGCCTCCGACCTCACATCCTGCCGTCCCGAGGACATTTCCCCCCCAGATCATCTCGCAGCCACCCGCACAGCCCTCTGCGGCATCAGCACCTTCTACAAAACCCAACGCCTCAACCTCAACATCACCACCCGCCCCGCGTCATCCTTCACCGCCGAAGCCGATCTCACCTGGGAACTGCTGCTTGACGGCGGCATATCATTCTCCCTCGGCTCCCTCCCCCTCACACCCCTCACCCCGGACCAATCCCGCTACACCTGGCTCGCCTGGATCGACGAGCTCATACACCTCCGCACATCCACCCTCACCTCCACCGACGCTCTGACGCGTAAAGTCGACTCTCTCCGACGGCAGCGCGAGGAAGTGCTCGCCGAACACGAGGAGTGGATCAAAGTGAACCGTGTGGCGGTTGAACGGGTTATTTATAAGAAGTTCAAGGAGGTGCTGAATGGGAAGAAGAAAAAGATTAGGGAGTTGAGTAGGGCGAATAAGGCGCTGGCGAGGGAGGCGCAGAAGGCCGAGGAGGCGTTGAGGCTTTTGGCGGCTGGGAATCGGGGTGGGAATGCCAATGCTTTGAGTACGGATGGCTTAGCTACAGCTCCCGTATCTGACGACAACGAAACAGGCATCTCAGATGCAGACGAAACCCAAAGCCCACCTCGCCGCACCGCATCTTCATCATCAACAACCCATAAACGGCGCTCCCCATCCCCCCCACCACCGCCACGCGCATCCACCGCAAACCACCCCAAACCCCCCGCCCCGCCCCAACCCACCTCCTCAACCCTCACCCAGCCCCTCACCCACGGCAAATCCATCTTTACCAACTCCTCAGACGATGAAAATGCGGAATCATCAGACGCAGACGGCCCACCAGCCCTGTTGGGACATCTTGGGTTGAGCGCGGTGTCCAAGTCGGCTATGAGGCGGAGGAGCGAGGGGGGAAGGGGTGGTGCTATGGGTGCGGGTGTGGGACGGAAAGGGGCCAATGCGAGTAATGGGAATGGGAAGCAGACGACGCGCACACCGTCGGGGTCGGGTGCGAGTACCCCGGTGAGGAGGACGCGGTCGCGGGGTGGAGCCGGGTCGTTGGATGATCTGTAGGGATAGGGATGGCCATAGTATAGGGATAGCGTCTTGATCTGTGTTTCTGAACATACTTCCCCGAGATGGTATGGTGGTTCTATATGACGTGAAATGGGGACGTTATGCCTTTTTGATGAATGAATTATGGTGATGAACTAGCTAATGAGATAGGCACAGGTTTCAACCCCCTTTCGGAGATGATTCTCCTTGTAGGGGAAAGAGATCCTACGTCCGAGAGGGGTGTACTATTCCAATGAGGAGTGGGCGGGACGGTGCGGACAAGTGTGCTACGCCGGAAGAAGCTGGCTATTCTAACGTATCATCCAGCGCCGAGTACAGTATATGGATGGCATTGGGTCCGAGAGTCGAAGCCGACGGTGTGTTCCCGGACCAATATGCCAAATGTGGCATGCTGTGTTGATGCCGTCTCGCCTTTCGTACCCATCCCATCGCCCGCCCTCTCGACCCTGCCGCCGACGGCCACAATTCTTGATCGTCGAGAATGCGATATCCACACTCCCTCCCCATCCTAGAGCGAATACCTAACTCCCTCCAACGCATGCAACTTCCGCAACCTCTCCACATGATGCTCGGCCTCAAACCTTGTCCCCAGAAAACTCGCCACAATCCCCTTCGCCACATCCGCGCCCGTCGTCCGGCACCCCAGCGCCAGCATGTTCGCATCATTATGCTGCCGCGCCATCGTCGCCGTGTACTGGTCATGACACAGCGCGCACCGGATCCCCTGCCCTTTGTTGGCGGCGATCGACATCCCGATGCCCGTGCCGCAGATCAAGACCCCGAGACGGGTGGTGTAGGAGGAGGTCGGTGAGGGCTTGTCTTTGGAGAGGACCGCTTCGGCGGCGAGGCGGGCGTAGTCGGGGTAGTCGCACTGTGGGTGAGAGAGGGTGTGGTCAACGTCAGGACACGAGATGCGATGATGGATTAAATCACATCCTGCTAGCTGACGCTCGCGACGAGGATGTTGGGCGAGAGTTGAACGACGTGAAGTGATGCATGAACGACATCCTGCTCGCTTCGCTCGCGACGACGATGTTGGCCTCGAGTGTGAAAAGCATTCTTGCGCTCCGGCGTAATTGGACTTCCCTCAAGCATCCTCCTCCCTATCGCTCCGACCCTGAAGCTCATATCGCCAACCCTCTCGCAACATCCTCACTATCGCTCGGAACTCACCCTCGCGGCGTCATGCGGCCCGACATCAAGTACATCCCACCCCTCGCCGGCCCTATCATTCGTCAAGAATTCCCTTATGGTCTTCTTCAGGTCTATCCCGATATGGTCACTGGCGATGATGAGCAGGTTTTTTGCGGGTATGGAGGAGTTGAGGTGGCGGTGGAGGACCGCTGAGGAGAGGTTGAGGGAGGAGGGGGGTGAGCGGGGCATGGTTGTTGTTCGTGGGGTGGGATGAACGTCTGGGGGCTCTTGGCTCTCTTGGAGGTTCTTCACGCGCAAGTCATCACGGCGGCGGGCGGTTTGTCACACGTCACAAGGTGTTCGTTTCCCCTTCTCTCGACGTTCGGCATCGGCGCTCTCTCGAGTCTCGACGGTCTCTTTTCTCCACCCAACGTTGTTTGGGAAAACAGCTCCAATATCCACACTCGGCTGCACCTGCGTCTCCCCTTAGTAGCACTCTCCGGACCCGCAAGAGCCACTGAATCCCCCCCTCTTTGGAGCACGAAGATGGTCGTCCGCAACTACATCTTAGGCCGCGACCCCGGCCCGCCCATCCCCACCTCCGTCACCCACCACTCCAACGGCACCAGCGGCGTGAGCAATGCAAAACGCCCCTCCCTCAGCCCCTACGCAAACCTCAACGAAATCCTCCGCGACTCCTACTCGCCCGCCCTCATCGTCCCCTTCACACAAACCCACCCCTCCCTCAAGATCTACTACGCCCAGCTCCGTCGCTCCATCGCAACCCTCTCCATCCAGCCGCCCTTCTCACACCTCCGGCCTGGAGATGTGCTGACGTATTTGATTCCGAACTCGGTGGAACATATTGCGGTGTTTTTTGCGACGACGGCGGCGAGAGCGGTCGCGAACCCGTTGAATCCCGCTTATACGGCCGACGAGATTGCGTTCTATCTGAAGGATGTCGGGAGTAAAGTCGTGGTTGTGCCAAAGGGCGACTCTTCCATTTTGAGCAATGTCCAGAAAGCTATTGACATCGTTGGTCACGCAGTTCCCGTATTTGAGGTTGCGATGGAGATCAAGGATGTGCTGAGGAAGGATCGACCCAGGAAGAAGAGGGTTAAGAGGGAGAAGGTTGAGGTTATTGAGCCTGAGATTGTGGCTACACTTGTCGGTGGTGGAGGTGGTAATGCTATGATGGGGCCGGTTGTTCAGCCAAAGGAGAGGGGAGCACCAGTGGCAGATGATGTCGCGTTGATGCTTCATACGAGTGGGACGACCGGGAGGCCTAAAGGTACGCGAGTGTCTGAACCTTTGCGGGCGAAGCGAGCGGCTCTGCTCCCGGCAGCTCCACATCCTTGTCGCGAGCGGAGCGAGCAGGATGTCGTTCAACCACCTTCTGCCCCGACCGACCGCTCTAAACGATTTACTAAACGCGCTGATTTACTAGGGGTCCCCCTGACACACGCCAACATCCTGCACACCCTCTCCAACATCCAATCCACCTACCGCCTCACCGCCGCCGACGTCTCCTACCTCGTCATGCCTCTCTTCCACGTGCACGGCCTCATCGGCGTGCTGCTCTCCACCCTGAACTCCGGTGGCACAACCGTCGTACCCCCCAAATTCAGCGTCACGCGCTTCTGGACAGACTTCATCGAGCACGGGTCGACGTGGTACTCGGCGGTGCCCACTATACATCAGATGCTTCTGTTGAAAGCCAAGGAGACGTATTTGGGGACGAGTGGGAAGTTGAGGTTTATCAGGAGTTGTAGTTCCAGTCTGTGAGTTGCATTTCCCTTCGCTATAAAGTCGGGTGGTACATGGGCACGTAGACACTAACCCCGAACCCCATTTCATACTAAAAGCGCCCCAGCTACCCTCCTATCCCTTGAAAAGACCTTCCGCGCCCCCGTCATCGAAGCTTACGCCATGTCCGAAGCCGCCCACCAAATGACCGCAAACTTCCTGCCCCCAGGCATGCGCAAACCGGGCTCTGTGGGCCGCGGACAGGGCGTCGACGTCATTGTCCTCGACGAGCAGGGCCAACCTACCCGGGCGCGTCAGACGGGCGAGGTCTGCGTGCGTGGACCCAATGTCATTACCGGTGAGTTTTCGTTGATCCCTCCCACCATGGGCGCGTCAATTTCCTACCTCTCATCTCCCTTAATCCCCGTGCAAACAGCATACCACAACAACCCAACAGCTACCGCCGAATCGTTCTACCCGGACCCAGCCGCGCCCTCCGACCCGAGCCAGAAGTACTTCCGAACAGGCGACCTGGGCTACTTTGATGTTATGGGGTTCTTGTACCTTGTGGGACGGAGCAAAGAGCAGATCAATCGAGGTGGGGAGAAGATCAGTCCGGTTGAGATTGATCAGGTATGTCCTGTCGAGAGATGGGGTTTAGGTTGAGGCGTTGGCACATATCCTTGTCATGATTGCGCTGTCATCTCTTCCACTCACGTCTCGACCCCCACGACCCCCAGGTCCTCCTCCAACACCGCCTCGTCGCCGAAGCCGTCACCTTCCCCGTCCCCTCCACCATCTACGGCCAAGAAATAGAAGCCGTCGTCGTCCCTAAACCCTCTTCTTCCTCCTCCACGCAGTTAACAGAACAAGACCTCCTCGCCCACGCCTCCAAGCTTCTTGCCCCATTTAAAGTGCCCGGGAAGATATGGATCAGGAGTGAGGTGCCGAAGACGGCGACGGGGAAGGTGCAGAGGAGGGTGGTTGCGGAGATTATAGTTAAGGAGGGAGAGGGGGCAAAGGAGGAGGGGAAGGTTAGGGCTAAGTTGTAGACTATCATTCGACGATTTTGTGCTGGACTAGCCGAGAAATGTTTTGAGAATTGGATAGGACTCGCCCCAATAGCATGTGCATATTTCATTCACGTATGCAAGATGGGACGGACGGGGATGTATGTAGTGGGGAAACTCTGCAAAGAAAGAACGTCTCGACTTATGTTTGTTTGAGGTGGTAAAAGTCCTCATACGCGGCTCACAACGCGCGGGCAGGCAATCACCCACTTCCCACTTCCACCCACTCGAGACTTCCACCGCACGAGAGAGACACGGGTTAAGCATCCCACATACTCCCGAGCGCCCTCACATACACCCACCCTCCTCAAAATGGCAGGCTACGGCGCACTCAACGACCTCGATAACCCCGTAAGTCCCTTCCCCTCACCGCTCCCCCATTCCCAGACACAAGGCGGGGCCGCGATCACCCCCATCGTGACCGCATCTTCTCGCTCGTTCATATGGCCGTGACTAACTTGGGACTATGGCTGTTTGGTGTGGTAGATCGATGACTCGCCGGAGGCTCAGTTGGAATTCCAGAGTATGTTTTGATGGCAACAACGGGGAGTAGGGGGGAGGGAGGATTATTGGGGGGGGGGGGGGGGGGGGGGGCGTGTCAATTTGACGCGCCCGGGTGGGAGGATTCGTGGCGGCAGCGTGGCTGATGGTGTGCTGGACGATGAGAAACAAGGGATCAACGGGAGGGATGACATCGGGGGGGCGGAAGGAAAGCTGAAAACTCCTCACACGGCCGTTCGATTTTGTTCAGACTTTGTCCTCTCCGACAACACCAAACCGCCGCAGTACGGTAAATCCCCCGGTGCAGGAGCAGGTGGCGGCGTAGGCGGGTCTGGCGCTGGTGTGCCGTTGGCGAGTGATCCAGGTATGAGTTGGATGTCATTTCCAGAAAAAGAGAGCACATTGATGTGTGATTTTGATGGTGGAACATGTTGATTTGCAGCGTTTGGGTTTGCGACGTTGCCGCCACCGGTCGCTGCCGCGGCGCCTGCGGGGCAGCCGGGCGGGTTCTGGACGGTGGAGTATTATGCGCAGTATTTCAATGTCGATACGAATGATGTGAGTGAGCGATGGAGACGGGCGATAGTGACTACCGTTTGAGAAAAGCGTCTAACATCCCCATACCCCACAGGTCCTCCAACGCATGCTAGGAACCCTCCTCCCCAATATCTCCTTCACCGACCTCATCGGCACCAACCCGGACCTGTACGGCCCCTTCTGGATCGCCACCACCGTCATCTTCTCCATCTTCATCGCCTCCTCCGTCGCCGGCTCGCTCAACGCCCTGCTGCGGAACGGGACCTACACCCCCGATATGACGATCTTGAGCGTGGCGGTGACTACCGTTTATGTGTTTGTGACCGCGTTGCCGTTGGCGGTTTGGGGGGTTTTGAGGTATTATAAGGGCCCGGCGAGTCTTCTGCAGATGATTGATGCGTGGGGGTATGCGTTGACGGTGTGGATTCCGGTTTCGGTGGGTTTTTTTTTTCTTTGGGAACGTGTTTTTCGTTCAGTGTGGATGGCTGACCCCCTTCTTGAGAACAGCTCCTGTGCATCATCCCCTTCGACATCGTCCGCTGGGTCCTCGTTGTCCTCGCCTTCGCCAGCTCATGTAAGCCGCCTCCCCTCCCATTTTTCTCATCTCCCCCGCCCCCCCCCCCCCCCCCCCCCCAAAAAAAAAAAAACTCACACTCCTCCCTGCCCCTCCCACACAGTCTTCTTCAAAATCCGCACCCTCCGCCCCCTCGTCTCACAAACAAGCAACGCCAGCGTCGCGCAAACAACGATCCTCGGCATCCTGCTCGTCACCGACCTGGGTCTCGCGTTGCTGTTCAAGTTTTACTTTTACACGTTTGATGTTACCTCCCCGGGCAGTGGGGCGGGGGCGGGGAAGGGGACGACTAATGCGACGAGTTTTGAGGTGGGAGTAAGGGGATTGAGCGTGGGGTTGGGTGGGTCTGAATGAATCAGCGGGGCTGGGAAGAAACGGGGAAGCGAGGGGGAGCACAGGATTTCCACAGTCGTTGCTCTCCCTTCGAGTCTGGTTTTGCCTTATGGTGCTTGTTTTGTATATAGTGGGTATATGAATGGGCCGTGCGTGCGGAACGCAACTTCTTGTGCTTGACTCGTCGCACTCGCGTAGGGACAATTTCTCCCCCACGATTTCACACAAGCCGAGCTCGGAAAAGCAGAGGAAACAGAGCAAAGCCAGGGAGTCGGCAAAAAGACAGAGTTTCATTCTGTCAAAAGCGGCGGGACGACTAGTATATAGCACAAGTTCGGTAGGATCCGAGAACCGGGTTCAACAATTCATCCTCCCTTCATTCCCTCCTCAGTTGTAGAACTTGCGGGTAAGCGAAGGTCCGAAGAGCAAGATCCGGATGTCGGGTAGCATCTGTGTGCGTGGACAGATACAGGTTAGGATCCAAATGGATGACGCCGGCGGCGAAATCAGGGTGCAGAGAAAGTCATGCGACCTCCGCCACCAAGACCCCAGGAAAGTTCTCAAGCACAAACTCACATGCTCAGAAAGCAAGTCCAACCTCGACTCGAGCGTGTTCGACACCCTAATCCTCCCTTCCTGGGCATTCACAACCACACCTCCCGCGCCTGATTCGGGCAGCCAGGCGCTCTCATCAATAACGGCGTTGACCTGCCCTCCGATTTTCTGCTTGTATGTGTCTGCGGCGGCCTTGATGGCGGAGCGCACGATGTCGGCGTCTTTTTGGCGGCAGGAGATTTGTAGGTCTTTTTCCATTAGTTTGTAGAAGCCCTGTGGGATGAGAAATTGTCAGAGTCTGATATCGTTTGATACGCTACGTGAGGGCGGCCGGACCAACCTGCAAGAGGAGATCGTGGAGCAGCTGCTCGTACTTGCTCCGGTCGTTGCTGATGCTAGTGAGTTGTGATTTCGCGTCGGAGAGAAGCTCGTTCAGCACCTGTTGTCTGGCTTGCAGGACTCTCAGACGACATTTGTTGATATGATTCGATTGGGCGCTGCAATAACGAATGAGAGACAGTGAGTTTACGCAATACTGCGGCCTCATTTGGGCGTTCACATACATTTTGCGCTGAACTTCGGCCTGCTTGTGCTTCTTTTGGTAAAAAGCTTCGATAGCGACTGTCTCCTGACGGACGATCTTGGCCTTCTCGATGTTAAACTCCTCGTCGGCTTTGACTTTCAACTCCCGAGCCTTTTCAAGGGCTTCTTGCTTGATGAACGCGACCTGATATAACAGAATGGAATCGGTGGGTGAGTGCGAGGAATGGTGTGGGGCCGTTTCTGAGACGTAAACTTAGCGGCCCGTACTCGGGCCTTAGGTGACATGTGGTTGTAAGGTTTGGCCGCGGGCCTGCCTGCTGCAAAGCTACGTCCTGGTGCTGAATGCGAAAGCCTTGTGGAATCCTCAAGCAACTCTCATCCTGAAAGCAGAATCTCCCGTCCTGTCCTCCAACTATCGGACGCCTCCTTTCCTTCATCTCTCTCAACCTCCTCCCCACCACCAACAGAAACCCCCTTCAGTGCATCCCCTCATCGAATCCATACCACGCACCATCTTGTTCATTTCCTGCGCGACCTCATTATCGTTCAGCCTGCCCGCCATCTTGTTTTATCGTTCTCTTTCAAACGGGGTTAGAGCTACGAGAGAGTATATGAGTAAGGGGGGCGAGTCAAAGGGGAGTCGGCGATGCAGTCTGTGGAAGACGCGTGGGAAAACTGTGCGACAACAGAGGGGTTTCGTCACTTGTGGGTCAAACGCATTGCGTACCTTTTTTTGTTGGGTGGTGAGTTCAAGGCAATCTGACGGCGACGAGGGAGGGTTGACGGTGTGGGTTGTACGGGTGGTGATTGCTGGGGGAAGGATTGTGGTGAGGACGGTGGGACTAATGCGAGAGAACGTCCAGCTCAACGGTGACGTGAGGCGAATTAAACTCCCGCTAGTCACGTGTCCCCATTCCTTCGTTCATACCCTGGTTCCTGGCTGGAGAGGCAAGCGTCGTTATGTCGCAACTGACGCTGAAACTTAGTTCACAAATGTGCTATTCATTTCCGAGGTTGTACAGTAACATGTCCTGCATGCAGACCACTGATGTCGTTTCCTATACCAGTAAACCAGCTGAGAAAAAAAGTGAAGACCAAGAACTAACAAAACGCCGTATAAACTATACTGCACTACACTATCGGTAATGGCTTTCATATCCTCTTGGAGTTGTAGGATAGACTTTCGATCGGGTTTGGTTATTTGGGCACGGTTAAGGGAAGGGCCGACAACAGCGGATCGTTGTCGTTCGGTAGTAGCTTCCGTACCCGAGTGGATATCAATCAAAGTATATACATGGCGGTGTTCCTCGGGATCAACATTCCGGATAAAATAATCATTCCACTTGAGGCAGAAAACGTTTTCCTCGACAGCAGGCGCACAAATTTGCTCAGGGGGCTCCAAGCCTTCCCAGTTTGGCGCCACTACAAATAATACAGTTCCGGTGAGGCAACATCGTGGTTGATCGCGGGGCTAGGTTCGGGGCACTGTGGGGGTGAGATGGTCAAAAGAGTGAGACTCGTTTTCTTTCGCTAGTCGGCAAAGCCTCAGGTGCGAAGGAGGGACTTGGACTTGCACGCAGCAACAGTTCGACATAGAGTGTTATCTACATCCTCCTAGTCTTTGTGTCTCTGTGTCTTTTCTTCGTTGCATGTTGAAAGGTGTTCGAGTATTTTTGGCTCAGGCTGTCGCCAAAATCAGAAATGCACATTGGCAATTGACGGTATCGCGCTGTCGAATCTTGGCGGAGATGGCGTTTTCGGGTGGCGGATTAGTGTGATCGAATTTTGGCGTCAACCTCATCACCCTCGTCTAAGGTAACAACATGGCGGCCACTGGAAGGAAAGATCTGGGAACAATAACCGTTCGCAGACAGCTCCGAGTCCATCTATACCATCGTGGGATCGGCCTCACACCATGCACCTGAGAACGTAGAAGCCAAACCGCTGCACGCAACTCTTAAACTGGTTGCAACGCTTGTTGGCCGCAAGTGCTAGCTCGGATTTCAGACAAGCTCCCGCCCGTGCGATCTAGCGAATGCATTACACCGAAAACATTGTCACCCTCCATACGCTTGTACAGTTTCTAACACGAGGAACGGAAAGTCATGGGGCACATATGTCTTTGCAAAGTACGAGCTTGCTAGGGAGTACCTGGCTTTTATGGACATCGACGACGGACTTCTCGCGTGCCTCACGCGAGTGCACATACACATCGACAACTAATCAAAAGAAAAGAGTGCTAAAAGTCAAGCAAGGAGTCAGGCACACCTCCAGATTCTCGTTCTTCTCCCCTTGTGGGAACGATTCTTGCATCACCGACTCCAAATCTCCTACTCGCTGCGAGACAACAGATGCCAAATACTTTTCTGTTCACGCCACGCTACCCATCGCCTTCTCAGCCCTCACCAATTTATCGAACGAAAACACCCGAATTGATTGCACAAAACCTATGACCTCATGGACTCCTTTGGAAGAATCAAGAAATCTCACATGAGAATGGCGGGCGTTGCTCTACTCGCAGAACTTTGCTCATGAAGGAAAAATAGAACATCAAACCAAGAAAAAACTCTTCTAGTCTCACCTGACGACCTTGGTTCTTTCACTGTTCTTCCTTTTCCTTTTCCCTCTTTTTTGATGCGCACATGCGCAAAAACTTCTCTCACCGAGGGAACTGAAGAGCCGTAAGCAAGAAACTTCGATAGAAAGACCTTTCTGTTTATTTCGGATCTCTTCCCTTTCCCGATTCAGGGCTAAGGGGAACTATATACAAAACTGATGGTACTAGAGGGGCACTTGGGAAGGTGCCGTATAACACACAACGACACAACAAAGGCGGGAAGGAGAGGATATAGGATTGGGGGCATAGGTGAGGAATTCTAACCCTACACCACTAGGAGGCAATACGCCGAAAGACTCAAATGAAACGCAAACGACTCAACCCATGACCGCGATAGTTAGCGTGGGGTGAGTAGGTGAACAAAAAAACAAGAGCGACACTTGGAAAGTTGCCGAAAAACTTTGCGATTTCTCTCCCGCCTTGAATAGATTGTTGTTTGATTTCCTTTCCCTTCGATGGAGTACGTTGGGATTCCGGTAATGACTTGGTGTGGCCTTCATCACATGTAGTACATGACTTGGGCGAGATCCTTGTGGACGGTCGCGAAGCGCTCGACCCAGACCTTGGAGGCGTCTTCTTGGGCGGCGGAGGAGACGGAAGTTGTGTCGTCTTCAGAACCCCTGTGGGAGTGAACGAGAAGTGGAAGGCAAAACTCAGTAACAAACAAAGACAGCAATGCAAAATGGAAATGTCCAAGATTTACATGCCCGACGGAGACATCGCAGATACGGTACTCACCATTCCATTCCCTTGAAGTGCGCCCTGGCCCTGGCAGCCACAAGATCCGCGTAGTAGATTGGCGGGCACACACTGACCGAGCGCGTGCAGCGAGCGTACAAGTAGCAGAGGCGGTAGGTCATTTCTTGGAGTTTGTCGGCCGTGAACTTGTTATCGTCGTGAAGGACGTGATAGTGCGCGCTGCGAGACGTGCCCTGCAGACCGGAGTGCGAGTTCAAGTAGAAGTCTGTGTGGCGGATATGAGGAAAGAGAGAGCAAAAAAGAAATGAGAAATAGGTGCCGAGAAAGAGCTCCCCAACTGCGAAAGATGATGAGCTAATAGCGGATAAAAGCCACATGAACCTACCCCATTCCTTCGGGTGAACGATGTTAGTGTCGATAATCGTTCCAGGCATGACATTTCCACTCTGGTCCGCATCTTCCTTTCTCTTCGGGAACATGCGAGTTCCGTGGCGCTTGGTCACGACAATGAACGTAATCGGGGGACGGTACGGAGGTTGTCCGGGGGCAGCGTTCCTGTCGATATCCTCGCATGCGCGACGCATGGCAGCGATTTCCGTAAGTCGGATCTCGCGGAACTGGCCCTCGGAGGCGCCGTCACGGTAAATGACGATACGACGAGGCTTGGTCTTGGCTTCCTTGTAGAAGCTGCGGAGCAGTTCCGTAGTCATGCCATAGATGTCTTGGATGATGTCGGAACGCTGACGACCGCCTTGGGCTCGTTGAATGCGAAGAGTCGCAGCGAAGCGAGCGCATTGCGCATCGAGGGATCCTGTGAGGTTGGATGAAGGGAAGTGGAGATGGGTTAGATGAAGTCAAATAGGGGGATAGAAATACCCGAAGGATGTTAAGCCGAACATGAGAAGACGGCCGATACTTACCAACCATGGCCGCAATCGAAGGACGAGTATTTCCTTCACCAGGGCCAGGGTGAACGATCTGAAAGAAAGGAATGAAGAGAAGAAGGCATCAGCGGATATGCAAGACAAGCACACCCGACCCGAACACAACATCACCCATACTCACGTCGGCACCAAGAACCAAGGTCGGAGCCTCGGAAATGAATGGCAACTGAGGCTGCCCCTGAGGACCAGCCTTAGCGGGCAGGAAGGCGTTGAAGCCGCCGAGCTTGACGTTGATCTTCAGGCACAAGTTGGCGCAGTATTGAGCTGCTGCTTTTCCGACGTCTGGAAGAAAGGGCAGAAAAGAAACAGATGAAGTTGGGTTAGTACAGTTCGCAACGGATGACGAAGATGGCCATTGAGGATGTTGATGAAGTTGAGGCGTCGAAAACTTACGCTTTGCTTGCATGCATTGGGTGATAACACCAAGTACGGTGTCGGAGACTCGCTTGATTTCGGCGTACCGGCGAGGGTTTGTGTCGGGTAGAATGACAAGGATCATCTGGGGCCTCTTACGACAGTTCTGTTATAAGGAATAGGAGAGAAGAGAAAGGCAAACCATTAGCGTCCGGTATCCGTGAAGGAACAGGAATCCAAGTAATGGCGGGCAACAAAAAGTCAAATGCAAGAACAGAAAGATATTCACCTCTCCAGCATCACGGAAAGAAGCGTTCAAGTTGTCTTCGACATTTGCATCACGTCCGTAACGCAAGGTGGGTTCTTCTTGCTGGATCTGTGATGAGGAAGGTCAAGAGAGAAGAGAAGGCAGGTGTCAGTATCAGGTTTCAATATTCGAACAAGCCGACGAGCGAAAAAAAAAACCACCATCCCAGAGCCAATCCCGAAAAACGGAAGATAACAGGATATTCACCTCCATTCCAGTTGCCTTGCAAACCTCGACCAGCTTCTTGACGAAGGTCGTAACCGCACTCCTGGGCAACATAGGCTCAGGCGCGAAGATCAAGACGGACCAGGAGTGGAGAGCCATTCCACGAGCAACCTTGCGATCCTTCATGTTCCAGACGCCGTCGCGCGGAATGACTTCCTTTGCGCGAGACGACGGGTTGTAGGCCACGACCGGCGGAGGGAGGATGCGAGCGTTGACGGTGAGCATGTCTTTAGCGAGCTTGACGTTGAAGGCCTTGAGGTAGTCGTTCTCGCGGAAATCTTGGCCTTCGCGCGCCGGACCGACGAGCTGGTTGACGCCTTGGCTGGTGCGGTTGAGACGGTCGATGGGACGCTGTTGAGCGATACGGATCATCTTGGCCTGTGTGCGGGATCAAGGAGTGAAAGGGAAGATAGATGCAAGTCATATGCAAGTCCAGGCCATCAGTCAACCGTCCACCGAATCGTAACATCCGCAAAGGGTTAACCACAAAACCACATACCGTTTGGACATCATCAAGCTTCTTCCTGTAGGTCTGACCAGCCGGAATCTCGCAAAGTTCGATCGGGATGAGGATCTTCCTAGAGCCGCCGCCAACTTCGAAGCAGGGCAAGTTGGGGTATTGCAGACGCTTGTTGTAGGTCTCTTGGAAGAACTGCGGGATCGTGACCTTGGTGGTGGTCCCATCGACGGTGCGCTCAAAGGAGCAGCGCGAGGCGGGTTCCTTGCTCAAGCGTCCAATGTTGTACTTCTTACGGCCAGTTTGACGGAAGTCGGTAAGGTGGATACGGACATTCTTGAGGGTTGAGTTCGCGCGCTCGATGGCGCCGGCAGGGAGCTCGCGGTCAAGCTTGACGTTGCGTCCAACGATGTTCTGGAGAACGGTGATAGCCGGGCCTAAGGAGGTTGAGATGAAGAAAGGTCGAGTGAGACGAGGTAAGTGAAGGATGTGAAACCGCCGGCAAACGCCCCACACTGGAAAAAAAAAAGAAAAAGGCATGTCAACATAGGAAACATACCGGGAGTCAAGAACGCCGAAGTAGCCAAATCGGCGTTCAAGAAGATCGATTTCACTCCAGGGCGCATCGAAAGCCTCAGTCCGTTCCATGCTTCAGCGCCGCCCGAAAGGTCGCGGTCTTGAGGGGTACGCGAGAAGAGGCTCTGAAGGTACCATCTGTGATGTGAAAGGGGGTGGAAGAGAAAGAGATGTGTGAGTAAGGAGATCCTGGTACATGACATGTGATGAAGTACGAGGTGAAGCGGAGCGAAGGAGAAGATAAGGGGAAGATACATACCCGCGAGTCACAGGTTCGCAGCCAGGAATGGTCGAGGCGTAGTGCCTGAGGATGATATCAAGCAAGCTGAAGTGATGAAGTAGGGAAAGGAATTTAAGGGAAGATGTGAGATATCGACCCGACGAACATATGATGCAAACTAGAATGAGATGAAACAACGAGAAGCGAAAACTTGAAACTTACTTGACGGCTTCTTGAGCGTTGTCGCCCGGAGGAAGTTCACCTTTGACGAATTTGACGAGGCGGCCCATGTTGATATCTGCGGCCCACTTGATTGTCATGGTGAATTTCCTGCATATCATGAAAGGCGAAAAGAAAAGAAGCAGCGCTTAGTATCAGACAAGTAAACCATCACCCACTTGCACATGGAAAGGAAGAATTATGAGACGAGTAAAGAACTCGAAACCTACCTGCCAGGACGAGCTTCAGCCTCAGCTCCACCATTGTCTTCGGGGAGCTCGACAACGATCTTGGTCGATCGGGCGGAACCGAGCGGAAGTTCGATGGGTGCGTAGGCGATCTTGCGGCCATCGTACACCTATGTGGGGTGAGATGGGAGCGGGAAAGCCGTCATTAGTATGTCGCGGATGGAGCTGTCGAAAACCTCACCCACAAACACCCAGAAACACAAAACATAAACGCCGACACCGCACACAAGAGCAAACACGAAAAGAGAAGCAGAGATAAAGCAAAACGATGCATACCACGAACTTTCCGTTGTCCTTGAACACTCCATCAGGCTCTTCAGCCGACTTGCTGACAGCTGCGTGGAAGACCTTGCGGTTGACCGGAGGCGGCAACGAACCGCTCTTGGCCGCGCGAGATCCAGCAGCCGGAGGTGGTCCGGAGGCGACGATATCGACATCGTACTGCCAAAGGGTATCCGAGCGCATTTCCATCGCCATCCAGTAGTTAGTAACGATTTGAACTTTCTTGCCGACCGTACCGGCGCCCGGCCGGTTCGGGAGCACGGCGGGAATGGCTGCTTGAGCAGTGGCCATGTTGAGAAGTGACTTGGGTTCTTGGGTTCGGAAGTGTGTGAAGATCGAGACGAGATGTCGAACACGACTGACAGGTGAAGTTTCTCGCCTCGAACGAAGAAGAGCGCAACGGAAGAAGAAGAGTAGAGTTGGACGCAGACGAGCAAGCGACTGGGGTATGTGGGTATGGGAAAGAGATATGAAAGCTTGCTAGTCTTGACTTCCCACTCAAGGTTGCGTGAAGGAGAAGGAGAGAGAAAGGAGAGCGGAGGGGGGCGAGAGACAGGTGTGGGGTTATATACGCGCCTCGAGTAAGGATGCCAACTGCCTTTGCGCCCGTAGCTATAAGTATAGAGCTGTCAGTCGCAGCACTCAGAAGCACTAGCCCCTTGCGGGTTACCGGGGAAGATGAGCTGGGCTTCTATGGGTCGTTACGGACTGGTGTGGGGGGACCATGCATGTGAGACCGCTGGACTCTGGTTAAGTGCGGGTGGGGGCGTCCGCAATGTAATTGTGTGGACTTTCTCTGTATTCCCCATCGGTTATACACCCGATTTCATAGGCCCTACTATGGCAAAGCCTATGATAAGGGTTTACATCCATTTTTCCATTGGGAAAAGACGTTGCCAAGGACCCTCCCTCGTCGTAAGGGTTTGACAGCTCCCGCTGAAGCGGACTTGCATAGCTTCCAAATTAAACAGGATGGCGTCAGAGGCCTCGATCTAACGGCGCTCTGCACATGCCAGCCCTCATGTCCTTTCGCCCCCCAATCCGACCGATATTGGGCTTGACCCCTTCCCTTTCAACGAAAAGACGTAGAACGTTATGAAAGGTCGCTGAGACCATCAAGCATATCCTTCTTGCTTATATTTGCAACGCCCATAGTTGATGCACAAGTTGATGCCATAGTCGCGTCCATAGTTGATGCACAAAACATGTCGAAGTAAAACGATCGCAACTCTTAATACCTGCCTAAAAGCCCGCACGCTAAAACAAATCAACGCACCGCTCATGCTATTACAAACATTCATATGCCAAGTGAAACCTCACCGAGCGCTATGACGCCAGCGTTTTCTCATTGAACCAAAAAACGGGACCAGGCCGTGAAACCTTGTGCGGAGAGGTGGGGAGGCGGAGAGGGGACGAAATGACGGGAGAAGGTTTGCGCGCTGTCGAATATCGAGATATTTTGGACAGGTCACGTGAAAGTTGTCGATGAGTCACCCAAACTGTTATTCGGACATACTGTCAATTTGCCCTCGGCCATTCACTAAAGAAGGTCGGAGTATGGTGACCACAGCATACAAATGCAGCCTCTCAACCCTTAGCGTAGCAACCAGATGTTCCGGCTGGTACAGCCCTAGCTGCGTTATTAGCTCGTAGCACCTCGTATTGTTCGGATGGAACTCAAACTGGGGTCCAGAGAGCGATCTTCCCCGTCCGCTTATCCCACGGCGTCTCCTTACTTTCCTCCCTCAGCGTAGTCCCACAGCGTAGAGAAGTATGTGTGTGAAAACACGAAAGCAGGGAGCAAAATCACATTCCCTAGACCGTCACGCACCATGGCGTGGGAAGGAACGCTCCCCAGATCCGTCCCTAGCGACTCGATCGGACATCTTGGGCATACCGGCGCGGAGGGAGGAGGGCGGAGCGACAATCCCTTGGAGATCTCATCCTCGTCACAGTTTCCCATCCGTGGCTCAAGTGGCAATGTACATCCGCGCGCTCCGCAGGGCTCCAAGTTCGTCGGAATGTGGTTTGTCCGAAAACTTATGCGGGTGTACGGTTTTGGCATCGCTGTTCAGCCGGTTTGACTCCCTAGCCTCGTTGGGGTACGTGCAGGCTGACCCCAGCCCTGTGAGGGGCGTTCCGGTACTGAGCTCTCGCCCTTGGCGGCGCGCTTTGAGATGTAGGTCCAAAAGGAGCGTGCATAAGGATTTGCCAAATATGAGATAGCAGTGTGAAGATTTAATTCGACTGCAGTCGGGGTGGGAATGCATTCCGCTCTATGCTTGGCCAGCGCTTGTTTATTTTCTTCGCATTCATGGCTCGCTCGAGGCACACGCATCTTCATTTCATCCCTGCGGTACGAGCATCCCATAACGATAGACACATCTGATGTCGCAAGGACAGTACATTTGAGTTGCAACCCAATACAAGGGTATGATTTACGTATGAAAAAAAAATCACATTAGGGTATGTTTCGCTCCCTTGCGTTCGTCAAACATGTATATATACACCCCTCACCCCCTCACCTCTCACGCCCGCTCTCCTCATCTCCTGGACCAACAAACAGTACCCATTCTCTGCTTGGCCGCACCACCCCGTCTTCCCCTCCCATGACTTGCCCACGTATTCTCCCCTCCCCCTACGCCACAAACCTCATGTGCCTCTCCGCCGCACCCTCCAACGTCGCGGACCTCTGCTGTTGGCCTTGATGTAGCGCGTACTGCATCTGTTGCCGTTGTTGCTGGTGCTGGTAAATCCATGGCAGCGATGGTGGTGCCCTTCCGTCAACGTCGCCCGACGACGGGTCGGTCAGGAGATTCATCCACGGTCCGGTGGGTGTGGATGAACGGCTGTTGTTGTTTTGGTTTTGATGTAGATGGTTGAGCTCGAGAAACTTGAGTTCGTGCCAAGGGTCTGTTTTAAGCTTGTAAAGGTACTCTTCGACCCTGAGTGTCGCGCTATCCAACGCTTTGGCACAATCTTCATTGTGTTGACCCGACCTCATACCGTCACCACTCCTCGCTTCAAACAGCCATCGTTCTTGTTGGACCCAGTTGAATGCAATGTTGTCTTGCCGGCAGATTCGACGGAGCTCCATATCGAGGAGGGGCATGAAGGAGAACGGGACGCCCGCAATAAAGGCTGGGACGCGCATGATGCGGATGGTGTCTTCTTGAGTGAGTGGTTCGCGGTTGATGAGGGCGTTGGCGGTGGGATTTGGGGGGGATGTTGGTCGCTGTGGTGCTGCTTGATGGGATTGGCGGCCTGGTGACGGGGTCGGTGGAATGGGGAGAGATGTGCTTCTTGTCTTGGTGATGGTGCGTGGAATCGTGTCGTTGTCCATAAGGTTGTTAGTTGATATCCGTCGTGCCGTGGCAGCTTGCACAACGTATGCGCTGAGTTCTTTGTCCGCGGCTTCCTTCTCTGCGCCTGCAGCCAGGGAATCCAGTTCCTTTAGTTCCTGGAGAGCGAACTCGTACTCTGCATGAATATCCTTCAAAAGGTGGTTGACCATGTTGGGCGTCGGTCCGGAGACAACAAAGGAGGATTGTTGTTCGTCGTACTTCACATCGATTTCCTGTGTCCATCGTTCGCGTAGAGAGTCGGCAAGCTCGGTGGTGAGTACGATCCACCATTCAGGGAGGTCTTTTTTGATGCGTTTCATCGATGCAGCGTCCACTGACATGCGCTTAGTGGCTGGCGAGTTGGCGGCCGTGAGGGGTGTAATAGAGGTGCCGTTGATAGGAGGGCTCACACCGTTCGGCAGTGGTTGAGTAGTCACGGAGACTGTCGCTTCTCCTGTAGCTGTTGTTTTTATTGTTGTTGTAGTGGTCGCTTTTGATGACCTGCCGTCAGCCACGACCGTCAAGCCAGGAGAGGCACTCACTCTTCCATTCGGAGTATCCGTTCCCACCGCCTCCAACTTTGCCGCCTTTTCCTCTGCAATCTCTTGCTTGATTCTCATTTGATGTGCTATCAAGATCTCTTCCCGCTCCGCAACCCTCCGCTCTGCAAAATTATGGTATCTTTGCGCGGATTCCGCTGCTCGCTGCTCTAGTGCTTCCACAGAGAAGAAACTCCTACGAGCTTGCGTTTGTTGTGCTTGAGGTGTGGGAGCTTCCCTGGCTGTTTTGAATGTTGTAAGGCGCGTGGGAGCTGTCGAAACCGGCTGACTGTCAGCATCGGGCACCCTGCTGATCAAGGGATCCACCATGTCGCCCTCGGTAGCTTTCCCACCCGCGGAAGGACGAAAGTCGGCCAGTGTGAAAGGTTTCGCAGCAGCAGCGACTGACAGGTCCGACTGTGCCTGGCCATTCGAAATGGGCGGGTTGACGTTCCCACTCCGTGAATAGTTGATCTCGTTTTCCCATCGCTTCACCGTCTTCTCCACAGCGTCCAAGGCCGTGAGAACGGCATCGGGTGACCCGCGGAGAACGATCGCAGGGGGTTCAGGGTTCCACGCATAGAGGACGCCGCACGCGCTCGTAATTGCTTCCAGTTCCTCTCCGTGGTCTTCGGTCAATACGTCTTCGGGAGCGAGATCGTGGACGGAGACCATAGCCTCGAGCGGCGAGTAGTTCGTTGAGGTAGGAGCCTCATTGGGGACGACCATTGTGGCTGCTGTGGTGTGCGTGAGAGAGTAAATCCCAAAGCGGCGGGGACTGAGTGCGGAGGAAGCTGTCGAGAAACCGCGTTTGAAATCCACAAATAACCAAAAATAACCGTCACATTCAATCTGCGCACCCTGAACCTATCTAACCATGAGGGTGCCTCATCTGCCAGTGATCGCTTCGAAACGGACGCCTCCGAATCGCACGTTGTACAGTACAGTACACTTGAGCTGGAGTGAGTAGGGGCAGGCAGGTGTTGTGCTGGCAGGTCCATCCCAGAAGTGCAGTTATGGAGGAGCGTCACGCGCTTTGCCGTCTGGACAGACGGATTCGGACACGCAGATGGTCGCTCCCGTCTTCCCTTTTTCCAGACTACCGCTTTTTTCTCCTCACTCTCACTCAGACTATTATACCCACATACCCAGAAAAAACCGCTCGCCATGACGACCGAATTGCAGAAGAGCAACGGTGATCCCTCTTCTCCCTCACCATCCTCGTCACAGCAACCAACAATAATAACAGCACAAACCCTCACCGAAATATACCACCTCCTCGCAACCCATCTCCTCACAACCTGCTCCCACTTCCACACCTCTCACCCCAACAACCGCTACATCGTAAGCATTGCAGGGATCCCGGGCTCCGGCAAATCCACCCTTGCCGCCCACGTCGTCGCTCTCCTCAACTCCAAGCTCGCTGAACCATCACACCCCCGAGAGGATTCACCGCCAAGGGCAATCCACCTCGGCATGGACGGCTTCCACATCCCCCTCGCTACACTCCCACCACATCACCTACCCCGTCGCGGCGCACCACATACATATGACCCCCAAGGTCTCATCACCCTCCTCACCCAGCTCAAAAATCATGCATCAGAAGATATCCCCGCACCGACGTTCAGCCACGCCCTCAAGGACCCCCTCCCCTCCGGCCTTCTCATCAGACCCAATGACAGAATCATCCTCGTTGAAGGCCTGTACCTCCACTCCACCAACCCGGACTGGTCTCCCATATGGGACCTATGCGATGAACACTGGTTTTTGGATGTCGAGGAGGAGGTTGCGAGAAGGAGGGTTGTGAGCAGGCATGTGGAAGCGGGGTTGGAGGAGACGCTGCAGGGGGCTGGGGAGAGGTGGTCTAAGAACGATGGCGCGAATGCGGCGTTTGTGGGGGAGACGAGGAGGAGGACTGGATGTGAGGTCGAGGTTGTTTGGCGGGGGGATGTGTGAGGAGGAGGTTGAGGAAGAGGAGGGGTGTTGAGACTGTGAGGGCATTTACAGTACGTTAGGCGGTAGAGTTCACAGAAAAGGCTTAGACTTTTTCGTAGACGGGATGTATCTCATTGTATGGTAATGATAATTACACGAGCGAGCAATACAAGGTTCCAACTCCAGACAGAGAGACGTCCAAAACCCCCACACCTCAAAGACAATCCGGCCCAATCTCACATATAAGATGTAGATTAGATAGTTAGAGTCCTACTTCCCATCGCACACTCCCACCTCTCACTTCCTCAATGTTGCATATCTATCCATCCACATGCCGCGTATTACACGACAGTGGTGCCCACAGCACCCGACAACCCAGCCCCACTTCCCACCCCCTTCCCCTTCGACACCAACCTGTGCGACTTCCTTACAGGCATCTCCAACCGTCCCTGCTTCCCCTGCTCCTTCGCAGCCGCACCCTTCTTCGCTTTCGCCCTGGGGAGAGCAGTAGTCCGAGCCATGGGATTTGGGCGGGGAGGGGAGGATGTGTGGGCCGGGTGACAGGGTGCAGTTCGAGCTGGGGACGTCGGAGTGGGTCTGATCGGTGAAGTAGTGGGAGTACTATGAGTCTCGACATCGACATCAACCCCAGCCAACAGCATACTCGCGACCGAATTGTTCGTCATGCGGCTTTTCGGTTTGTGCTGTTGCTGCTGCGTTTCCCGGCTTTTCTGTGTTTCCGTACCCTTCACCGTTTTGAGCAATGTCGCAACACTCGCTTGTTGATTGTTCCCGGTAGCAACGGCGGCGGTGGCGGGCTTCTTTCTGGCGCGTCTCCTTGGAGGCGATATGACCACCGAGGGTACCAATTTGCGGGAGGGTCCGCTCAGAGTTGTTTGGCGAAGAGTGTCTTGTTGAATCGTCCCAGTGATGGTACTGTCTTGACCGCCGCGCGCCTGTGTCTTCGGTTTTACTTGCTGCTGGGTATCCTTACGCGTGTCCGTTGTAGTTTTCGCCTGTGCGGCGACTTTGCTGCGAGTGCGGCTCGTCACCGGAGGAGACATAACCATCTGCGGCATGATAGTACTGTCGCGGCTTGCTTCCTCCTCGTTGTCGACATCAACATCCATAGTTTCTTCATCGTCGCTAATAGCCTCAATATCAATCGTCTCCTCAACATCCATCGGCACAACCGCTACCGGCAACACAAGGGGCGGCACACCTCCACCTCCACGCATCCCATCCACCTCACTCTCAGATCCAGCACTGCCAACCCTTGCCTTCTTCGCCGGACTCCCCACCCCAGCCTTATTCTTCGCCCGCTTGCTAGGGCTCAGCGGTGCTGGCGGCGGCGACGGCGTGCGCGCCCGCGGGGGTTCCGGGGACGGCGAGGGCACATTCTTGCTGTCCTCTTCGTCGGATGAGGTGGTGCTGGTGGTATCTTGGGGTATGTCTTTGTGACCGCGGATAGGGCGGGATCGGGACCTGCCGCGAGCGTTGGTCCTATCTGCTGGTTTATTCATGTTTTCGCGGTGGGTATATATGGCCGCTTGGGTATTCAATTTCGTGGTGGTGAGTTGTTTTGTGGACCGTTCCATGGCGCCTGATGCTGGTACCGCAATGACTCGCGTCGCGACGGTGTTGGCCTGGTGAGATTTGGCCGACTTTCCTCTGCTTTCCGACCGAGCTCGCCTAGCAGCCATTTTACCGCCAGCCCGTGACTCTTCGGACAAGGTACCCACTTCCAAGACCGAAAATCCGTTCGACAAATCCGACATCTGTTTTTTCAACGCCACCCTAGCCGCTCGTTCATTCGCAATTTCCTTCAATTTCCCTACTTCGTCCTCCAACCGTTCCACAACATCGTCCGTCTTGCCCAAAATATGGTAATCAAACACGCTGTCCCACTCGCTATGCGATCCTACGTCTGCGTTGTTGATGAAGAGGACGGTGCCCGGTTTGGCGGCGCTGTGAACGGACTTCCCTAGCTCCTTGACTAGCCGTTTGATTCCGACGACTTTGAGGGATGTTCCCATGACAATCAACATGTCCGGCCGCTTCTTCACATCGAAGGCGGCGACTTCGGCGATTTGGTCGCCTGCGGGGTCGAAGAGGGAGATGAAAGAATGTCAGCATGCGATTAGAAGGGGCGACATGCAACACATTTCAACACTCTACCTTGGGTATGATGCTCATTATAGAGCACAACATTGGGACGCAAGGTCCCGACCGCAACAGCTCGCTTCCCAGCCAGCTCTCTCACTACTTGCAAATTCTCGCAATTCTCGCAGGAAGGCGGCGTCCCTTCCCTAAAGCTGTCCCGCTTGACGTCATCGAACGGGTATAATGTCCTGCACATATTGCAAATGACGTTGTTGAGATCACCATGCAGCTGCACGATCCTCAAGTCCTGCTTCTTGGTCATGTCGCAGCACATCTCCAGACGTTCCTCTAGACAGTCGATATTCTGCGTGTAGCATCGAAGGAGCTTGTTGTCCTTGTCCAGCGACTTGACGAACTCGTGGGTGCGTGTCGGGCATGCCTTGGAAACCACTTGCTTGAGTTCGGCCATGAATGTATAGAAGACCGAGGTTGTAATCGGGTCGCGAAATAAGGACGCATCGAATAGGTCTTTGCCTTTAAGGACGGCGCTTGGATATCTATCTTTCACTAGGTTGTAAAGTCCATTGGCTGACCGAAAGTCCTGAGAGAGAGTGCGGTTTTGAGAAAGAAAGGGAGTGAAAGATATCAGAAAGTGTCCCGTTATGCACGAAAATGTAAGCGGCTGTGCCCAGGGCTCATGCTGATGGAGCGTGCGCGCACAGTCAAAGAGTCAATGGGGGCGACCCTCTGACGGCCAGCAATCGCTTCTGCGGGATCCCTACGGCTCCTCCACGAAAAAATAGGCCCAACTAGGGGCCAAGGCGAAATGGCGTAAAGGTTGGAGAACGAAAACTCACCGGAATGCCGCCCGAAACGGAAATTCCCGCGCCAGTAACAACGACACAGCGCTTCGATCGATGTAATGCATTGACGACTTTGCTCAAGTGCTCGGCGACATCCTCTCCAAATGTGTGCTCGCCTTCCAACACAGTTCCATCGAGAGTGAATCGGATGGTCATTGTTCTTTCGTCGTTGTCCGATAATGAGGTGTCCGTAGAAATGAAGTATATGGAGGAGATTCGGGGGCGTGCGTGCGGCGACCACGGGGGCGGTTAGCGACCCAACCCGTCCTCCTGATTGAATAGAAGGCTATCGGAAGAATTTGTGGTTTTTGTTTGATGGGCTAGGACTGACTTTGATTTGGTGTGGTTGCGCAGAGAAGTGCAGGGACGTGTGTCCGGAACTCTCACGAGCGCATGCACGGCAAATAAGACGGTGACAGCGTCCACAGCAGTCCTGTCCTTTGCAGGTGGGGTAGTGAGTCTGTCCAGGCCGTCGTCGACGTTTAGCCACTTCTCTACGGCTGTGTGTTTTGTTACAGCCGTTGGGGGAAAGAATGTTACGAGGGAAAGGCCATGTCGCGAGAGTCGAGACGCTTGCAAAGTTCATCAAACTCGATCTCGACGGATTTGGAGCGCGTGATTTCCCCCAATTTGGACCTGACTTGCTCATGGGTGATGGAATTTGACGCTGCAACAACTGCCCTCTCATTCTTGTCTTGCTTCTCAGCCGCCGAAGTGTTGCTTTCGCAGGGAGTCAGGGGTGAATTGAAAAGCCTCCAGAGCAAGCTAACCCCGACAACACCACCATCACGACCTGCGGCTATTCTTTTTTGGCATCATCTACGCACCGTCTGTGCCAGCGGCATGATGGATGTTTGGGCTGAGTATGAACGACGAACTGCCGAGGATGTTGTTCTGAAATTTCCAGCATTCTTGAATAGACATGCATTGAGCTTGTTTCGCTACAGTTTCCAATCTCTGTCAGCCGCTCGTCCATCCGCATGCCTTCCATGCATACATCTGGGATATATGTACATCTCCGGGCTTTCAGAGATACCTCTGGAATCTGAAGTGGTTCCGGTGCAATTGATTTTCCATGTGAAACATTACATGCAAATGTGTTACTGCCGTCTAAGTTTCCTCCATCAACGTTTGGCCTTTCCCTGTGCTTCACGCCGAAACTGGTTGAGCCGTCAATTTTTGAACAGCGAGTGGGCAGAGAAACGCCTCACTGAAATAAAACACCCTCCTGTCGATTTGAGCCTGGGTCACGCACGACTCAAGTCACGGTTTATATGTATTTTATGTTGCCGGGAAAGAAGGAGGCGGATTTGGGCCGCGGGTATATATATAATTTCTGGCGCAGCACCGGTACCACCGTACCAGCACGCAACCGACCACCATATTCCATTTGAGTTCATCCGGGCATCTATCGCAGAAGTCGTTATCAAAGAATTCTCAGGCAGTGGAAGGCTCCCGGAATTGCGACGCACGGCTTGCATAGATATACTGTATATACGATAGCGTAATATCGATATCGTAGTCGTATTGAGAAGTGCATGTAATGCCCAGATCCATCCTGGCCGACGGGACGTTCGACGGAAGCAGAGCGACGCGGGTAAACTCGTCTTGTCGCAAGGAACTCCGTCGGAGGCTCTGGGCACCTTTACGCATACTGCATCATATTATATGCAATTTGATGGACGTGGATGAAGCTTCCACAGTGCACACTGCACACAGCTTGGGCGTTCCATCCATTCGGCGTCTGTACGAGGGTGGGCAAGTTTCGCAGGACTGCGCATCCCACATCTTTCTACTCTCAAATCCACTCTCCGCCCCGCCGCCGCATGCATTTCTGGGTGTCCTTTTTCACAGCATAAAATCGTGCTTGTACAGTATAAAGAGGAGCGACGCACAACGCAGACTCTACGCACCCTCAATCAAAACTTTGTGTGTGTCGGACTTTAATCTCCGTTGACCTGGGGACCTCTTTGACTTCTTCCACAGAAGAAACCGTCAACCAGGCCGACTCCAACGGCATCGGCGGTCCTCTTATCGAACATTCGAATTCCAGGAGCCATTGAGAGAATCTTCCTGGGGTTGGATTCTGGGAATTAAAATTCATCTGGGCACATTTTTCCCACGACATCATATTATTGTACCTTACTACAGAACGCCATATACTCTTGATATCCAAAAATGGCGGATTCTCATGCGCCTGAGATGTCCGAGGTCGGCAAAGTGCCTTCTGAAGCAGCCATCAACGCCGATCTTCCCACTACCGAAACTGTCCAACCTATCGACGTTCATCCCGTCGAAGCGCCAACCATTACCATCCACAGCGAGATCCCTGCCGACTCGAGGGCTCCCACGGAGGACAAAAATGCCAAAGCTGCAACTCCGACGGCGGCCGGGGGCAGCAAACCCACACCACCCGCCGCTAAACCCAAAATCTCCTACTTTACGCTCCTAACTCGATATGCCACCCCGCTGGACAAGGGACTCATGATCTTTGGCGCTCTCGGGGCAGCCGGGAGTGGTGCCATCCTCCCCCTCATGACCATCGTATTTGGTGATCTCACCCAGATCTTTAACAATGCAGCGTGAGTTCTTGTCGCCTCAATGCACCCAGTACGGACCGTGTTTTCTCATTCGTCTTGGTTCACAGAGTACATCACCTCGGGTATGACTACCTCATGCCGCAGATCAACGAAAAGGCACTCATCTTCGTCTACCTCGGCATCGCCATGTTTGTCGGCACCTACATTTACATGTCTACGTGGCTCTTCACCGGCGAAAACATCTCCCACCGCATTAGAGAGGGTTACTTGCAGGGTGTGCTCAGGCAGAACATCGCCTATTTTGATAATATTGGTGGAGGGCAGGTCTCCACGCGCATTATCACGGACACGCAGATGGTTCAAGACGGGATTAGCGAGAAGGTGCCCATGTTGTTGATGAACGTGGCCACCTTCGTTGCTGGGTTCTCCGTGGCTTTTGCACATTCCTGGAAGCTGACGCTCGTTTTGGCGTGCTGTGTGCCTGCTATTGGCATCACTGCTGCTATGATGGGCAAGTTCATTGGCAGATTCACGATTGCCGGTCTTAAGTCGTACGCGAGCGCGGGTGACGTCGCCGAAGAGACTTTCGCCTCGATCCGGACTGTTACCTCGTTCATGGCCCAGGACAAAATGGCCAAAGCCTATTCCCGCCTTCTCGACGCAGCTGAAAAGTTCGGTGTGAAGAAACAGATAGTAATGGGAATAGGATGGGGCGCGATCCAGTTCGTCGTCTTCGGCACCTACGCCCTCGCGTTTTGGTACGGCTCCATCCTGCTCTACGACGGCGAGATCAATCTCGGATCCATCATGACGTGCTTCTTTTCCGTCCTCATTGGCGCCTTCGCTCTCGCCGGAACGTCGAGTGAGATCACCGCTATCAACTTCTCCATTGGTGCTGGCACGACCTTGTTTGAGGCCATCGACCGCGTGCCCGAGATCGACTGCTACTCGTCGGAGGGGTTCATGCCAGAACCAGTCCGTGGCCATATCAAGGTCGAGCATGTGGCTTTCAGGTACCCCTCACGGCCGGAAGTCGTTGTCTTGCATGACATGACCGCGGACATCCTGCCCGGCACGACTTGCGCCTTGGTTGGATCTTCAGGTAGTGGTAAATCCACCATTATTCAGCTCCTTGAGCGATTCTACAACCCGGAATCTGGCACCATCTACCTCGACGGCGTCAATATCAAGGATATCAACGTGCGGTGGTTGCGGAGACAGATGGGATACGTCACTCAGGAACCCGTGCTGTTCAAGGGAACGCTGTGGGAAAATGTGGCGCATGGGCTCGTCGGAACAAGCTACGAGACCTGGACGAAGGAGAAAAAAATGGAGATCATTATCGAGGCGTGCAAATCCGCCAACGCGCATAACTTCATTATGGCTCTCCCGTTCAAATACGAGACGCGCATTGGTGAGGTATGTAGTGAAGGATGCCCGACTCGTCTGGAATCATGATAAGAACGCTCATCCGCATTGTTTCCGCAGCGGGGTCTTCTCCTGTCCGGCGGACAGAAACAGCGCATCGCCATCGCAAGAGCGATCGTCAAGAACCCGCCGATCTTGCTCCTTGATGAAGCCACATCAGCTTTGGACACCGAGTCAGAGAAGCTTGTTCAAGAAGCCCTCGACCGTGCCGCGGAGGGCCGGACCACGATCGTCATCGCCCATCGCCTCTCGACTATCCGTAACGCAAACCAAATCATCGTAATGGACCGCGGACGCATCATCGAGGTCGGCGACCACCACTCGCTCGTTGCCAAAGGCGAATCCGGTTTCTACGCCAAACTCGTGGAAGCACAGAAAATCAGCGCGAAAAAGGAGCAGGAGGAAGCGCCCGCAGGCGGTGCCGCACCTCCCGTAGACCCGGATGCTATCATCATCGACCCCGTGGTGGCCGAGACAGAGGAGGCAGCGAAATCCCTCCGCCGTGGATCGCTCCACCGCCGCGAGTCCCGCAAATCCGCACACTCGCTAGATTCCACTGCTCTCGGGAAACGCGCCGAGTCGGTAGGCCTTCCCGCCGCCATCGCCGATGTGGAGACGGACCGCACCACTTTGGACATCTTCAAACGGCTTCTTGTTCTCAACCGCCCCGAGGCGTTCTACATGACTATTGGTGTGATTGGAGCCATCGTCAACGGCGTTACGCAACCAATTTTTGCGATCCTCTTCGGTCGCTTTATTGGGGTGTTTGCTCTTCCAGACTTGAACGATATGCGATCACAGGCGAATTTCTGGGCGGCTATGTTCCTCGTAATCGGCATCGCGAACTTGATTGCAAGTTTCGTCAAGTTCGCTATGTTCGGCATTAGTGGAGAGAAGTTGACAACGAGGTTGAGGGACAAGAGTTTCAGGGCTATGATGAGGCAAAACATCGCCTGGTTTGATATCGAGGAGCATTCTGTCGGCGCTCTAACATCCAACCTCAGCAACGACGCCCAAAACGTGCAAAACATGTCTGGCCAAATCGCTGGCAACCTCATCGAGCTCGCCGCCTGTATCGCCGGTGGCGCCGTCGTTGCCGTCTCCACGGGCTGGAAACTTGGTCTTGTCGTGCTCGCCACTCTCCCGCTTATGATCGCCGCCAACAAATGGCGTATGGACCTCATCCGTAAGGGCAACCAAGCCACCAAGGTGTATTACGAGTCCAGCGCGCAGGTCGCGTGCGAGGCTGTTGGGTCGATGCGCACAATCGCGGCGCTGACGAGAGAGAACGATGTGGCGAACACGTATCATAGGGATCTGGAGACCCCCTTGGCGATTGGGCACCGGAATGCTTTTGGAAACACGGCCATCTATGCTATGTCGCAGACTATCACGTTCTTGATCAATGCGCTTGGGTTCTGGTATGGAGGGAGGTTGATTGCCACTGGGTACGTTGTATCCGTAGTGTGTCTTGTTACGTCCAGGTTTCCATTGTGCACGGAGGACGCTGCTTTGCCTTGCCTCCTGTCGTCCGTGCATTGGAGCGATGCATGTTAGCAGTCATCGCAGTAGCTTCGAGCTAACACTTCCTCTCCCCTCCTACAGAGAGTACGCCGGTCAAGAGGGCTTCAAGACATTCTTTACAACCTTTATGGCCATCACCTTCTCTTCGCAAGCCGCTGGACGCGTTTTCTCCCTCATGCCCGACGTCGGCAAAGCTAAAGACTCTGCTCAGTACATTCTCAACCTCTTCGACCGCACGCCACCGATTGACTCCTGGAGCACCGAGGAGAAGACCCACGTCGACAAAGAGGCCGTCCAAGGGAAGGTCGAGTTCAAGGACGTGCACTTCGTGTACCCCAACAGGCCTTCGATTAAGGTTTTGAAGGGATTGAACTTGACGATTTTGCCGGGTCAGTTTGTGGCGTTGGTCGGGCCCAGTGGGTGTGGGTGAGTACAGCCTGTTCACTGCTTCGATCTGGAATGGGTGCGGGCGTTGGAAACCCATCCAAATCTATATGCTTATACTTAAAGCCCCATTTTTTCTCCAGTAAATCCACCACCGTCGGTCTCATGGAACGCTTTTACGACGTCGACCGCGGCAGCGTGGACGTCGACGGCGTGCCTCTCACGTCGCTTAACATCCACACTTTGCGATCCTTCGTCTCGCTTGTCGGACAAGAACCTAACCTGTACGACATGACCATCAGAGAGAACATCGTCTACGGCTTGCCTGCTGAGACCATTGCAGGGCTGAGCGAGGATGTGATCATCAAGGCGGCCAAGGACGCGAACATCCACGAGTTCATTACGGGCTTGCCGGATGGGTATAATACCTCGTTGGGCGGCAAGGGAGCGCAGTTGTCTGGGGGACAGAAGCAGGTAGGCATTTGTCTCGTATATGTGTCTTCGCACAAGTGGCGAAGGAAGCTCACACATTCTCGGTCTTCACCATCTAGCGTATCGCAATTGCGCGCGCCCTCATCCGCCAGCCCAAGATTCTCCTGCTCGGTAGGGTTTGTTCTTTCCCTGCCTCCTCACGGACACGCGCTCACTCATATTTACCCCCTTACAGACGAAGCGACCTCAGCATTGGACGCAACCTCGGAAAAAGTGGTCCAAGAAGCGCTCGACAAGGCCGCGAAAGGGCGCACGACCATCGCGATCGCCCACAGACTGTCGAGTATCAAATCGGCGGACGCAATCTACGTGTTCAAGGACGGTGTTGTCGCCGAGAGCGGCACGCATGCGGAGCTGATCGAGCAGAGGGGCCTGTATTACCAGATGGTTATCCAGCAGGACTTGGGCGAGGAGTAAAGGGTGTGGCGGACATTTCATTAGCATGGCGTCAAGACATTACCATGGACATCTCATTTTTTGCTATAGATACAATCATCTCATATATTCATTTTCATCATGCAAAGCTCATTGTCTGTTGCGGAACTGGATGTGGTCATTCTCGACAGCCGGGTTCCATATACCCTGCCAACCAGATATCCATGTACTCAGAACGAGGCACGCACGCGACCAAGCGAGAGCGGAGCCAAGCGCTCGCGTGGGGACCAGTGTCATGCCTCGTCTAACAATGGCATTGATCGACGCCCCTCCAAGGTTTTCTTCCTCAAAGGGTTTCGGAGTATGACACGAAAAAGGTGCCACCCAATGTATAAGGTCGCGGCTATTTGGCAATAAACGTAACGTATGTACATTGTATGATTTCGACACTGTGTGAATCGGCCCATGCCAGTAGGACCCAAACCTCTTGCCGCTCCTATCCCATGTTCTCTACTCTCGTCGCCTCCGCCACATCGATCTTCCCCGTCCCTTTCCACACCTTCACTCATCCAGACCAATATCTACTGACTTTTCAACCCGACGTTCGGCGTGACTTTACGCGCCGTCTGCTTAATCTTGTTCGCTACGGGCGTGGGACTGCCGAACCCGGTTCCGCCGCGGTACCAAGGGAGCTTGGTGGTTTTGCGCCGGTCTTCAAGTTCGTAGTAAAGAGTGCTATCAGGCGGGGAAGGGGAGGGTTAGATGGTCTGAGGGAGGACATCGATGAGGTAGATGAGGACCACAACTATTCACCCATCGTATTGCTTCAAGACATCCTCCTTGCTCAACACCCCCGTGACGGGGTCCGCAGCCAGAGCCCACAGAAACGTCCACAAGAAGAACTGGAAGCTCCATCCGACGAAATCAAACACGTTCCTGTTCCCTCCCCACATGGTCTTGATATCGCTGAATGTCAGCCCATCCTTCTTGGGCCTACTCGAGTAGTTCTCGAATGTGCTTTCAAATTTTTCATTCACGAAACGGCCGGCGGTGTCGTACGTTTCCGTGTCGCTGCCGTGCTTCGCGCGATGGATGTTGGCGATAGTGACAGGGAGTAAGGGGTTGAAGATCCACGAGTCGTGGGTGGGGTACGAGACGTGTAGGATGTGGAACGCAAGCGCAGATGTGAAGGAGATGATGGGATTGAACCCGAGCGCATAGAAACCAGCATAAGTCTCCCAGGGCCAGATGACACCATCCTTGTTGCGATCCCAGAATCCAACATGCTTTTGTAACGGAGTCAGGCCGTGGGTATTGACGTTGTTGGAGGAAGTTGTGTGGGATGGAGAGCGGGCGATAATGGCGCGTTCGAGGATGCGGTCTTGTTCCGCTTTGTAGGCGGCGACGGAGCTGGTGGAGGCTGCAGCAGCTAGGGCGCTCGGCGATGCGGCGTTAGGGGGCGAGTGTTTGAGACCCACATCGACACTGTTTTGATGCTGCTCGTAGGATGCCATGTTTTCGGTTTCGGCAGGAGGGGTTTGTTCAGGTTCGTGCACCGACGGTGGTGGCGAGGCGAAGACTGCTTGCACGTCCGTTCGTTTTCGTTGGGTGGCCTTTGCCTTGATTTTCTTCGACGCGGCGGGCACGGACGGTAGGTTCTCCATCCTCTATTTCTGTGGACGGAAGAGTTAGGTATGGACCGTTATGGCTGATGGATGGATGACGATGGGATTGGATCCACTACTATGGCTGTGGGGAGAAGGATCCGAGAAAGGAGATTCTCCGGGGGGGGCGACGACGTCAGCGAGGACGCTTTTGGGTGCTCGTTTTATACTGTACAGTACGTCGACTGACAGGGTAGATTGCCACAGGAAGAAGGCCAGAGAAGTGGGAGGAAAACGCGTGCCATCCATTCCATCACGCGAGAGTGCCTGATGAGTGTGAACTGGCTGAAATGACACGCGCCTGCGTCATTGATTGCTTGCGTAATCGGCGCGTGTGGTTTCTTAGACCGTGGCTTCGATCCAGGCTTTCGCAACGACAGAACAAACCCGACGGATGTAAAAAATCGTAGAAGGAATGTCAGCATCACTCAGGCATAGCTTCAGATGCAGAGAAGCAAACTACTACATACATATCACCTGAACGCATTTTCAGTTCACATAGAGCAGTATATTTTGATACGCACATCTTTTTCATATTCACATGCTGATTTATAACTTCATACGCAACTACCTAATCAAGTTCATACGGGTTCCCATCCAAGTTCATACGCCGCAAATGAGATCGTCCTAAGGAAGTGAATCTACTCCATTATCCGGTCCATTTATCGTGCCAACAAGCTGCATGCGTGTGAAAAAGGATGCGAAGGTGTGAAGCTCAACAGTAGCCGTTTGAACTTGAATGACGTAGTGCGGATGAAGCTGGGATGTAAGCGGATGATCTCAATAGGCCGCCGTAGGAAGTGTAAATGCTAGAGGTATGAACCCTTTCAGCTCCAATATGAAGTTTTTTTTTTTAGCGTTGCCTTCAGGATATGTACACCGGGAGCTCCGTAATGTTCTGACGCCTGATTGTGATCTATACATGGTGTCGGTATGCACCGGGAGGTCCGTGCCTAAGCTTTTACGGAACCCATAATCCTACAAAGAGAGGAAAACAGGGTGAGACGGATCCATATGCCGAACACGACTACGGTAACCAAGACCGTACCTAACATCCTCCAACTTCACTTGATATTCCTCTGGGGTCTAATAGTAATCTCCGTAGGACATCCAGTGTCAGGGAACTGTATGTGCAGAGAGTGCAATCCGCTGGCGTGAGCGGGGTCATGTGAGTTATGAATTGGGAACTCTTACAACGCTTACCTTTGCGACAAACACCACTGTCTTGGCAATATCCTCAGGCTGGATCATCTTGGATTTGTCGCCTTTTACTTTGTCAACCAATGGAGTATTCACGTAGCTGATGGCGGAGAGAAGATGGATTGAGCGTTCGTGTTTACGCAGCACGACGTCGAAAAGGCATCGCCCCTGAACTCCCACATACCCCGGATTTATGGCGGTAACCTTGATTCCCAATTCACGAATGTCTTCAAACAACGATAGTGAGAAACCCACGAGACCATGTTTGGCTGCGGAGTAATCAACATTCCTCGCAATAGGGTTCCGTCCCGCCACCGAAGCGATATTGATGATGGAGCCTCTGCCAATATCCTTGACATACGGCAGAATAAGCGTTGTAAAACGCATAACGCCGCGCAGGTCCGTGCGGAGAACCAGCTCCCAGTCCTCCCATTTGGCGTCGATCGCGTTGACGCTTTTGCCTCCTACTCCAGCGTTGTTCACGAGCACATGCACAGTGTTGTTGAAAAGTTTGCCAATGTCGCTGGCGGCGCGGTCCATGCTCTCGTCGGAAGTGAGGTCGCATTGCACAGGATGTACTTTGATGGATGCGTGGGTCCTTGTGAGCGATGTGATGAGAGGTGAAAGAGACTCAGTTTTGCGGGAGAGGAGTACGAGGTTGGCCCTGTTGCCGGAAACGAAGGGTTGAAAGGATTTCATGAGCTGATGGTCAACGGTGGATGTGAAGGTTATAAGATCTGAGGGCTTACCCTTCAGCAGCGAGAGCCTCAGCAATAGCTTTTCCTAGTCACGCGAAAGAAAAGGGGTCCCGTTAATCCATGAACAACGTCTCGGCGGCCGGGAATTCAGTAACACCTACCGATCCCGCTGCTGGCGCCGAGAACGACCGTATTGCGGTCCTTGAGGGTGTATTCGGACGCCATATCGTTTGACGACTGTTGACTCGTTGGGGGGTGTATTGTGTTGTGTACTGATCTGTGAAAGTGATCTGTGAGCGTGAGGGGTGGAAAGATTGGGGGTGATACGCGACTACGATTCTCCCCTCAGCTTCTGCCTTACAAGTTGCCATCATCGGCGATGCCTCCGGCAGAGGTACAACGATGTGGATGGCAGATAACCACCACGGAAAATGGGATGGGGCGAAAACTCTAGACTACCGGGAGAATGCGTCTGGTCTGCGGCATTGCCAAGCACCACCGAACGCACAATCGAGAGGAAATTCTTGGTACTTAGGACGTCCCGATTGTGCACTTTCATCCGTAGTCGTAGTGGTCGTCGCCTTCCAGGAATCTCAAATGGCGTCCAGTCTTGGTTGATACATTCGGGGTTGGGGCAACCCACCAATCCATGGACGAATTCCATTCTTCCCTTTCTAGCCTGCCACGGCCGAGATGACAGCCGCCGTCAGATGTTTTTCTTCACATGCCCATGGCAGTCGGGGCACACGGACGACGTTCGATACTCATCCAGCAAGTAGCATGGAATGCCGTTTCTCGCAAAGAGTGTGCGGAATCTAAATTCCATGATGAGTTAGCATATTATAGTACATAAAAAACAATGATGGTCACTCACCCCTTGGTTTTCGATGACTCCTGAAAGCGCATCGTTTTCCCAGCATCGCTCCAATCACCCAAGATGACCGAAAAATGCTTTCCATACCGGCGTCGCATGTTCTTAATGAGCTTGCTCTCAGACTTTTGCCGCAGTGAGAACGCCTTGAATCTGCGAGCGACGTGAATCTCATCCTGGTAAAACTCATCCAGGGCGGGATCTGGGATATGGATGTCAGCCCATGTATTACCAAAGTTGAAAATCAAAGTTGAAGTGGAACATCATACCCGCATGTTCGTAATCCACGATGAACGCTGAGAACGCCTCGATGTTCATGCTCTTGTGCGATGGAATATGTGATTCCATCTCAGGGATGGCGGCATTGATCTTTCGCTCTCTCATGTCTCTTTGAAAGTACCGAGACTTTGTCTCGACCGCCCGTTGATTGGATGTGTATCTGATATGGGGTGGTGCATTGTGAGGACGCTGCAACGGAATGTCGCCGCAACGGGGATGGCGGAGACGGGGGGCTGGCGGGCGGAGACGGGGGGCTGGCGGGTGGAGACGGGGGGCTGGCGGGCGGAGACGGGGGGCTGGCGGGCGGAGACGGGGGGGGGGGGGGGGGGGTAGCGGGGCCAGCAGGGCAGTAGTGATCAATTGAAACGTACCAAAATGGCCGCTCCTTCTTGATGTCTTCACAGAACAAGAGGTCACACTTGCCCGGATCAATGCTGACGATGTTTGGAGCCTCCCGTAGTTCGGCGATGTGGTGCTCAAAATACAGCTGCTTGACTTCTTCCCGCATTTGGGCCTTGCTGCGCTTCCAAGCCTGATGCCCATACTTGAGCCCTGGCTTCTTGAAGTGGTAGCGGAATACCCGTTTGTGCTGATTGATCCATCAAATTTAAGACCAAGCTTCCTTCGATGTTTGAAGACCTTGTCCTATAATCCGTCATTCAGCGACGTAATCTGATTGAAATAAGCACATAAGGATAGAGACTTACATTCATGTTGATAAACTGCCCCCACAGCTCCCGCTTGCGTTCATCAGTGAGTTTCCCCATGCGACATCGGCCAACATCCAGGATATGAGTGCCTAGGATCGGCGTGTCGATCCGAACTGATGACTGGATTCGAGATTTGCGCAGCGGGATAGCGGAAAATAGCCGCATTCCACGGCGCTCATAGAGGCGTGAGAGCTCACAATAAGCACCTGGTGAGGCAGGTGTGGACCATGATTAGACAAAAGAGGAAGCCGCAGGAGGGGGGGGGGGGGGGGGTGGTTTCGCTTCTTGTCGGTCAACATGCCGAGCATGCTGCTGCACCGGTCGCATAGCGAGGACCCGGGCAAACACCCGCGTTGATTCTGATGATTCTGTATGCGCAGTGCCGCGCAATGTGGGCTTGAGCGTGTATGTTCGGGGCGCGGCGAACACGTCGTCGGCGATGGCAACAGCGCATCGCGAATCACGTCGGCCGGGTTCTGGCTTGCTGCGCAGCCACGCACGAGCTGGAGAGGGCGGGGGGGGGGGGTGGGATAAATCAGTGTCAATGTCAGTGTCAATGTCAATGTCAATGCCACTCCCCCTCTCTTCTCTCATTTCGCCAATCCTCTTGCAATATCGCCACTCCTCCTCTCTCCTCTCATTTCGCCAATCCCCCCTCGGCTTCTCCACACCCCACACTGCTTCCCCATAGCCAGCAGCTGTAGCAATGCTCTCTACGCTCGCCACGCACGCTCTAGGAGCATAGCTGGCGCCCCCCAGTCCCCTCTTGTTGTTGTTGTTCTCTGATCTGCTGGGTTGCCTATCTATAAATAGCCGGCCTCTCTTCGTCCATTCCCTTCCTCCCCAGCAGATCAACACCAGTTCTTCTCATCTCCTGTGCTAGTCCTTGTTTCTTGTTTCGCCAATACAATCTCTTGTCGCCTATCACACTCGCCCTGTCTTCTCTACTTCGCTTCCGCCCCGTCGTTGAGATCATAACAGTTTGATCTGCTCCAACACTGCGAAGTTCAGAACCTGTCCAGCCCTTCATCCGACAAACCTTTTTCGCCATGTCCCAATCCGAATCCGTACCTTTCACCGCCAAGCAATGGAACGATATGTGCCAAGCCATCGCCGCCTTGCAAAGCCAAAACGCCAACTTGCAGGCCAACCTAGCGCAAGCCCAAGCCGACGCACAAGCTGCCCAGAGCATCGCCGCCAAGGTTCAAGCCGATACGTACACCCGTCCCCAAGTCGCCAACCCTGCTCTGGAGCCAAGAATCAGCTCGCCCGAGAAGTTTGATGGTACCCGCAGCAAATTCCGTGGGTGGTTGAACAACATCTGGTTGATATTTGCTCTCCAGCCCGACCGCTACCCCAATGACATCATCAAGATCCAAACTATTGGCACCTACCTCACCGGCACTGCGCAAGCCTGGATGGCGCCCCTAGTCGAACGCCAAGATCACAGCCTTCAGGACTTCAATAGTTTTATCAGTCAGATGCAATCGGTCTTCGGAGACAGCGCAGGGTCCGCACCTCTGAAAACAAGCTCCAGAACCTTCGCCACACCCGTGCAGCAACCGAGTACGTCGCTGAGTTCCGCCAGCTACAATGCGATGTCTCCTGGAACGACCAGGCCCTGATCGCTACCTTCCGCCGTGGCCTCAAAGAAGACGTCAAAGACCTGATGCTCACGATGCCCCCTGCGGCCACCATTGATGTGGTGATGGAGCAGGCTATCCAGTGCGATAACCGGCTGTTTGAGCGCCGCCTGGAGCGAAACAGAAGCCGCCAGACCTTTCCGGTTCCCCACACCTCGTTTACTACTACCACCACTGTCGACCACAGCAAGCCTATGCAGATTGACGCCGCTCGTCCCCGCGGCCCTCTGAGCCCTCAGAAACGCCAACGCCGCATTTCCAACAACCTCTGCCTTTACTGCGGTGGCGCGGGGCACATTGCAAAAGTCTGCCCCGTCAAGAACAAGACCACCACCCGTGCCGTCGACATCAAAGAACCCTCCACCGAACAGGGTTTTCCCAAAGTCCAGCCGCAGTAAAGCCCCAGCGACTGGACAACACACACCGCCCCGGGGCTCCCAACCTCGCAGCTCCTGCAACGGGAGAGGCCAGCCCCCTGGTTCCTGACTCCGCTATAGCCGACACAACCCTCCTAGCCGCTGCCCATGTCGAAAACTCCGAAATTAACCCCCGCGCCATGCTTGCGCTGGGTCCCGTCGAACCCTTCAACTACCCCGTTACCGTCATGGTATCATCCAGCCGCGCCCCGATACCTACCTCAGCCATGATCGACAACGGTGCCCTGTCCTGCTTCATCCACAGAGACTTTGCCCGCAAACACCGCATCGCCCTAGTCCCGCATCAGCGTCCACTGACGATCGAACTCGTCGACGGTCAACCCAGCTCGGCTGGGCCAATCACCCATCACACCCAACCAGTAGGCATGTGGGTCGACGACCACTTCGGAGAACTCGTCTTCCATGTCACCAAATCACCCCATGCTCCAATCCTCCTTGGTCTCCCCTGGCTCCGCCTCCACGACATTAACCTTGACTTCAAGAACCTTTCAGTCGGTTTCCGTTGCGACTGCCAGTACCATGAATTCGCGAATTGGGACAACTCTCCAGCACCACCGAGCCCAGCACCCGCCAGAACCCCCGAGCCCTTGATCCGCATCCCCCGGGATGAAGTCCCCGTCGAAGAAACATGGTCGATTCCAGTACCCAAGGTATCTTGCTCCGGCACCCCAGAACCGGCTCCCACGCCGCTCCGAGTCTCGTTCATCTCCGCCCCAGCCTTCCGGGTCGCAGCAAGGCATGACCAGGTCTTTGTCGCCTACGCCAACCCTGCGAAACCCGATCTCTCGGCCTCGCCTAGCCCCAGTAACCCCCCGACACCCGAGAAAGACATCAAAGACTTCCTGCCCCCCGAGTATCAAGACTTCGCCGACGTTTTCGAAAAGAGAAATGCTGACACACTCCCCGAGCACCGGCCCTACGACTGTCCAATCGATCTGGAAGAAGGCAAGCAGCCACCTTTCGGCCCGATCTACAGCCTCAGCGAACCAGAAATGAAGGCACTCTGCGAATACCTTGCAGAAAACCTCGCCAAAGGATTCATCAAACCCTCAAAGTCCCCTGCCGGTGCGCCAGTCTTATTCGTGAAGAAAAAGGACGGTTCTCTCCGCCTCTGCGTGGATTATCGAGGCCTGAACAGCATCACGGTGAAGAATCGCTACCCCCTGCCCCTGATCAACGGTATCATGGATCGTTTGCGCGGCGCCCGCCGTCTCACCAAGATCGACCTCCGCGGCGCATATAACCTCTTACGCATGCGCCCGGGCGATGAATGGAAGACCGCCTTCCGCTGCCGTTACGGCCTATTCGAATACAATGTCAAGCCCTTTGGACTCAGCAATGCTCCTGGCGTCTTCCAGTACCTGATGAACGACATCTTCTGCAACATTCTCGATGTGGTTGTTGTCGCCTACCTCGACAATATCCTGATATTCTCCAAGAACCAGGAAGATCACCCCAAACATGTCCGCGAAGTCATGTCCCACCTCCGACAGCATGGGTTGTACGCCAAACCAGAGAAGTGCGAATTCAACCGTGAATCCGTTGAGTTCCTAGGCTTCATCATCTCCAAGAAAGGCATCCAGATGGACCCCAAGAAGATCGCTGCCATTACGGATTGGAACCTCCCAAGAATGTCAAAGGCGTCCAGCGGTTCCTCGGCTTTGCCAACTTCTATCGCCGATTCATCCAAGGTTATTCCAAGATCGCTACCCCGCTCACAGCCCTGACCTGGAAAGACATCCCGTACGCCTGGACACCCGCCGCAAACACCGCCTTCGAGAACCTGAAGAAAGCATTCACCACCGCCCCTGTTATGGACGACGCGTCCATACCATGCGCTTACCTCATGACAGCATCCCAGCAGTCAGTCAATGTCAATTCCCTGTCAAAACCTGACATCTGCCAAACCTCACAGCCGCACGCAGCCGCGCTACCCCACACCTGCCACTGCCTTCATTTCTCCACGCAGCCGCACGTAGCCACACCTCCCAACACTCGGCGCTTACAAACCCTTCTCCATACTCCATACTTCCCCACGTACCCGCCCACAGCCTCAGCGTAGCCACCCCATCCCCAGTCTTCTGTTTCCATACTTCCCCACATACCCGCCCACAGCCTCAGCGTAGCCACCCCATCCCCAGTCTTCTGTTTCTATGCTTCCCCACCCTTGGCGCTTCTCTTGGCTTCCCTCTCATTCCGTACCCTTCTGCTTCCCCACGCTTCCCCAGCCTTCCCAGAAAAACATAAATAGCCGCCTCCCCTGAGCTCCCCACTTCCTGATCCCCCAGCAGATCAACACCAGTTCTTCCTAGTCTTGTTCTAGTTCTTGTTTCGGTCTGAATACCATTACCTGTCAACAACCTGCACCACAAGTCGCCTCTATTTCCATCGGCTCCGCCCATTCATAACAGTTTGATCTGCTCAACAACTCCCAGCCGCTGTACCTCCACGCCAAATCACCATGTCCGACGCCCTTCCCCTCACGGCCGAAGCCTGGCAAGCCATGTGCAATGCGATTGACGAACTTCGAGCACAGAATACCACCCTACAAGCCGAACTAGCGCAAACCCAGACCACTGCCCCTGCCACCCACGCCCCGAACCCAAAATCAGTCTCCCAGACAAATTTGATGGCACCCGAAGCAAGTTCCGTGGGTTCCTCAACCAGATCCGGCTCATGTTCGCCCTCCAACCCAGGCGCTACCCCAACGATCAGACCAAGATACGAACTATTGGCACCTACCTCACTGGCACCGCCCAGGCCTGGCTGGCGCCCCTTGTCGAACAAGACCATCATTCCCTTACGAACCTGGATGATTTCATCCAGCAAATGCAAGCAGTCTTTGGAGACAGCGACAGGATCCGCACGTCCGAAAACAAGCTCCAGAACCTTCGACAAACCCGTGCAGCAACAGAGTATGTAGCTGAATTCCGACAGCTGCAATGCGATGTGTCGTGGAATGACCAGGCATTGATTGCCACCTTCCGTCGCGGCCTCAAAGAAGACGTCAAGGACTTAATGCTCACGATGCCCCCTACCGCCTCAATCGACACCGTGATGGAACAGGCCATCCAATGTGACAACC